CAGGATCGGTTTTATGGCACGAGGACTGCGCCCGGAGGCTTTTCATGTAGTAGCTCGACGCTGTCTATAAGACGCGATTAAGAATCCGCGATAGAATGTGTGCGGTATCGTCAGACAATTTAACCGGCGATTTAATCCGACTCTTTTTTTATTATCACACGTGCTGATCGTTGCTGAAGCTTCACGTAAGCCTCGTCGGCATTGGCTCATCAAGGACGGGCGCTAATCTATTTTCACATTAAACTGTGTTTTATTCGGATAACGAGAATTTTGAGATAAAAGTTTTTTTCTCTTTACGACGCTCGTCTCACAAATAGTTATGAGTTATGCGTGACGACGAAACTTAGAGTCGCTGTAATAACTTTCGCATTGTAGAACAAAATCCCGAGGAATCCTGATTTTTCTTTTCCTTTTTTACAACACGCGGGAGATTTGTATGCATCTTTATTTGCGTCTATTTCCGGTGTAACGACTTTGACACAATTTGTATTTTCGGTGAGGCTTTCCGTGGGCATTCTCGACCCTACAGCCGCGATACATTTGAAGAGCTAAAACTAACGAGTCGAGTCCTCGAAGAGCTGAGATCTAGTAGATACGCTATAACTAGAGGATCAAAGGCACCGATTGTAAACCGTTAAATCACCTTACACCGGAAGGACATAAATAAAATACCGTTATTTGCGCCGTGAAAAATTCATTCGGTGCCAACGTATTTATGCGTCGAATATGCCGCGCACGTGTTGCCCATCGGGCTGGACCGAAAAGTCCTGCGGCCCTTTTTGAGAAGTGACAATTATGGACAGACTCTTCTTTCGTAAGACGCTTTCAAGCTTCATTATCGTAAACGGGCTACGCTTTATTTGCATTTCAACTGATTCGTCATTTGTCGTTAGATAAGTAGAATTATCTACTATCGTTCTCCTGAAATTTCTTCGAGTGGAATTCCACTCGAAAAATACAAATTAAGAATCCACTCTCTGATCTTGAGCCGAACATTCCTCCTCCTCCTCTGATTTCGAGTGGCGGTATCGTCTCATTATTACTTTAAGTGGATCTTGTCCCGAGTGAGATTTCACTCGAAGGAGAAATTTTGAGAATAAACAATAATCGAGTTATATTCAATTCCCCCCTTGTCTCGGCGAGGGAGGATCCAAACGAACAGATTTTTCTTTTTTTTTTTTTACTATTTTCTCATCGGGTATTCGGATGCAGCGAGTGCGGGAAGTAACGCATAATTGAAGACACATGTCTTCGATTCATAAAATTAGCGAAGCACGGCGACGCGCCACGTAACCGAGAGCGGTGACGACATTGAGGAGGATGCGGCTGGATCTTGCACGGCCGGACGAAAGTCCGTGTTCCGTCCTATTATTAGAGAAGGTTCCAGCCAAGTGCACATCGGCAAGGGGTTACACGGCGGCGGCGGCGGCTCCGTGGCAGGCGAGACCGCCGCGGCCGAGATAATATTGTGACGGTAGATCCGAGCGAAAGGTTGCACGGCTCCAGCCCGATCATTCGCCGGTCGGTCGCGATATCCCCGATACGGAAAATCGCCGATACTCGACAATGCGCGGCACCGATGCGCGGAGCGCGCAAGTGTCGTGTCGAGTTGCACAAGCGGTTGACACTTTTGTCCTTCTTCTTCGCTATAACGCGGATCGAATAGTGAAATAAGATGTGATTCCGCGATCTTGTAAGCCGTAAGTGAGTAAGTACTCGACATGCGCGCAAGGCAGCATTATACGGAGCTGCCTTGATACCGTATCATTGCTGCACCGGGAACAAAAACAATTAATCTCAGTTACTTCCGGCGCGGTGAAGAAGTTCCGCTATATAATTTTGTTTCTTTATTTTCTGTTTCTCTCGTCCGTATCTCAGATTAAAAATCTCGATTCCCGCTTTCGATAGAACAGCACTTACTGACGGAAGAGATGAAAATAATTAGAGAAAAAATAATCTCACAATTCACAGCTCTAGCGTCGCGAACTATACTTCTTGTCCGTTATTCTAACCGTTCGCAAAATAGCAGAAATATCTGTACACAGTTACCATCATTGTGGTAGCACTTGCTGTAAAAATAACTCTCCCGGCTATAATTATTTCGCTATGTAATTATAGTCACAAGTAACAGACACCTTTCTTCAGTGCGGAATAGAGGTGCGGAGAATCGAGGACATCCTTATTATAGATCCGGATGAAGGAGCTCTCTGGTGTGTATATATATATATATATATGTGTGTACTATGTATATATATATATTTTTTTTTGCTTTTCTTTTCCGCGTCTTCTGGAATCTCGGATCTGGATTCGGATCGAACGGCACATTTTGTGCCGCACGGGAGAAAATTTCGCGGGTGACCATCGAAGAAGAAATCGACCGGTGCACCGGGCCGCGGCTGTGCGGTGCATGAGTGCATACACGGTCACGCGTACCTGCGCGCCAATACGGGACGTTGATTTCACGTCTGCCGCCGAGGAAATTGGAAACCATCGTCTCGCTCGTTTATTTGTACAATCGACTTCCACGTATGTGCATACGTACGTGCACGGGAGCGAAGTGCCGAGACGTATCTGCGCCGCGGCGATCAACCGACCCGGTTCGTGCATAGGGTGTCTTCGATTAGTCGTCTTTCCTGTCAATCGTAGCAAGTTGAACGCGACCGAAACTTCTCTCTAATGCACGTTAGCGCGATGAGTCAGTAGATATTTAATCTATATCGCGTGTCTTGGTTTCCATCCTCTGAAATTCTTCATTGCGTTATCATTGTAGTAAAAATTTGAACGTTTTGAGGCATCTCATGTACGATGTATAGTTAAAAAATTTACCACTGTAAGTTTCCAATATTTTGTATCGAGTATCATAAAAATTTACCTTTACGTCCAGCTAAATTAAATTTCTTTTGGGATAAATTCTCGAAGGTTTCTTTGATTCGTCTGAAGCGGGATCGTATTCTGGAAAAATATAGTACACTTTTCTTTTCAAAATTGTAAGAAGTTTGTATGTGATATATATATATTTTTATACTAAAGCATTCGTTATAAGCCCCCTGAACGTTACTGAAATTTTAATACTTTTAATCCAAATATTTAGAACTAAAACTACCAAAGCGGTCGGGAGATGGTTGGTTTGTGATTTTTTATTATTTTTAAGTTATTCAAATTTACATAAGGATTTTATATTTTTAATAGACGTTGAATTACACTCTAAAAAACAAATAAACGTTTTTGCCTTTGCATAAAATGTATTTCTCTAAAAACCTGTCGTTTTAGCCGAAATAGCGAATCGCGTTTATATAAATAAATCGCCGGCAGTTCTAGTTTTCCAATCGCCTCTTCTAAAAACAAAAAAGGGATGATGGGGCCAGGGACACCCTGTACATGTGGTTATCAGACGAAGAAAACACGCGTATGCCTGTGTACGCGTGCATACTCGTGTAATTACACGAGTGGGGCTCGTCTGTGTTCGAGTAATCGGATCGGCACAGACCGCCCGCCAATCTTTTAGCGCCGATAAACGGGCAGCGAGTTAATTGAAGGCGATCGCATTAACGATAAAAGCCGACGGCGGCGGCGGCGGCGGCAGCGGCGGCAGCAGCGAGATGACCCTTTTGCTTGGCTTATACGGACGATTTTTTCGCGATTCGTGAAATATCGCGGATATATGTCAATAGATGTGCGTATATCGCCGTTGCTTCTGTGTAAATTTAATAGCCTACAATCCGGATGGATCGATCGCGATATAAGCGCAAATACGCGCGGTTATTAATTTCACTCGCTGCTTCGCGCTGCTCAGTGCAGCGTGTTTCGTGAGGTTTGCATCCAGCAACGCGCGGGGGGAGGATCTTTGATCGATTCGCGTGACCACTTGTTTTTCGAAAAGAATTCGAACACCGGAGACTGTAATTACACGCAATATTCGCGCAATATTCGAGTCGAGGGAGATAATAAATCGATCTCCGATTAACTTCAAACAGAGTTTGTTTCGGGATGGAATTTATCATTTCAAAGTTCTGGTATCCGATTTAACAAAAAGAAATATCTGGTGAGATTCTTCTCAAAAAGAGAAAGAGAAAATTAGCCGCGAGCGTATCTCGTGTAAAAACATTTCTTGAATCTTGACGCGGATTTTGCATAATGTGCTTTTGCGAAAAACAAAAGCGTGTTTAAATGCCGGGGCCGGTCGTTGTGACTTATAATATGGTTAATTATACGCGTCTCGCAAAGCGCGCGAGATCATTTCTCCGGCAATATATCATGCGCCATAGAGTAAGAAAAATGAGTTTTCATTACGTTGTCATGACAATGCGCTGATACGCGTCCTCATTTATTAATTATCGTCATTACCGCTTCGATGAATCAAGCCGAGTGCCAAGAAAGGCTCGTAATTTCAAGACTCCATTCTCAGAATCTTTAATATGCCCGGGAATGATTGATCATTACACGAAAGAAAGCGTTGGCAGAGCATTTTCGCGCGAACGAAACCATTCTCTCCGTCTCGCGTGAATTGGAGGTTATTATTAATGTTAATAAGAGCGAATCTAGTGTTTCTTCTTCTACTAAGATATTTTTACATCTTAATGTCATTTGCCGATCCTTACAATATCCATAGTTCACATCGAAATTTTAGGTACATAATATTATTCTAGATTGATAAAATTTAATTTATTCAATTTCGTCGTAGATGATATCATACTTACAGTTCTCTTTTAATATATATATATATATCTATATTAATACAACGACTAACACAAGCGAAGTACACAATTTATCATCTTCTCTCTCGACTCATCGAGATTTTTTCCTTCAACGTTAGATGATTCCTCGCTCGTAATTACTCGCCAACATTCGCCAATTGCTTACAAAGGAGGGGACAGAAAAAGCTTCAAAAAAAGGATATCAATCAGAAGACATACAAAGCGTAGAGAAAAGTGGAGAAAAGAAAGAACAAAAATATACCATGAGTGATATCTAACGGAATTTGTTTAATTTTCCGTTTTCAGGCACCACGACGGACCTAGTGCCGCAACTGTTGGGCCTGTTCGACGAGCTGGCGCGTCGACGGGATGGCGAGCACGCGGTCTTAACGTCGTCCTGCGGGATCCCAGCGGCCTTACAGAAGCGGCTGAGCCTCGTACCGGCAACTCATCGGAGCTCCATATTCGGTCAGCTCTGCAGCAACAGCGACTTAGCCAAGCCCGCGCATCAAGGGGACTCGAGGAACGACGGCAAAGAGGAGCCTACGGCTACGACCGACAACATCATGCTGGAGACGGTCGTTTCAAAATCCGTGCCGTCGCTGGAGGACGAACGTAACGGCGGGGGATCCACCGAAGAAAAGCAGTCTTACAGGCGAGAGAGCAACAGTCTCACCCCGCTTAGGTATTATCCAACGTCGATCTGCTCCTTGCGATCCTTCGGTGTGCACCAAACGTCAGGGTCACCGAGACCGTTATAGTTCTCTTACCCTCCGTGACTTTCCCACGACGAGCTCCTATTCCTCGATCTCATTTCGTTTCGAATGATCTTCGATCTGATAGCATCTTCAGCTCGCCGCTGTGCCAGCCGCTGCTCACAGTATTGTAAATCGGTCACGATATGAATCATGCTTCCTCCGTTAGGAGGGAAACTATATTAATCCGATTGAATCTGAAGGATCGCGCAAGGCATAATCGAAGTGAAAAGATTCATGAGGATCTCGCGCTTCGAGGACTGACATCGCGTTTGTACTCGGCTAGGTACAACAGACGCTGCAGGAACAGTGCAGGAAGGCCGCTTTCTGGAAGCTCCATCGCGTCCAGCACGTCCTCCAGTAGCTGCAGCAATCAAGGTAACACGTGCACCGTTAATCCCTATTTGGCGTCCGTCGAATCCCTCGCCGATACCTGTGCCAGTTCCCAAGGTAAGTGCCTCTGGCATTGTTGCATTGGGGTGAATATCTACTTGAACTTATTTCCTTTGAATTTGTTCGAATCATGAAATTCGCTCACACGGCAAAAGCAATTTGTTATAATCGTGGAAAACTTGGAATTCATTCAAAGCGTGCAACTACCGCACTTTTTGTTAATAACAATTGCATTGATTTACTCATGGTCTGAAATGTATGACAGACTTGAATTCTTCAGGTTCCGCTGATAGCGGAGTCGTGACAGTCTCGGAAGCCGGTTGCCGAATCTTGAACGATGACAATGGTCAGAGGAGGGACAGCGCCGAGGAGGATCCTGCGTGCCACAGGCCGCGTTACTGCGATCCCCATCGCAACCCGGTCGAGATGGTACTCCTGGAGATCGTGGACACGGAGGCGATATACGTTGAGCATCTGCGCCAAGTTATTCAGGTTCGTTTCCGTCGCTAACACACACGATGCGTCTATAAGCGGTCCGACGATGATGGATAATGTTGAGCTCTCGAAGCTAATTCAACCGCCACATCTGTAGAGCGTTAGCGGCTTACATAATTGTGTGCACGCGTTAATTTAAAAATATTTCGTCAAGAGGACTCGTAGAGAGAGAGAGAGAGAGAGAGAGATGTTCTCCATGTGGTTTGCAGGGTTACCTGATATTCTGGCGGGACGACCCTACGTCATTCGCGCGGCAATTGCACCTCGGCGATTTATTTAGCAATATTGAAGATATCTTCAAGTTCAATAGGTACGTAGGTAGTATGTGTATTAAAAATCAAATCAAAATGTTAATTAAATCAAGTTAAATGTGGTCATCAGCCTGTCAATTAGATCGAGTCATATTAATCAAATTATAGCCGATTAAAGTTAAATTGTTAATTTAACTTGATCTAAGTCGTCTACTTCTCCCGCCTATGTTGCTCAAACAATCCGACGGAAAATCGACGTTGTCTCATTTCAGGGAATTTTTACGAGAACTCGAGAAATGCGGCTTAGATCCCGTTTACGTGGCGGATACGTTTCTTCAGCACATATCAGGATTTAATGTGTACACCGAGTACTGCACCAATTATCCGAGGTAAGGATGTTGCTGACGAACGACGATCGACGCAGTGTGTTAATCGGGCTTATTTCAGGGCAGTCTCCGTGCTGACCGATCTAATGGGCCAGGAGGAAACCGCATCCGCTTTTCGTGAACGGCAAACCGCCCTGGGGCACGCGCTACCGCTCGGGTCGTTTCTCTTGAAGCCCGTCCAAAGGATTCTCAAGTATCACCTGCTTCTGAAGGTAATAAAACGCTTTTGTTGTGTATGAAAATTATGCATCGTGCAACGTGGAAACGTCTATGCCAATACCATGGACCAAGCAATGCCATTCTGCGGTTTGCGACAGAAAGAAGGTACATGATGAATGTAATAAGGACATTTGTCCTTCTATAAGCCGCAGTGGACATTGATCGACTCGATTTCAGTGTCGATATGTATTTTTCGCAAGTTAACGGCAAATTAAGCTAAATTGAGACGGTAATCGTTTCTGACGCTTTCCAAGTGTACGTATGAAGTTCCAGGATCTTCTCTGTTTCAGATAAAATAATTATCGAAATTGTTTCTTTACATACACATTACATCAAAATTTTCCTTATCATATTATGTGCTTAGAAAAGGAACATTTAGGAAGTCTAAGACCTTAAGAGAAATCTGAAATTATGCATTGAGGTGTGTGCGACAATCCAGAGCCAAAGTAACATAGATGAATGTGAAATTTTCTCGGCAGAACTTATCGAAGGAGTATGGCGCCGATTGTGATTCGAGAGAGAACGAGGCTGAAGGCAGAAGTGCCATCGAGGCTGCTCTCGCCGCGATGACTGGCATAGCGAAGGACATCAATGCCATGAAGAGGCGGCACGAGCACGCCGTACGCGTTCAAGAAATTCAATCACTTTTGTACGGTTGGTTGGGACCAGACCTAACTACAAGTGGAGAGTTGGTTGCTGAGGGCCGATTCAGGATGCGAGGAGCCAAGGTGCCGAGACACGCCTTCCTTTTCGACCGAATGCTTCTGCTCACGAAGAAAAGGGAGGATGGCTTACTCGTGTACAAAGCTCATATTATGGTACGATTTGTCTCGCAAGTTTTTCTCACTAGAATTAATTTTGGTATTTCTTGCGGGAGAGTGAAAGTATCATTTAATTTTCTGCCTCCTGTATCGTGGTTTCACCTTTTTCACCGTTTACCTTCCCATCAATATGTTTTTATGCTCATTTATTGATTTTCTGAATATATATAAAATTTCGTTAGGAAAATATTTCTTTTATTCTCTTCAAACGACTTTTGCGTAATTGATAAAAAGTCTGGTTTAAAAGTGTATTTAATCACGACCGATTAAATGCTATAAATTACAAATTATATGTGTATTTAATATTCTTTTTCTAGTGTTCAAACCTGATGCTTATCGAAAGTATCCCAGGGGAGCCACTTAGTTTTCACGTAATACCTTTCGACAATCCTCGATTGCAGTACACATTACAAGTAAGTACCATGGAGATGCATCATCGGTTGCGAAACGAGGTTTGAAACTACACTCAAGGTTGATCGTATTTTCACTTAACAGTCTATCGTTTATCTTTCAGGCGCGCAACTTGGAACAAAAGAGAGAATGGACTCTGCAGATTAAGAGAGTAATTTTAGAGAATTATAACGCAGTGATTCCTTCGCACGCGAGACAATTGGTGTTGCAACTAGGTCAGACGCAACAAGAAGGTACAAATGGCAATTAGAACTTTTGAAGTTTATTTTGTCGAAAATTGAGACGGAAGTAATATTACCGATTAATTGGGCACAGATGACGCTTTGGCGGACAAAGGTTCGGCGAAAAAATATTCCGCGCCTCCGGAGTACCTAGAGAAACGTAAGCAGGAACGGGACAGACGCAGATCCGAAACTGGTCTCAGGCAAAAGTTCAAAAAAGGCTCCAGAAAATCAGATACCGCGATAGAGGTGAGATTCGACGAATTATTTAATAATATTGACGTATTCAATTTTATGCCTCTTACGTTGCATTAACTGAAATCTCTTCATCTTTTGATCGATATACTTTCAGAGTTCTCCCGCATCGTCGCGCAAGAATGACAATGAAAGTCGCATCATTAACGATTCCAGAGAGCAAACCTTGAACAGATCCTCGGATGCGCGAGCTTCGAAAGTTAAGGTAAAACTGCACGATTCGAATGTTCATAATCGATATTCACATTAATTATTACACAATACGCGTGTGTAACTATCATGAAAATCTATGAGAATAACGAATTATTTTCCTTTCGGATAATATAGGAACAAAGCTAGATACGGTACTGTTAAATCATTCTATCGATAATGACATTCACGGTCTACAATCGTGCGAGCCGTAATTAATACTTAATGTGATACAGTTTCCGAAATTATTATATAAAGAAGGTGTTTGTGGTCTTGTGGTCTATTTGGAGTACCATATATAGACGGAGATTATCGATGTCGCATTCTCTATCCTTAACTTTTCACGAAGAAATCTCACATAGAAAACTAGCGAAACACATTTGTACGTAGACATTTCGACGAATCTATTCCTGAATCTTCCCTTTAGGATCGCTTCACCGGCTGGAGACGAAAGTCCGAACCCGGCTTCCAGTCGTACGTGTGTCTCAATCACTCCGACGAGGAGGAGAGGCAGAAGGGAGAGACTGGCGCGGATGTTGAGTCCACTACGGCCGAGACCGCCGAGGAAGCAGTCGAGGTTCGTTCGAGCGAGGAGGAGCAGCAGCAACAGCAGCAGCAACAGCAGCAACAGCAGCAGCAGCAGCAGCAGCAAAAAACGGCGACGTTGAACACGCCACCGGTCGAAACCAAAGACAACAACAATAGTAGCGAACAGCACCAAGCCACTGAGGCGCAAACGGTAGAGCAGATCGTCGGCCACATTCTCAAGCAGAACCAGGAATTCCAGAAATTGCTGGAGAAACAGCGGACCAATAGCATCATCAATGTGCGGCAGCAACGTTTCAACAAGCGTATTACGGCTGACACATCGGACGAGAGTGACGCGGAGAACTCCAGTTACATCGCCGGCTCGACTAACCACAACCACTGCAACAATAACAACCACGACAGCAGTAACAACAACACCAACAATCGATTGGGTCGCGCGCGAGCCATTCACCGAGAACATCGTTTGATCCGGACGAACAACGCGTGGAACTCGTTGTCCTCGACGCGGGAGAATCCGCCGCTGCAGTTGCTCTACGACAATCTGAAGACCAGCCAAAAGTCGAGCGAGTTGTCGACCTTGACGCGCAACGCCAAGACGAACCACGTGCACGAGAAGCGGGCGCTCTTCGAGGCGTTCAAACGGCAAAGCATTGTCACCGACAGCAAGGTGATCAAAACAGCGCTGCGAATCCGCGAGAACTCAACGTCGAGCAGCAACAGCAATGACGTCACGGAGTTATTGTCGTCCACGGTGACGACGTGCGATTCGAACCACGCGTCGCGTCTGGAACAACGGAAGGAACTGAATTCCCCGGCGGTCACGCACGCGGAGCGTTGCAACGACAAGAGCGAGGACAACGACGCGTCACGCGACGTCGATTCCAAGGGCTTCGGCAACTACGACAACCTGCAGCACGTCTGGGAAGGTCTGCAAACGGAGAAGGACATCGACGGTAACGACAGTCCGACGCAGCCGGCCGTTTGGCTGACCAAACTGTGCGAAGGACTGCCGACCTCACCGCCCAAATGCGGCTCGTTGCCCCGCAGTTTCCAAATCAGCCCGAATTCGCAGCAGCCGAGCGTGACAAAGTCGCGCTTTCTGCAACGCGACGGTAAACCGATGAGCGAGCGGCCGTTCACGATCGCGTCCGACAAGCCGGCCGAGATTAATCTCGAGGACATGGAGAGGTACGCGTCTACCTGCCAACCCGAGGGCAGGATCGCCAAGTTCCCGATGCCCGCCTCGACGAGCTCCTCCAGCTCGTCGACTTTCTTCTGCTCATTGGAGGACGCAGCGCTGAGCGACGCTTACTCAGACATGCGCGTGTCCGCGAGCGGCGCGAGCATTCACCCGGACCACAAGATCTACCGGGCGAACGGCGGCAGCGCGATCATCAGGAGCGTCTTCTCCAAGGCGGGCAGTCGTCTGCAGGGTCTTAGGAACACCATGAGCACGGAGACGCTCGAATGCAGCGACGAGTTCGACCGTACGCGTTACTTCCCGTCCTTGAGCGTCGGCAAGTGCCAGCTGAAAAGGCGGAGCAAGTCGAAGCACATCAAAGACTCATCCTCGGACGTGGAGGAGCTGGTCGGTTGCACGAGCGCCGGTCTCTCGGACCAGCGGGTGCCTCTGCTTTATTACAAGCAGGGTAGCTCCAGCTTGGGCGCCAGGATCGCGCAGTCCGACTACGCCGATCCTGCGATCCTGTTCGCCGAAAACAAGCGCAATCAGCAGATTTCTTCCGGCGCTCATCATCAGTCGAAGAAAAGCGAATCGGACAGAAGGGAACGCGAAGAGGAGGAGCCGTGCGACGACAACAAGGAACGTCGCGAGAGCGAGACCGACAGCTTCTACGAGAGATGCTTCGAGACTATCGAGAATTACGTTGATGCCGACGTGGACGAGGCGTTCCGGGACAGTGCAATATTCAGCGACGTCGACGAGGTGTTCGTGGCGCAGCAGCCGTCGCCGACCGCGACGACACAGAAGACGAAGGTCGCGCCGCCGATCCCCGTCAAGAGGAAACAAGAGACGACGACTTCTTTAACGTCGAGGTACAAGCCGAACGTGGCGCAGAAACCGGATTATTTGAGAATCAAGTCAGTGCTCGCGAAGGAGAGCGTCGTCGCTGAGCCGGAGTTCGTCCTCGGCAACGTCACCGCGAGATTATCCCCGGCGAACGGCTACCAGTCGCTGACTGGCAGTCCGCGAGGCGCGTGCAGCCGGGACACGGCCGAGACGAACGGGGACGACGTCTCTGCGGGGCAGAGCCAGGCGGGCTGGGTACGGAAGATAGTAGGTCAATTGCAAGGTCACGTAGAGACGTGATTTTATGAGTTAAGCAAAACGCATACTCGAGAACAAGTAGACGCGGCGTTTGGGAATGGAAATCGATTAAAACTTTTCAACCTGATTCTAACATGCAACGAGCTATTTGTAGTCTAGCTCGCTGTAGGCTCAGGGCACTTCAAGGCACCTTGTGCGATTTAAAGACGCAAAGGATGGAGTCCGTTGAATCGGAATCGACGGACAGAAAGAGTTCTCCGCTCAAATTTCGCATATCCCGCCGACGCATGAGTTGGACACGCTCGCGCTCCGTTTGATCATTAATCACTATGTCAGAAAGAGAAGTCAGGGAACTGGACGTTGTTTGGCGCTTGGAAGTTTCCCCACGCGCACCTGTGGAATATCGTTTAACAATGTAACGTGATAATGTTTAACTTTGGTTTCGTACCGCCCTTGGTGGCGACGTGCGCGCGAAGGAGATTGCCACGTGTTCTATATCATAGGAGCATAAGGAATCACACTCCAAGTTCTCATATTTGACACTTATCGCCTATAGACTGTTGATGTATATTATAAGTATTGTTTGATATTACGTATATTATACATATAGAGAATACACGGAGAAAATTTTTAATTAATTATATAGAAGCATTTGCGAGAGAAGCCATAGAACAGAATTGTTTAATTGAGAAAGGGGCTAGATTGAGACGCACGTGGACAATACGAGCCTGCAAGTTCGGTATTACTTAGGCGAATGACACTTTTAATCGATCTTCCACTCTGTTGATTTGTTTTCTATTCGAGTAGCTGTGACTTTTCTCATATCGTAATTGTAATATTGGTTGGAATAAGTTACTACAACGTTATCTCTCGCGACATACAAACTGGAACGGTGTTTCGCATATTGATTGATTGAATTCACTAGGAAGGTAAAACATTATCTCAATTTTATTTACTTAATCTTCTATTTTATTGATGACAGGAATTGTTTGCTCACCAGAATATGCGAAATATCACTTTGTGAGGTATTATTACATTGGATTGTGTGCAATAATTTCGAATTTTTCAGATAAAATGAAACGATTTTGTCTATATGTCGTTATAATTATTATTATTTTGTTATATTTTCATTATAATTTAAATGATGAAACGATGCGCGCGTAGTTTTAATGTATGCTATTCTTCGCAAACACATTGTTTCATAGAATTATAACGACACAAAAATGTAATCGTTACGTTATACGTACAAATGAATACATATGGATAAAAAATCCGAAATTACTTATATATACACGGCCCGATGTAAATGTAAAATATCGAAATCACAAATTACATCATGGAGTATCATAGTATCTCGGTAAATTTGCAAAAGTCTGATACTGTTGATAATTTCAGGGAAAATTTCGAACTAAAACTGCGCATTAAGAATTTTTGCAGAAAATACCGGATTGCGACGATCGTATTTCACGTCTCAAAGTCACAGAATATGCCATTCATAAGAAGCTGTTTCACGAACAAAGAGAATAGTTGATATATATACACATGTATTGTGCTATCAGTGTACAAAGTAATATAATATTTTATAAAATTTGCCGCACTTTCTTGAATTCTCTGTCTCGTTTCGACAGGAGGTGGCATTCGAAATATATATGACAATATTTTTCTTTCTTTAGGTAAGTACCTGCAAAATGACAGGACATTCGAAATGACCGCAACGTCGGATATCTTTAGCCATATTTTCTTTTCAGCTAGCTTTTATTACGAGAAGTTGTCTATTTACAGAAGTTTGGCTAATTGCTTCCTTTTTTTTTTTTTTTAGATACAGGTAAATCAGAGATACGTTCATAATTATAAATTATCTTGATAATACTGTATTTATATAAAAATGACTAAAACGAAGGGGCTCGGCGAACGCAAAAGTAACATATGTATATATAATATTTATATATATAATACGTTATACACATTATATACAACTCTCGCGTAATATTACAGACTTAGTCGGCTCTCTGTTATATATTTATCCCAATTAATATTTATAAGAGAAAACCCACTATATACGCCTCTTCCGTTATTAATACGTAGCCCGCGACTATAAAGAATAAATTAACGTCCACTTCTTCCATACCTATACATACGTTACATACCTATACAAGAATTATCTCTTTCTTTTTTGTCGTACAATCTCAGCTTATCTCAGTAAATTTCCAGAAAAGCGCTACATACTATACTCTTGAAAATAAATAATTATATATGATCGTTAATGTAACAGAGTAACACTTATTGAGAATTTTTATACAGTAGAAGCTCCTTATTCCTAAAATTTCTGTACCATGTAACACATTATCTCTCTCTCTCTCTCTCTTTCTCTTTTTATCTTTCGTTCGATTTCTCTTTCTTCTTCTTGCCCTTAATTTCAAATTGTAAGAATAATTTCATCCGTTCATATTGTTATCTATCTGTCACTACGGCTTTGGTTAATAACTATTGATATATCGGCAATTCGTATCTTCAACATCATCACGGCTAATAATTAATAAAATTATCGGAATCCATTCGATTAGATTAATTGAATATCTCTTCGAGAATTTACAATACGTCACAAAGAATTTTATTAAATATATTTGTTTATATACGTTTATGTGTATATATATATTTCTCTTTTTCATCTCTTACGTAATTTACGAATTTGCCTCTCACAAAATATTTGTATATCTCTGCTGTGTCGTCGCATGCAAAACGTAATTGCACGTGACTTATTTTTTAATTGCCATTAAATTCTTTCTCGATCGAAAACAATGGTAAGCCATACATGCATGTGCTTAATCTTCTTTTATCCCTTGGACCATCGAATTAAGCATGTTTCTCACTGAAACATACTGTTACCGAAGATGTCAGGATTATACTGAACTTTCATTTCAAAATACTGATCTTATTTGTATCGCATAAAAAAAACAGATGTTTTCGCAAAAAAATCTCGATAACTGAATCTCTGAGAGTAACGGTAAAAATCTGTTGAACATACTGAAACATGTTCTTTATATAGGTTACAATTCAACATAATCTGATTTAATCTAGATAGATCCGAGGGATGGCCGAAGGCTAAGGAATAAATATACCCGTTACTGTCCTACACGTTCGCTATTAATTGTTGATTTCGAAATTTCGTGGAAACACGTATATATATATTGAAATTCGGAACTTAAGCATCCGTATATATAGAGGTAAACCATTAGTATGGTCGATGTGTACAGGTACATTTCATCGCTGTATTAATTGTCCTAGCGCTACACGTGTATGTGTCTGCACGAAAAGATTCTTCGGAGATCGCAAATATGGGTGTACAATGTTCCGCAAGTAGCATGCAGCAGTTCAATGTATAATGGATCGGCAATCGCCGATTCGCACGGAAATACATCCTGCACAAATGAAATCAATCGGTTATTCCGAATAGTTAAGGTACACGAAAAAGACCTGAAAAGAAAAACTGGTTTCGGAGGAATTAACATGAAACGAAAATTTGAGAAAAAAATGTGTTCGAAGGAATTAATGTGCTCGTGGAAGATATCGAAGTTTTATATACATATATATATATATAACTTTATATATATATATATATTGAAAAATATAAGAAAATTTTTATAATTTTCGACTTTAAATTTGGACTGATTAAATATGCCACCTTCCCACATGGGATGAGGTGCTTTTCAAACTTATATTCTGCTTGGACGAACAATTAATTTCGATCCACTGTACGTGACATTCGTCTAAAATAAGTGATTTGAATCCGAGAAAATCGATAAGAGTGCGAAAAAATCCGCGTTATTTATCAACTGTTATATAAAATCAATGTTTTACACTCATACTTTTTCCTATGTTTTCGTTTCCTCTGAAAATTATAGAATAAAAATTCTAATTCATTCTAAGTGGTCACGAGTAGAACTTGGATATGTGGATTGTCTACATAAAATCGTGTGTGTGCGTGTGTGTATGTACGTGTCTGTGTCTTTTTCTAGCTCACGTGTTTCTTCTAACCTTGGTCTGTGTGTCACAGGATGCATTAAAATCTTTTCTAATTATATCTCTTATCTTTTCCCCACGCTTTTCGCTAATTTATCCGTTCTATAGATGCGAAGATTCAATAATGTATATACCTTTATGCCGATACATCTATGTTTGTTTCTCTTCGCGATTTACGACGATCCGAATAAAATTATTGTCTTTACAATAATACAAAAATTCACATCAGGTAACAATGCAGTTACTATTTATCGTTATTATTAAAATATCTTGCGAAGGTGTACGTCCTCGGCAAGGGGCGGGTATCTCGCGCAAATAATCATCTACACGCGAACGAAACAACTGTATTTTTTATCGATTTGATATCCGTAATAGTATAGACATAAATTACCTATAATAACGTTAAAACAACTCTCGAGTAATTTAGCGGTTAAACCGGGTCTCGTAAAATGAAGATCATTCTCGCTAGTCCTTCCTGAAAATCGCAATCTCTCTCTCTCTCTCTCTCTCTCTCTCTCTCTCTCTCTCTCTCTCTCTCTCTCCCTCTCCTTCCCTCTTTCTTAAAGGTAAATATGAGAACGTAGCGTAAGTTAGACGAATTACTTATTGTGAAAAGAAGATTTATACAGAAGTGTATGAGACAATTCGGCCGAATAGTTCTCTCAATGTTGAGGAAGCGGTCCGCCGGATGATCAAAACTGTGAAATCACGCGATCGAATTACGAATATTGCGAAACGTGTTTCCGGCAATGTCGGTATTGCGAACATTTAACACGTCTATAGCGCGTATAGTATGCTATACTGTAAGTATACACGGGGAAGACATTGCACGTGTTCACTCATCTCCGTTTTCAAGACGGCGTCGTGTCAATGCACATACCGGCGATATCGTAGTGCATGCAAATAATATGTAATACTAATTAGCGTAGCGTTTGATTAAACGGTCGACTTGGTGTTTGATTGCGGGATCGCAACGCTTACGATAAGTATCGTGATCGTATTACCGGTTAGATTCCACGCTTTCTCACGCATACCGTCACATTTGACACCGCCTCGAATGAGTCGTCAAACGGTTTGTGACAAACTGCCAGCCGGAATCAAACGTCTGACAAAACGCGCTTGAGAGAACTGTCGCATCGCGAACTCCTTCGGATATTCGAGGCTCTTCCGAGGCAAACGCCAAATCCTAGAAGCTCGAATGACGGTTGGAAACTCAAAAGACGCAAGTATACATGATATAATATTATACATGCGTTATCGATGTCGTGACAGCTCTCTCTCTTTCTCTCCCTCTTTCTCTCTTTTGTTACAATATATACGATTCAGCGGAAACAATAAGACCACCGGGTTCTTGCACTTGCAACTGCTAGTATATTAAATTTCACGCTAATATAATACTTTCTTCGCGAGTAACTCTACTCTCTCTATATATATACACACAGCAAAAAGTCCATATAAAATATCAAAATAGTTCAACACTCCGCCGATAATTATACGTTTTACTCCGACGATTCCTTACACAATTCAGCTTACGTCTCGCCCTCGACTGTTGCAAACTAAAGGACTTTGGCTCGCAAAATCTCAATACGTCGACGACAGGTGGAAAAGTGCCAGATACTGACTACGTTCTTACGGCTATTTCTCATGCTTCGCACGAGACGCAGACGGGATATTTGTCCGGTGCTAAGGAAACACGAGCGATTCTCACGACCGATTATCGAAAGATTCCGATCTCTTCCCGATATTGCAGCCGAACGTGCAATGACAGAAACCGCTACTTGACCCAACGAGGCGACGCGGAATCTTCCGATGCGTTATTTTCGCAAAAACGATACTGATTCAAGCATCGGTCTCACGAGAAAACGCAAAGGGAACACAACGGTGCTATAGTGTATAAACGTGACGAAATAATATTTATAACACTTTTCACTCCTTAATAATCAAATTGTGCGTTCAGAGTGAGTCGCTCATAATAAGACTGGTCAAATATTTCAGATAAGAGGAATGTTCAGAATATTATTATTATCAACTGGCGAATATCGGCTTGCAGACGGATGGATAAATCGATCAGAAGAATCAGCAACGGATATTTGAAAGTATCCTGAAATTCGCATATAAGCAAAAGCATTTTTTACTAGATCGAGCCGTGTAACAAAAAGCGGACTTCCTTCTTCGCATCTACGCTCTACGTAGTCCAGCACTCTTCCTCCTCGAGGTATAGTATCAAGAAAGTCTACTGTAAACGAGAAAATGCATTTCTCCCAGTCTTAAGACCAATCACATGAAAGTCACTCCGTTCGCCGTCTCACAGATAAATGACAATATATTCGTTAGCGATATATTATACTGATAAAACACTACTGGATATATATATATATATATATATATATATACATAAAATAAAGAAAATTTCTACGGACAAATGTACTCTCGTGGTGCTCGATACGGGGATTGCGTGCAAATGAATCGTTTATTTCGTTGAGGCTCAAACAATTTCTACGAGAATACCGACAATTTAAACTCGGCCGATGTTGACGTTAGTCAATAAATAAAAATAACATAAGTATACGAACAAGTATAAAACAATGCATTTTTTCAATTTTACAAATCGTTCCTCCCTGTGGGGAAAATTGGAATATTCTTCCGAGTGCCTTTCTCAAGCACGAATATCACAATGGTGCTTTATCAGAGAGAACTATCCTGATCGAAGAGAAGCATTATACGGAGAATTTCGCAGCGTTTGCAGAACGAAGGAACGTGAGACGTCTCGGATGAACGTTCTCCTGATTATCATCGCGCGCAGATATCCTTCGTATCGTGTTACATTCATGCAGCGAGCGAAACGACGTGTGCAAACTAACATCTCCCAGAGACTAATCACGCAGGCGCTGCGACTAATCATGCAGGTGCTGGATGATCGTCGTCGCGTCCCATCACACTTTACACTTCGTCTTCACGATCGTTCCCGAAATTAGAGACACTGATAAACACAATGTCTTACGAAAAATAACTCCTTCGTAACAATAGATCCCGTATGCCCAACGAAATGAAGCTCGAGTATGCGTGGATTTTTCGACACACATTACGCACAATATGTTCTCGGGAATACAACAATTGGTACAAGCGCGTTTTGTACTGTGCACACGCTATATATTCACACATCAACACGACGATATATCGTGCATCGTCCCTACGGAAGATCCTGCTTCTACGTGGAATTCTCCATTCAGAAACACGCTGTCACAACGTGCTGCGCTCTATACATCGATTAGTTGCTACTTTCCTTCTACGTCGTTGTCGTTACGTTTACAACCTAGGTCGTTTTTGGAAGAGGATAACGCGGGCCCCCCGTCCCGTGCCTCTACCGGATCAGATTTGAGCGATGGGTTTGTAGGTAAGGTTGCCAGAATTTGAAAATTGAAAAATTTTAACGGACTTTTGAGAGAGAAAGAAAGACGGGAAATGTAGTTTGTAAAAAATATATTTTTTTTAAAGAATATATCGATGAATAGGAACATTTTTGCTTATTTTTAGAATAAGGAATACCTTTAATATGGACATTTTCAACATTAGCTGGGGACATCGATGGTAAAATCTGGACGTCTGGCAACTCTGTTCGTACATTAACATGAAATTTATCTTTTCTGCAATGAGTAGATCGATCGACTGCTAGTTTCTGAGTTATATTGTAAAAAACGAAGGATTGTTTGGGAATCGAACGAGAAAATTCGCAAGCTTTTCCTTAGAAAAAAGAAGACATAATTCAAATACGATTCGGTAGAGGTCGAATAGATAGACGTACATTACGTATCGTCAATCCAATTGATGTAACACGAGTTCCGCGAGAATCCCGTTACGCATGTTGCGAGGAGCGGATGTACTTATTCCGTTAAAACGTTATTCGTCCGGATATTCCACCCGGGCGGGGCGATATATAGCGCTTTAACCTTCGAAAACTATGCGACTTGGTGTAAGAATATAAATATCGTCTCGTCTATCATAATCTCGTGATCATTAAGGATACAAATACGTGAATGCTTACCCTAATAAACGCTATTTACGATTAAACGGTTCTCGAAGGCTAAAAGCTATTACACGGTTACGATGTAGAACTCTAAAAAGAGAGGATAATATATTTACCGGAGTTAAATTCATAAGAGCGCATCGCGGAGTGCCTCGTTGCGCACTCAAACGCGCGGTGCAACGGTGCTCTCGCATCGGAGCGGTGTGTCGGTCAATTTAGCTATATATAATCTACATTACTAAAAAATATTTAAAGTAGGTTCGAAACCTCAGGGATCTCCCTATTGCATCTATTCGCTACATATCGTTGTGAAACATGGACAAACTCATTCGACGAGAAAATATCATATATTTTTGTATAATAATCGCTATATATCCGTCACGTCGGTGCGATAAACTATTTTACAACACTCTATACTTTCATCAGCTTTACAGCTCTCCGAAGAGGACTCAGTTTTTGAGGTTTCGATCTCATTCTAAATCTTTCCGTAATTATATGTAATTATATGTGATCTCCAGAGGGAAGCGTAGTTTATATATATATATATATATATATATATAGTTAAATTGACGAGTAAACCGCTTCAAAACTAGTATTTTCTGAAGCAGTTGCGACTATTATTGGCTTCATTTTATCAGGCATAAGGTCAATTTCGCGTACAGACTCTCTCTTTTTCTTTCGCCTTCATTACAGCTCTTCGACTTGTATCCTTCGAAAGAACTGGCTAGCTCTAGGATGCCTCTCGGTAAAAAAGGGAAAAGAAAACAGTTACCGCGAATAACCAGTCTATGCGATATCGACTACGTCGAGAGACAGCAATGATTGCAGCACTGAAGCCCGCACACCAGCGGTACGCTAGAGCAGTTTCGACTACGTGCGTGCAGCAGGATATAAATGATTGTGACGAAGTGCTTTACCTCTGCGACTTTGATCTCGCCGCTCCCGGTAGTCGTCTCACGTTACATGCGCGGTCCAATCACAAATCGTGCGAAACGATAACGCGGTGTGTTAGCTACTTAAATCGATACTTAGTAGCTGGCCTCATGTCCAGCGAGAATGTACAAATCTGCTCCTTCCGATTCGGTCAGTGTGCCGCTGTGAACCAGATGGCTCTCCAACATGACAACCCTGTCAAACGTGACAATCATTAGTTTTAGCACGTAAATCTGACGTCGATTAAACCTTCATCTGAGTTCAAATTTTTATCTAAATAAAATAATTTAAACTTAAATTAAGATTTAATTGACGTTAGTAGAAATGGACATAGCAGTAATAAGGTTGTTCTTTTAGTTAAACTAGGTAACAATTTTTATTTTTTTTTAGCGTAAAGAAAAAAAGGAAAAGAAACAATAAAGAGATACAATTGAAAAACACAACATACATTCTTTGAGCCAAGGTTTTAAGGTATCTCACTTCTTTAAAATTACTTCAACATCATTCGTTTACTAAGCAGTAAGTATAAAAAAGTATAAAATTAATATAAAGTATAAAATTTTTCAAACTATAAGCCAGCGTATGTTTAATATATACAGAAAGTTTTGGAAACTATTTCGCTCGCATACATATTGAATTATCTTGCTTATATCAGATACATACTTATCTGAGCCAAGTAGCCTGTAAGTCCTGCTTGGATCGCTAATTTCTTGTGTAACTTCGCCATTTTTGAAACTTCTACCTTGCATACCGTGTTTGTGGAATGCCAGTACACTATCTGGTAGACAAACTGGAAGAAAACGACGTGACATTTTATTCGTGAACCTCGACATTGATTACAAAGGAGTGAAGTGGTTGATACTTACTGACAGATTCGATTTGAAAATTAAATTGCAGCTCCGACAGTTGCTTCTTGCTGACGCGGGGTTTCCCTTGTAAAGTCACCATCTTCACTACATCTGTAAATATGAATTATTCTTGAAAGTACTGCAAACGACAAAATATCTGATAACTACTGATAACACTCACTGTCGTAACAAACAAGTATCGCGTCCTTCTCGAACTGCGTGACATTAATAACATTCAAATTCTCTCTTCTTGGTATCACAGTCGCTGAAATAGTATCTTTATATTAAAAAGAATAATGTTTTCGGATTAGAAAAACAAGTTGTTTAATCTTCTGATAGAAATAGATAAGGAAAATGCGATATAAGCCATTGAGCACTGCGCACAAATGAATTTTTATCGATACCTGAACCATCCATATCTTCCAATTCATCACTATGAAACCAACTTGCTCCTGAATTCATGTTAATTAAATCCAACTTCAGTTTATTTTGCTGGTATGGCTGCTTAACTGATACACACACCATCGGGTACTCCATCTCAGGCGTGATGACCATCTTGAAGACGTTCAGAGGCGACGGTAGAACACAGTCGAAATGTTTCAGAAGCATGAATTTGTTCAATGGGTCGTACCATTGCATCAGAAATATACCCGCCGGCATTGCACCGCACAGATACTTGTATCTACGTCAAAAAATACTCGCATTCATAAATTTGTGATCACGTCAGAAAAAGAAAAAAAGTTGTTGAAGGCTCACATAATACATAGAGAAAGTATGTATTAGAAAGGACATTAATAGAAAGTATATAAGAATAGCAATAGAAGTATAGGCATTAGAAAGAAATTAGTAATTAGTAAATTAGTATATGAAAGAGTATATATCTGCAAGAAGTATATAAAACAATGTCATTTTTATTATTTACCCATTGTATGGGTTTCTCCCAACGCAACACTTGGTACATCCTTTCGTATCCGGCACTTTCGTAGTAAGGGCGAATTTCCTAGGGACTAATCTTTCCGGTATTTTGTTCATGTGCAACGAAAACCTATGAGTCTGTTTACTTAGCATCGCTAGCAAGTCGTGCCTGTACAACTGAGGTGTTTTTCCTGTAATCCGACATGAGATTCATAGGCACTTAGAGGATACACGAATTGACTAGTCGTGAGGAAAGTTGCTCGATGACTTGCTTACCCGAAAGGGACATGAGTACATCCTTGATAACATACATCCAGATAGTGCGCCTCGGGTACAATTGGTCTATCGCGGTTTCGTGGAGTTCGTTCAAGTTCAAATTGTAGATTCCTTCCTCCGCAGCGATCAACAAGTGCTGATCTCTTGTGTCTGGATGAATCCAACTTGCAGTACAGTGTATTCTCAATGGACAGCCGTTGAATACCTATCAATAATGTCAACAGAGAGATTTGATACATAAAATATGTAACAAAAGGATATAAAAGCAATTAGCAAAACGAAAGAAAAACGTGTAATGATTATAATTTATATTATATTTTTTTTATAAAATATTAAATGTTCTCAATTTTTATGTCCTATACTTTTCTATGAAAGATCAAATGTCCTCGATTCAAATGTTCTCAATTTTCAGAAACTAACCTTTGAGAAACACGCTCCCATGTGCACCTTCGGCGTAGGCGGTAACCCATTGCTAATCGGTCTTGGTGGCGTATGCCTTTTCCGATCCCTTCTTCTTGGAGGCACAGGCGGTGTGTCCGACAGTAAATCAGGACTCATACTTTCTCGATCTCGATCTGCTGATATCTCATTGTCGCCTAAAAAGAAAAATTATGTGATAGTTATTAAATTATTATATATATATATATAATTATGTGATAGTTATTAAAATAATGAAATAGTATATAAGACAGAGCGATGTTTCAAGAGAACTTGCAAAAAGTATCAATAATATTTATTACGTGCTACATATTTCATTATGATTTTTTTCATACATTAAGTATTTCACTACTGAATTCGTGGTGAGATACTTAAAATTATTTTAATATTTAATATATATTTATAAAAAAAATATATATATATACATTAATATATTTCACATATTTATACTCTATAATTATGTTTAAATTATATAATTGGTCCCTCTCGTCTTACTATAATTTTATATAAATCTAAATGTTAAAACATATATTACGATGTATAGCCTCACCATTTGATTGCGTGGACTCGTCCCTAGGGCCACTGTCTGATAATGATCGTTGACGTTGTCCATTTACAGCTGTTAGGGATTGAGAACTATTGACAAGACCATACAATTCGTCCACGGAACTGTGTCGTCTGGGGCTCGCTTGGGATCCTGTGCATAAATCTATTCTATATACCAGTGTCTGCATGCGCCGACATAAAGAAGAGAGAATAATATAAAGATTCAATGATGTAGAATCAATGATGTATAATCTACACACCAGATACATTGTAGTACGGACAATGTACTTCGCAGTCGTTCGAAGATTCTCCGAGTGGAAGAGTAGCTCTACAAAAGAAAGCGTTTGAATAGACATTAATGCACAGTTGTTGCTTCGAAACGCATACGTAATTCGGGAGAACGAAATGTGAACGCTGTTAGTAGAAAACGAATAACACGTTGAAAATGTAAGAAAAAAATATGCATTATTTGTCGCATCGCATTGTAAAATGAAGATAGTGTTTTCTCGTTGGAGCAACAATTTGTAGATGCTGAATAAAAAGAATTGTACGAGGTGTGATGCAAAAACACATTGAAATGAGAAGAAAGCTGCATATCTCAAACAAATTTTAGTATTGAAACGTCACAAAGCAATCGCACGTTATCGTGGTGTTAATATGATCGATCATATATGTAAGACCTATTTTGTCGTTACGTGATATATAGTGGATACGGATTTAACACTAGATTCTAGATGAAACAAATCATAGGCAGAAACAGATATGTCAACCTTGAGACATCTCTCGCATCAAAGGATTAGCTATTGCTCTCTCAATACCTGCGTCGTTCGATGACAAAAGTTTTCAAATGATAAACGAGATAATCGCAAGTGTATTAATAGAGTATTATCTGCGTAATACAGTGTAATCTGAAATGTGAGTCCCGTGTATGATGTTTTCAATGAATAACCAATCGAACAAAAGTGAATGACCATACTTCCGTGTTAACGTATCAACTGAAAAATAATAATTGTTTACTGTAATTCGTTATCTACTTACTGCAGGGAATATAGCTGGTCGCAATGCCCACCAACCATCGACATTGCATTCCCCCTGCACACATGAAACTGTGATCATATACTATAAAATTATAAACTAATTTTATTTTTCGATACTGCTCTTGAGGTTTCAGAATTTTATAAACAGCTCAATTAATATAATAAGCTGTACAAACATAAGGTATTTGATAAGCGACTAATACTGTTTCTGCTTTTCAAATATATTTCATGGGATATTGCGTTACAGAAAAAAAAAAGAGAAAAAAGAAAAATTGTGATTGCAATGATTTTAAACGTGTGACGATGACACGTCTCTCTCTCTTTCTCTCTCTCCCTCTTTTAAATATCATAATCCCAAAGTTTTATCCCATAATACGCGTTGTTATATCTAAAGTTCGTAACAATTGCAAATTGCCTTTTAGATCTCCGGTATGATAAATATTGCTATGTCGGGCGATTAAAGAATGTCGAATCGAAGAGGACAATGCTGTAGAATATGAACAAAAGACTTGATTACAAAACTGACATTTTCATTAAGCCTCCTCCACCAGTATAGCTAACAAAATAGATTTAGTGTGTTAGTATGTCGAGAAAACTAACATGCAACAAGTAACATCGAATACACGTAACATGAGAAAGAAGCACACTTCAAGACCCTATGTCTATCTAAAATGTGCGCATATGATATTGATGTTTTCCTGTAAATGACAGCGTGGGTGTTGATTAGATCTGTTATGATATGTGCCTTCCTTTTATTATGTAGTTTTAATCACTCCGTTCAGTAAATAGATTATAAAGAATGATTATGTACTATGTAAATTATTTGATATCTCTCTTTTGTATATTACCACTTATTTAATTCGATTTTTTAAACGTATATTACTTAAAACTTATTACTTCCTATCTGCCTAACAACGTAAATTTGGAATAATTTTGAAATAATAGAAACATATATATACATAATTTTTTTTAGGAAGAGCAAACAAATAGAATCGAAGAATACATATTGATACAAAATTATTATTTGCATGAAAACAGAACAAGATTTCAAAGAAAAGAAGCGATTAAGTTAAGCAAATTAATTCTTCGAAAGATGCAATTTACAAGAATTATGCATAGCATCAGGAGATATAAGTGCAAGGTGCAAGGTGCAAGGGAAAAGGGTTACCTGCCAATACCTTAGCAACAACTCCTCATCAATGTACTGCAATAGACTCCTGTTGGGAGAAATTATTAGAATTACAAACTGATCAGAAAAATTAAAAATACGGGGAATAAATAATAGAAGTAGATTACAAAACAAAACTTTTAGGACAAAGAGAGAGAAAAAAAGAGTTATAGATATGGGAATATTTATCAGTGGCAAGATATAAATATTTCAGAATTACACAACCGAGTGCTATATCATGTTAAAAGAAGGATCAAGGATAGAAATAATTTCAATTTTTCATACAAATCGGGAGATTTTCAGAGTATCTTTTGAATACTTTTCATCATAAAATTTCGAGAAATATTTGTAAAATGAGTATACCAAACTTTGTAGGTACAGAAAGAGTCGCTTTTTTAGTCGTCTTTAATTTGCAATGAATAATTCTAATGTATGAGATCGATATGTTGGTGTATACATAAAGTACATTCTGAAGTGATTGTATTTACTTTGATAAAATGCATAACATATCAACACTGTTCGAAAACTTTTAATCATGCAATATCATACAAGCAGTCACGTCTATCGCTTAACATGCAAAAGGTGTGGTGCTTGTGATTTAATATATATATATATATATATACACACACACACATATATATACATATATATATATATATAACGTATTGTTAAATCTGTCTTGTCAGAAAGTGTCTGTATACGTAATAGTCTTTGTTACAACAAACTCTAACTAATTATACTTGGTTAAAGAAAATCGTTAATTCCATCTATATACTTGTTACATTTGAAGCCATCTTGATTGATATAAGAAAGTTAAAATGCAATTTTGTTTTATATTTACATGTTATATTAGAGGCTGCAAAATTTGAATACCAATTCTAATATAATATTTTCCATTATTCAAGAAGGCAAATCAAAAGTTTTCACGCGTTTTATGAAATTAAAAGTGTAAATGTACATCACTTGTCTTGGGAAGCGCATATCCTTGTTATATCCAGAATAGAAAAGAATTTTCACGCCACACTAACTGGGGAAGACGTTTATGTTACCTTAAAGTCATACGAAATATCTCTGTGCCTGTTTTGCTACGACGTTTCAATATTTTACTTGTCATAACGTTCGCGCCAAGTGTACTGGTACAAAAATAAGTACGAGTAAATAAATAGTAAGCAATTTTTGTCCACGAAGTCGAAATAACAGCTAATCAATAACAACGGAAGACGGGAGGAACGAATGTGCTACAGTATTTAACGATTTTGCGATTATTCTGCCAGTTATTTCTGTGATCATCACATTTTGCACAAGAGTCTTCTAAATTTATCGAGATATTTCAGAGAATATGATGTGCTGCTGTTTCAAGTGTAAGTGATAAATGTACACGTTTCTCTCTCTATCTATCTATCTATCTATCTATCTATCTATCTATCTCTCTCTTTCTCTCTCTCTTTTTCTCTCGTTCACTCGGAACAATTATGACATGATGCAAAGCATAAGCACACATGCCATATGCGAGATGTACTTATTAGTTACTATCAGCCAAAAACAAGATGTCTTGATGACCCTTATGATACAGCATACCGTATTGCTGTCTTGTTTATGCAGTCAGATAATTGTATTTCGTCCGCAAGTCACGGTATCTCTTTAAACCATGTGTATATATAGAGATGTGTGTACATAAAACATAATGCACATCGAGAAATTAAGATATTGCGTTGGAACTTGTATCTTGAGTCTTGTTCTGAACATTTACAAAACAGATATTTACGAAACGAGAAAATCTCGTCGAACAAAACAGCAACTACCATATTAGTGAAAGTGATACCGAAGCTCCGATCTATCCGATGTTTTGTGGGAATGTGTGAGAGATAGACACAAGAAAAACACAAAATAACTTACTTCTCCTGAACATCTTCGAACGCTGAACCGATCCCACAGTCTGGATGCACATCACAATTATGTACAGCCTAGATAAATACGCAGATCAGATGTTCAATTCCGTTACCATATACAGTACGTTTTCGTTAATTGTTATATCGTAACATAGTAATTATATAACATGTAGATATATAAGCCATTATATAGTATACGATTACTATATTATATCACGTTGACAAGCTTGCGCTATTGCAACTACGTTCATTGACGAAATACTCAACAAAATTACCTTGACATTGTTCATGATATCCATAATGTCCCATGCTGGATTACTGTCCACAGATGGTGATATGGAGTCACGTTGTAACGTTCCTCCGTCAATATTGATTTGATCTGTAAGGCGGATTACAATGACGAGCGTGTTGAAACGTGAGTAAGATGATGACATACTATTCGCTATTAATCCATGCTTACCGTCACTGTCCAACTGCGATATACTCTTCGGTCTGGGTCTTGCGGTATGACGCGAAGCTATTCTTTGTGGAACATTGGGCACCGCGCCATCCTCATCGGCTTCCAGATCGGCGAACATGTGGCTAGGATTCGACACTTTTTGCAACAGTTCTAATGCCAACCTTTTACTCATTTCTCCTTGGAAAAACGCATGCTGCAATTCGAGATGCTCCGTACAGATCTGGCGTTTATCTCACGAAAGCATCAACATCGAATGAGATGGCAATAATAACCTGAAGCAACTTCTCCGCCGTCGGTCTTTTCTTCGGATTCTTTGTAAGCGCTACTTTGACGAAATTGTGGAACGTCGGACTCCATTTGTCACGATCCTTCAGTGTCGGTGGCTTAAAGCCCGATTTGGACATGAGAAAGAGGGCGCGCATCGGGTGCAGGTCGAACATTGGTGGCTGCAACTCCGCCAATTCTATTGCGGTTATCCCGCACGCCCAGATATCACATAGCTGATTGTAACCGCCTTTTCTCTCCACAGCTGCTACCTGTAACATCGTCAAAAACTCGATCAGTCTGCAACAAAAGTACGAAATATACTTTTCTTTAAATATTACCGAACTATAAGTACCTCGGGAGCCATCCAGTAAGGTGTGCCAATGAAGCTTTTTCTCTTATTAATCGTCGCAGTGATTTGCGCGGACACACCGAAATCTGCCAATTTTACATCACCCGTTTCAGTTAATAATATATTGGCACCCTTAATATCACGATGCATCTTTCCCATGCTATGTAAATAAGCTAAACCCGTCAGAGTTTCCCGACACATATACGCTATTTGTATTTCTGATAGTGGTCCAGTTACTGCAAATAAGAAACATAATTGCAGCTTCAATAAAGGGAGAATAAAACTACTTTATAAATTATTAGGTGACATTGTCATAAACTGTTATTATATTATTATAAAATATTTATATAAAAATTGTTTATAGGATTTAAATATTTGTTACCAAAATTTTATTTCATCTATCATTGTAAATATTAAGTAACAGATATTATACATACTATGATATATATCTTGCAACGATCCACCTCCACAATATTCCATACATATCCATAATTTATCTCTTCTCAAATAACTGCCATAATATGCAATAATATTGGGATGCCTACAGTCCTTCATCATTAGAATCTCTTGTTGAATAATCGCAAAGTCATCACCTATAAAACACACAGTAGTACCACAAATTGTCTTGTTCAGCTGTTCTTCATTAGCAAATTTCTATCATTTACAGTGGCTTGACACTATCTCTCGGAAGCAAGTGCACAAACAAACAGTTAATCTAGACAATCTGATAAACAGGCATTTTTACAGCCATATTTCATCAGAAGATCATCATATCACTCTGTACACTGCATGAAAATAACAATATATAAGGGACATGTCACAATAAATGAAAAACTACCAAACGCCAAGATCGGTAGAGATCCTCACAACACGGCCATACGACTTCAAACACCCGGTGGATGACAACACTCACCTGGCTCTAGCTTGATAACCTTAATTGCCGCGAGGTCGTTCATAGACAGCCGTTTAGCCTGCGAAAAGAAAACAGAACAATTGCGGCACCTGGTCGTCGATCATCAGGTGCACGACGAAAGCGATACCGACCTTGTAGACATCACCGTAGGTACCACTGCCGATTCTCTGGATGAGCTCGTACTCGTCCTGGGGATTCCTACGGCTGATATCACTGGACAACGCGTTCGCGTTCACGGCCATCACGAGCGGCGCGGAAAGGAGCCGACAAGAAGAGAAAAAGAGAGCGAGAATGGTGCGTGACACCTGGTGCGTCGGGATGCGCTCTTAGCCGCCGTGAATCGATGCGCGCGTGATCGCAGCTGCGTCCGGACAGCGTAGCGGAACCATCTAGCTCGTCATCGTCAGGATGTCACAGCAGCCGTCGAGACGACGACGTCGCCATTGTCCACAACAGCCCGAACCGCTCTGACATTGGCCGCGATCCGCGGCCACGACTACGCCGTAATGTGCTGCTGTTACGATATGCGATATGCAGCTGCAGCGAGGAATCGATGCATCGCTCAACTACAGTCTACAGGCCGACTGACATGTGCCTGCATGCTCTCCGGGAAATTTCGGGGCCGTAGCGCGCTAAGCGGAGAGCGACGGAAGGAACTCGAGCGATGGCCGATCGATCGCAGTTTCAATTTCGATCGATCGCGCTAGTTTTTCTTTTCGAAATTTCGGTGACGACGGTCACACTGCTCGTTCCTGCGTACACCCTCGAGATGTACGCTCGATTTGGCCGCGCGATTGGTCCGCTCGCCCGTCGCTCGTTGCGCTCTGTCTCCGATATTGTTGCACATTTTTTTAACGCGCTAACTATGGCCTTAATTAGAAGTTGCGGCGAAGCCGCGTCGTCCACATGGAAACCGCCCGTCCGCACTGCCGTTTCCAAAATTGGGTCATATTCATGGTGAAATAATATTCAGATCGTTTAAGTGTAATTAAACACAATATTAATCAGGAGATAAAAATAGACCAGATGTATAAGTTTAAATATGCGGTTTTTTCCGCATATTCTTTGCGCTGATCAATGTACTCTCTGTCGAGAACAAAAAAAGTGCTCCATCGATATCGCCGATGATTACGGCTGCAACTTGAAGTGCACGCTGCTACATCGGTACAATACTCGGTCGATATCTCGAGTGCGCCTCGATCGAGCTGGAAATTATCTGTCGTGAATAAGCGATGGCGGTAGGAGGACGATGGGCAAACATGAGGTTTGTTTTTTAATTAAAGACTGCGTTTGGTCGAACGGAATATAATAGATAACTGTTATAACGCGTCACTGATTGTCGGTTTGTGATCTTATGCCTATTTCTACCATTGTCGACCACATCTTAATCTGAGTTGAAATTCTTGTCTGAATGAAGTTTAAATTCAGGTTAAGGTTTAATCGACGTTTGTAGAAACGGATTATAAATCTTCATCTGGTTAGGTTCATCTGGATGGAGTTAGATTCAGACTTTTGATTGATTTTGGTAGAGACGGACATTAGTCGTCTTCGAATGTCTCGCAAGGTAAAACGTGATGAAACGAGGTGAAACTTGAATTTCGCAATTATTATTGTGCAATTTCGCGAATTATTCGTAACGTTCTGCAGATCCGCGCGTTGATCTTTGAATGTTCTATCATCGCGCGATGTCCCGAGACCCGAATATAGATTTTGTCGACGATGTTTGGAGGCAGAATCACGAAGAGCCCGTGGAAACTGATCGAGCACAAAGAAGATGCGAGAGAGAGAGAGGGAAAGAGAGAGAGAGAGAGAGAGAGAGAGAGAGAGAATAAAGCGGCTAAGAAGAATAGGTCGAACGCGAAATGTTGCATTTCATACACAGTACGTACGTGGCGGCGGCATTGTGATAATACGCTCGAATAATTAGGATAGCGCAGGAGAGGATACAGGGTTGGATACGCACGCGTGAGCCCACGTTTGGGGTCCGTCTTCCGCTTCCAGTCCGGTCACTATGAAGCACGATGTGGAACCGAGTTAGAACTCTATATGGAATATATAAAAATCACACTCCACAGGCTACCGTGCGCGCTTTAAAACGAGGGGTTTAACACCAATGCTTACGCACCGGCCACGACCAACAGGCTCCACGCGTAAACTTCTCGCGGCCGAAACATAAATAACCCAGGGTGCAATCCGTGCTAGATGCTTTGTAGACTCCGAAGCGTCTTTTTACACCCGGGATTAATGACGTCATTACATAGCTAGGACGCTCCGGAGCGTCTAATGGATCCTCTTCACAGCATGAATTCTATATGTGCTAATCATCTTATCGGTCGGAGCCATCACGTGCCAGACAGCGTAAATTTTTAAAAGACGTTTTTAAAATATCGAAAATACGATTTATTTATATTAAAATTTTCTGCACGTTTTTCGACGTCTTCAAGATGTCTTTTATCTTTTAAAAATTTATGCTCTTTGAAATACTACGTATGTGCTTGTTTATATATAAGTGTAAGTTTTATTATATATATATATATATATATATATTATAATTATATATATATAATTTTACATAAATATATTATATTTGTGTACGTAATATATGAATATAATATAACTATAAATTGTTTTCTTAAAGAGAAAAGTAACTCAGATCGTAGCTTTCTGCGTTACGATTAGATTTTCAAACTATTCTTATTTTTACAATGACTTCATTCTACCTAAGTGTCCATGAATCCGTACAGTTTTCTCGAGAGAAAGAATAATTCAATTCTTAATTCTGACTCGCAGCGTAGCGTGTCATACTGCTGGAACTGTATGTCCTGGACATTCTATTTACCACGCGCACTTTCTTTCCGCGCCACGGACTCCGTCGTCGTCGTCGTCTTCGTCGCGCTACTTCAATCCCTTCAGAGTAAGTTTTTATTCAGTAAACATTCTTGATCGTTTCTCGACTTTTTGCAAATTACTTGGCGAAAAGCGTGAGATCTTTATTCAATCTGTGATTAAAACGGAGTTCTAATGTAAATACATTGTGTCTGAAACTTTCTCTTATTGCGTATAATCTTTTGTGATTGTATGTTGATGTAATATAACAAACAATGCAACTATTAGGAATAATGAGACTTTTATCATCTCTAATATCTTTATTTATCAGAGAATGATCTCTTTAAATACTCATAAATCTTTAAGTACCCATAAAGAGTTGATTCATATGCGATGACTTTCCACAAACTTCAATTAAACTAATCGAGATTTAGTCGATAGGATTATCGATTGCAATTTCGACATATATAATTCGTCACTCAACAAAGAAATTAATTATTATTCTATTCACGCTAATGAAATAGAGCTAATGTTAATTTAAAACAACTTTAAATACAGATTCGAAAAATTTTCACTTATTTTTTCTTAATATATATTTCTGTATTTATGTATATTAAAATATTTCTCTATATCCAGGCATGTACGTTTTTATCAGGTGTTTTTTCGTTTTGTTTTTCTTATTGGCAACTAGGACGGGACAGTCGCGAGTCAGTTGTTCAGATTTAATCGGAATTTTCTGAAAGCCGCTCCTAAGATGCTGAGGTATGCACTAATGTATCCTGCTGCGTAGAAGGTAACCGTCTGGGATCGTTAGATAATGGAAAAGGTCCAACGGGAACATAAAGGGAAGAAAAGAAGAATTCGAATGGGTCCGGATAGTTCCCCAATTCGACGACGAGTGCGCTGGCTTACTCCGCGCGGAGATACGACCCTTCAAACTGGGAAGGTAGCTCATTTCTACCGCTGTTAGTGCGACCGGGTGGATCGGGAGTGCTTTTCCGGAGCTATGCCTGCCGTGTCAGGCGTGTTAGTGACGAGTATCAGTGGATCGTTCAAAGCGGAGATCAAGAATCGATTGTCATCCAGCATCGTGCGAAATTGTGCGTAACAGACAATTTAATCTCCGATTTGTCGTTAACATATTTCGTTAAGTTTCGCAAGATCGTTTATATGATTGTTCCTTCGCCGCGCCGTGAAGCGAAACGATAATTCTGGTGAAAGCATTCGCAACTATTTCGATCGGCCCGCAGACTTTCGCGCTGTTAAGTGCGCGGTAGTAAAAAGCGAGCGAGTTTGCGCCGCTTCGACGAATTTTCAAGTGAATGACTCGCGCGAGTGAAGGTTCCGCGATTACACGGACGAAACGATTTACACGATTGATCGTCGCTGGCGAAATGCGGCGCGCAGAATGAGCGGTCGAATCACGAGTGCACTTCTACGACTTTAATCTCCGTGTACGTGAAACGCGGATGAAATAGTGATTCTATTAAAAACTGTGTTTGGAATTGACGAAGGTAACTGAAATTGTGCGTATTCCGCTTCGCGTTTCCTCCTTTATATATTATTTTCTTTAAAGGACATCGCTTTCCTTAAAATCCATCAGTCTGTGCATTTCGGAAAATCTGTTTAAAGACGAATTTATGGACTTTTACAATTTAAAAGACGATTTTTCTGAATTCTCATGCCTCGAACTACTCTAATCTATCATCTTAACGAATCTTTCTTCCGTTTCTTAACGATATATGACGATATATAACGATTATATAACTTATTGATAAAATTCCCAATTATTGGCAAGTTCGCGAAAATGACGAGCGGTCTCTCGATTCGCCTGTTGACACTTCTCGTGGTTGTGTATACCTGTTGCACCGTCGTCGAGGTCAATGGTGAACAGCAGTTTATCGAAACGCCACCCTCTTACAAGGAAGTGACACTTGGTCAAGATGTGCAGCTGCCATGCAGGGTGCGAGACAAACGTGGCGAATGCGCCTGGCAGAAGGACAGGAAAATTGTGACTATGCGCTCGAAGAAATACCAAATGTTGAACGATCGTGACAACGACTGCACTTTGGTGATCAGGAACGTCTCCTTGGATTTTGACGACGGCTATTGGGAATGTCAGGTCGGCTCCAGCGATTTAATGTATCAGGACGCGCTCACGTCCTTGCCGTCGAGGCTGCTCGTGATAGGTGAGATCCTGATTCGAGCCATTCCATTCTTAGCGGGATGTCAATGTCTAGTCCTACATAAATTACCAGGATGCCTGAAAAGATCTTCGAGGAATTTCTCCAGGAGAACTGGAACGATCCGGGAGAATAAAGTGAATCAAATCGCTTGAATAGTGGCAGGTTTTCTGTAAAAAAAAGGGGCGGGAGGAACGTGAGTTTGCACAGAACTGAATGAATAGACACCCTGACACGCTGTTTTATTACCCCTTTTTCTCTTAGAAAAAAATGGACACGATCTTTTCGGGCACTCCAACCTTTGGATGAGAACTTTGCAACATCGATGGAATTTATCTTTCTGTTGATTGAATTATACAAATTCATTACAATTAATATGATACAAAGATATATAATAGTTTATAATAATTTTGAAAGTAATATGCAGCGGTAAATCCATAATCCTGTCTTAAAATTTACAGATATGTTCTATATTTTAAAATTAGCAAAAAAATCCCGATAGACACGTGTCAAAAATTATCATTTTTTAAAGTACAGCAATGTTTAATTTCAATGTAAATTATACGAGAAACTTGAAAATTAGTATAAAACTGAAATGGATATGGAAAAATCTGGTTAAATAATGTGAAATAAATAATATTAAATAAATTTTATCTAATTTTCTCTTACATAACGTAAACATATATTTGAATATGAAGTATTATTTTCGTATGCGACAATATTCGACTACAATGTATACAAAACATTTACGATGTCTTAAGAAATCAGTCGAGAGAGTTCGAACATATAAGATAACTGATGTACGACGTATCGACGCGTGTAAGACAGCTAATGGAAGCTATTTCGATTTACTGTAGAGTAACACTCAAAATAAGGCTGGCTGTTATTATTTTAAAAGATTGTAGTTTCACGATCCATATTTTCTCGAATTTTTTTGTTAGTTTTGAGGCGCAGGATGCAGCTGTAAATTATGTAACAGGAATTCGGATTCGCTTTGTAAAATTAGTGTTGTAATAGAAAATGCGATCGATGTTGTAGTACGTTAAAAGTTTTATATTTATGTTGTGAAACAATTTATCTGTTCATTTAAACATTTCTTTTATTTAAAACATGTGATATATAGTTTATATACTTAAAATAATGTACTTAACATAATTAATATAGTAATTAATATATTTGATATAATAATATACTTAAAGGCAACCACGAATATTTCATCAAAGCCCATTGGGTCATTTGGGTCGTTAGTATTCCGCGAACATTGACTTCGAATGATGCAAGAAAACGCATGGAGCAGCCGTTATGCTCTACTTTTCTGCACTTTTGCAACATCCGTGTTAATGGAAATTTGGTCGAGTGCTCTTAGTGACTCAATTGACCCCTTGAACGATTACTCATTTTGTATTTGCTCACAAAGTGACGATAAAATCACATTTAAGTCACGTTAAGCTGAAAAGGCAGATCGTTAAGAGTGATATAAAAATTAACGGTTGAAGTTTTTATGAAAGAATCGTTTCGCGTTATTAGATTTTCTTCATATTAAACTGATTTAACGAATATACTTTTATCATATTTATCGTATGAATTGTTTAATGCGAACTAGACACACACACCTGCACACACATACGAACGTACTTTTACGAACATGTTACATGCTACATGCTTCGTCCCTATTTATCCCTTCAGCTATTTATTCTATTGTAAGAATCTCGAAAATATGTAGTTCTAACACAATCATTTCTATTTGTATCTACCCTATCTAAATGTATCTTAATGGTTCAGTGAAACCCAAGCCACCTACGTTGGAGTATGATAGAAGTCAACCTATAGACGACGCTTTATCGTTAAAGGAGGGACAGGAAATTACGATCGGCTGCTCTGCGCAGAACGGAAATCCACCTGCACTTATCAAGTGGTAAGGGAATATTCAATTCTAAAATTCGTATCTCACTAAAATGATAACGTTGAAATAACAATCACTCACTAAAATGATAACGTTGAAATAACAATGGATAATAGTAAAAGAAAGAAAAGAGAACAAGAAAGAAAATAAATTATATTTAATATTAGAAATAGAGTGTAAAATTTGAAAAAAAAGGAAATGCTTACAATCCAAATACGTAAAATTAAAAAAAATTAGAAGGTATATATTTGCTTTATGCTCAAGTCCGAAAGAATTACACGCAGTATAGTTGAAAGGAATACATGAATTCAAAGGAAATGATCACTGCCTTTTGGTAATTCCCGCAAATTTATGTACTACTATTGATCATGAAACGGTTACATCACAGAAGAACAGCTTTACACAAAGACTTTAGCGTTGCCTGTATCATGTTAAAGTTTCTTTCTTTGAAAGAGTCTAACGTGACTGAGAGAAAAGAAATACGACCGTTTTAGGTATTTCCTTGGATAATTTCGGGTCGGATCAGTTTAAGGTAACTTTTTACCTGAGAGAAAGTTTCATCCCTCAGAATGAAATATATGCTCAGGCGCATCCCGAAGTCAAGATTGATAGAAACAGGGAACTCTACAACGCGCAGCCGAGAAACTAACTATATCCGATTATTTATACTAAGTTATGTGGATTATTTAATCTGAGTAAGCTCGAGAGAAGAAGTGACAAAGAAAACCGTTGAGATAAGTCTCTTTTCCGATGTAAACTCGTACGCTATACGTTTTACATGAAATTCTCACTTGTCTCAACTTAGCTTCCAATTTCTCTCACTCAAAAACTATTATATTAGAACATTAAAAGCATGTTTCCAGTTAATTTCTGAGAAAAAATTTTTTGGAATACACATTTGTTACATATGATACATAAAATAATTTTTCACGTACGATCTTAAAGAATTTCGACATCCTCAAGAGAACGCTGTGAGTGTTATGAACATGTTGAAAATGTACAACATTTGTAGAATATACTCAAACATCCTTATAAAGTACATTTAAAATCATAAGATTTTCGATAAAGAAATGCCTTCTGCTTTTCACCGTTTAGATGTTATTTATTCAGGAGAAAAAACCAAATTTTTTTTTTCAAAGGAATGTTTCATCCCCTAAACTTTTATATGTGGGCACTTATAAAAAAAATATACGTCCCTTATTTTCGTTTTGATTTCAACATGTTACGAGCTCATCAAAATCGGAGAAAGACATTATCTCGTGGGTTTCCTTGTAAGTGGCGCGCTTTATGCACATTCCTGCGTTGCGCGGCTGCACTTGTTTTCTTACTTCGTAGAAGATATCGCTATTCTCAAACATGAACCATGAACGACGGACGGCCGGTTCGCGGATCGTGATGCTCTAGTGCGAGAGTGCCGTCGTGATCTGGGCCTGGCCTAGTCTGGCTTGGCTTGGCTTGGCAAGAAGCCGTGACGTTATGTTTATGCAGGGGAAGGGCCACCGAGCGCGGAGGCATCGTCGTTTTGTTTTACGCTCTACTGAATTTAGCCGCGCCTTATCTATATTCTTACGATGTAAAACATCTGGTCGGACGGCACGCGCTTCTTTCGGCAAGCGCATGCCTCCCCATCGAGAAGAAAAAGAAGAAGAAGAAAAAGAAGAAGAAGAGGCAACAGCAGCGGCGGCGGGTGTAATTTATCCCTCGAACGGCGGCATATGTACTACTTCACAAGAGGATCGTTAATGAAGGGGCCCTTTGACAGAACACTGCGAACGCTCATTCGCAGTGATGCAACGTCCGCCAACATTACTGCGCCAACTCGCGAAGAAGCACGTCGAATAACACAAACGGCGCCTCTGGGATACCTAAGCTATCGGATGACCATTCCTGCGAACTTCTTCCCTGCGACCGTGGGCCCGGTATTGATTTAGGATCGCGCGATTTCGCCACTATATGTATTTACAACGTCGCCCATTCTTACGAAAGAAATCGTCGACGACCGATTATCCCGATGGACCGGATCATCCTGATGGATTATCCGTGATCGAGCGGAGACGTCTGCAATATTTGCGTGTTCCCATGCGTTTATTTAGAGTCACGGTCCTAATGAAGAATTCGTCCGGCCGGGACTCGCCTCGAAACAATATCGAGCGCGCATTCTTTTACGACCGATAATAGCCACGCGGTTTAATGATTCCAGCCCGGTGGTACCTTTTTCTTCACGTTGCGGACACGGCTGTGTGCCGAGTATAATTATGTAGATTATAGCCATAGAAACGGAGAAACTGGCCGCGAGCGTAGTCCCGCCGCTGACGCCGTTGCGCTTGTGAATCACGTTAGAAAAGGGTACGGACCTTCGGCTCCGTTCTCTTCCTTTGTTTTTCTTTTTCGCCACAAAGAGCGGCTCCGGTTTACCGGAAATCGGTAGATTTGGCCGGATCACTCGGAAACGATGCTGCGCGACACCGTGTCCCCCGCTAATGACAGGCGTTGCACGCTTCCGGAGGACATCCCGCCTCTTCTGCAGTGTAACACGGTATTGAGTTCGTCGGTTCGACAGATGGCAGATCGCCCACGCCGGACGTGCTCATATATGTCTTGTCGAGACACTTTCCAGACACAAAAAGTTAGGAAGACTCAACATTTGCGTGTCGTAAAGGTGTCTCAAATCTTTCCCCTCTATTATCGCTGAAAAAATGTAAATCGTCGATTAATTCACGATGATATACAATATCACCCTACTTCTCCTCATTATGTGATGTTGTTTAAGTTCAATCATTAGTTTATTTTATTCAGGGGCAAAATCGATGATTGAGAAACATCTTATTTTAAACATCTTACAAACATTATTATGAGACGTTTTGTAAACTTCGTTGCGAGAAAAAATGTCTTGAAATAATTTTTTATAAGATTTGTTTTCAGAAAGTATATATAGAAACGTTTTAGAAAAAGGCGACTTATTTTTAAGATATTTTTCAGAAGTTTCTACTGTTCGTGTTTTTACACTAACGGCGATAACAGTTATGCATGTGTTGTTATGGCAACTATCATGGCAATTTTGTGGACATTGCGCACGAAAGAGTAGAAACTTTAGAAAAACATATAATTGACAGCTAATTTCTACTCATGTGACTTGGTCAGTTTTACGTTCGAGTTATGATACGGAGTTATATTTCCTTTCACTCTATACATATGGTTCTTTCAGAACTGTGATGTGACTTATGGTCAAAAACCATATGCTATCGAGCAGTAGGCTGCCAAATAGAAAGAGAGAGAGAGAGAGAGAGAAGAAAGAAAAAAGAGAGAGAGAAAGATATCAGTTACTCTCCTCGACCTAATCTTAACTTGACCTTAAAGTCGATACAGTTTATGATAAATTCATAATCTAATCATAAATATCGACTAACCGCAGTATAATATGTGATAATGAATGAGAAATATTCTCTACTTTCACATTTAAATAATTATAGAGACATATATATTCGTACATATATAATATATGTCAGACTCCTCAATATAATTGAGATATAAAACTCCTCAAAAACGCAAGGAAAATGTTTTTCGAATTTTATAACGTCTTATGTATATCTTTAACACGACATAGTATTGTGTGAGCATTAAATATCGATTTTTATATATAATTAGATTTACTCAAAAGAGAAACCCAAGATTAAAACTAAACCCTGATGGTATAATCCTAGAGTTAATAAGGAATCTACAAGTAAAAGAGAAAAAATGATTCGCTTTTTGAATACTTAGTATTTGTGTTTATATTTAAATAATTATAATTTGTATTGTACACGTATTGTAACACGATATAACATAATAAAATTTGTTCGGGCAGGTTCATAGGGGACCAAGAAATAGAACCTTTGAGGGAGCAGCAAAACATATCGGAGTCGCATAAGACCTGGATAGCTCAGAGTCTTTTACGGTTGCACGGTCGAAGGGAATATCATGGATTATGGATCAAATGTGTGGCCATACATGCGTCAAGCTCGTCTCAGGCCTTGGCGAAGTCTCGAATAAACGTACTATGTATGTACATTTGGTGTAACGAATCGTATTGATTGCGTTATTATAGTTAAACTAGGATGAATAGAAATTAGAGCACGAAAGAGGAAAACAGAATACTCTAATACATTTAACACTAGCTGGAATATTCTCCTCCCTTACACTTTGCATACTCTACTGACGACTATCTTCTTGTGTCTAATGTTGACCTGACATCTGACTTCCAGATTTGCCGGAAGTGCAGATCAGATCGAACCCACAGCCGCTCACAGCCGCGCCAGAGGATTTGGAAAGCTTCTTAGGTCTAAAGTGTCTGGTGGACTCTAATCCGCCCGCCGAAATCAAGTGGTATAAAGGCTCGTCACCATTGAACGATGCCATGCTTTCGCAGCTGAAGTACAACAAGTCGCAGATAGGTGCCGATCTCGTACAGATCTCTGAGCTGCGTTTCGAGCCGGTCAAGAAGCAGGACGCCGGGATGTACTCGTGCAAGGCGGTCAACATCATCGGTGAAAGCGTTCCGGCCAGCTACAGCCTAGACGTGCAATGTTCGTGGAATTATACCTTGCTCGATAGATACGTCATTCTCCTCCACACCATTTCCTCCTCGGCTACTTCCTTCCAGAACACGGTCTACACGCATCGTTTGACATCCTCCTGCGCGCAATGATACGCTATGCTCGCGGTCGCAATGACGACTCCTCGTGCTCGCGATTCTTCCACGGTAGACACGCGTACAGTTACATATACAGTTGCTACATACGATTGTATATTATATTATTTACCGTGAAAGTTCGAGCTTTTCTCTTGCTCTTTCTCTCCCTTGTTTCTCTTTCTGAATTTTACGTTTGACTGCTCCATTTCGACATGATACAATGAAAATAAAAATACCGTTGATACCTCCGCGACTCAAGATTCTATAGGATGATGCTAATTGATGCTTATGCGCAGACAAGCCAAGGGTGAAGAATATAGAAAATGTTGCGGAGGATGACTTGGTGAAAACCGTGCAATTAGGCTCCACGGCGGAGCCGTTCGTGTGTCCTGAGTTCGACGCCAACCCGCCTGCGCAATACCGATGGACACATTCTCGCCGCAAGTCCACAGCCTTTACGATGAACGGTCAGGCCAGCAGCGACAGCCGACGTCTCCGTTTGGAGCACATCACGTGGTCAGACCAAGGCGAATATACCTGCGTCGCGTTCAACACGATCAACGGTGTGAGGAAGGAAACTAACAACAAACAACGCTACATAATAAACGTGACCGGGCCACCGGAGATCCAGGCAAAATCCGATCATATGAATAATCACGAGTCGATCGGTTGGATCGGCGAGCGTGTACACACACTCAAAATCCGATTCTGTTCGCAACCACCGCCGAAACTGGTCACGTGGCAATGGGGAAGCAATCAAATTCGAGCCGGTACGATAGATATTCAATTTCAGAGACGTTGACTGTCGCGTTATATCCAGGTGACGTGTAAGTTCTCGCAAGAACTCGCCTATTTGTGGCTAACGGTTCTATTTGCCTAATTAGGAATAACTTTACCCGTTAAATACTAATTAACAGTAACATTACATCATCGTTATCGTTTCTCATTCAACACAATGTATCTGTTATGTGCACCTGTTATATTACATTTACATTGCTTTTTGAGTAGAAAATTATAATATTAATTTAATATTATTGTTAGTTGATATCTACTGAATGTCTAGGCATTCAGAAGTATTTAGAAATATAGAAGAATATTTAGTGTTTTCATAATTTTGAAAATTTACTTTAATATTTAAAAGTATTTAGAAGAATATTTTGCATGGAGAAAAGAACAAAATATCATTGACACAATTCGCCGAGATTTTGAATCTGGTAGGAGGATGTACCTGAATTCAACGTAGCAGTTAACGTAATAATAATCAAGTCTACTCGTTAGAAAGTCTCCCGTGTGATTTATCAATATTTTTTTGTCACTCTTTAAATAGCGGAGAACATTAATCCGAAGTACGAAGCGTTGCCGTTGGAAACGATTATCGAACATGGAATAGTAACCAACTGCTTCTGGGCAAAACTGGAGATTAAAAATCTGCAGAAAGAAGATGCCCGGATATATACCTTGTTGGTGCAGAGCGAAAAAGGCGAAGACTCGGCGAGAATCAAATTGCTAGTAAAAGACTCCACTGAGACACGAATGATAGGAGTTACCGTGATTATCGGTTTGCTGTTAGTGTTGACGTTGATCTTGATCGGTGTGTGGTCCCTAGTGCGATGGCGACGTCGACGGTATCGTCAAGGGATGGAGGAGGATGGTAGTATAGCGGCGGACGCGTTGTACAACAACGGTGCAACGATGGACCGACAAAAAACCATCAACTCGTCCACCCATGTGAAGACCTTCGGGAGAAAGCCCAGCCTGGACAGCGACCAGAGCGCATACGATTATTCTCACGTGGTGAAGCAAGCGCGTACTATGAGCCCGGAAGCGCTGAAGGTCAGGAGAGCGCCAATGGTGCTGCAATCGCCCACTATCGTTTGATTAACAGAGACTGTTGACTTACTATTAATTAAATAAGAATGATTTTCTCATAAGCGTCGGTGTTTTATACCTTTCTTTTTATTGTTTTGAATACAATTCGGCACACAGCCGATAATCCAATGAAAGAACTATTCATTCCGAGAAATTAAGTTCTCTCATTCGAGAGAACGTTTGACTGCCAGTGAGGATATAATGCGAGAGTCTATAATTTGACGTATTCAAATTAAAGACTAGAATTAAGATAAAGACGAAGCGTAGCGTAACTCTCAGTACTTTTACAAATAGATTAGTATGTCAACGGTGCAACGTACATTCTCGCATCGGCATCACTCCCTGATGCATAATGTGGTGCGAAGTGTTCTTAAAAGACTGTGGATTGTTTTTATATTTTTATAGTACATCGTTGAATGATATTTTCCTCGGATTTTATTTATTATCATGTTACTTGTTGTATACTTTATCGTGATGAGGCTACAATAGTAATTTAAGCGCACCAGATAGAGAGACGCACGTCGCGATAAATGCTGTGTGGAAAGACTTCTGTATCCCTTCGCACGGACACAGATCCTACAGTCCACGTCGTCGGTGCGGAACGAAGCGTAACGTTTCATAGCGGTTGCATCTCAGTGACTTTAATGGCGATTATGCGCCGGCGGGAGCGGTACAAAACAAGGCGAACTTTGCAAAAACGGTATACTCATACAGTTTCATATTTCAATACGTGAATTAAGCTACGATACATAGCTAAGTAGGAAATAATTTACATTTTCAAAACACTTCATGTCCTGTTATTATTTGTTTATCTTCGAAACCGTGAAATATATGGAATTTTGTTAGACAAAGATTTTATATTTAATGTTTATTATAATTGAGTATTTAGATTTTCCTCAAAAGTAATGTTTCAACATATTCTCAATTTATATTACATGTTTGAAAAAATTAAATATAAAATTATAATTTATATCAAATATCGTAAAATCTTTTCTAAAATGTTTTTTTTCATATATCACGTAACACGATTTGTTTACAACTATAAAACAGAATCAAAACAGTTCATTGATCTGACATCATTCATTTAATTAAGATCTTTTATATGATTGAAATTACGACGTATTGAAATTAGATATTACAAATAAAAGATTACAAAATTGAGATATATATATTGATATATTAACTATTAGTCTTCTATTATATAACTATAACTATTAGTCTAACTATCTTCATTAACGGTTTATCAATGTAAAATATTAACAATATTAATATTTACAAGAAAACATGACGAAGTTTTTCCCAGTGAATTTAATGTACTTTGTATATATTACAAAGCATAGTCAAAAGTAAGAAAAACAAATAAAAAAAATACAAATAACTTTAGGCGAATATTTTTGAAACCGTAAAGTGGAATATGGAATTTTGTTACTTTTTAGACAAAGATTTTATAATATTTAATGCTCGTTATAATTAAGTATTTATATTTTTCTCAAAAGTAATGTCCCAACATATTTTCAGTTTATTTACTTATTACATTATTTATTTATTACATGTTTGAAAAAATTAAATATAAAATCATAATATGTATCAAATATCGTAAAATCTTTCCTAAAACGGATTCTTTTCATATTCCACGTAACACAATTTCTCAATGATGTTCTCAAAATTTATTTAAAATTTATTTGAAATTTTCTTTAAAGAATAATTTTAAAAGTAGATCTAAAACAATATTCTAATGAGATAGTGAATGCTCGTTCGATTATCATATTTTCCAAACGTAGCCAAAACATATATCAGAAATATATTTTATGCTCTTTTTTATTCTCATCATATATTATATACATTATTATATTAAATATATAAGTTTTATTTTTACGTAGTTTATAATACATACAACTATTAAATAAATAAATAATAAATAAGCACATTAAAATCACAAAAAAAGCACTTTCATGTTTTCTTGTAAGAAATAAGATGAATTAAAACTATAGATTTTGTACAGATGGAATGTGCACTTGTTATCTAATATTAAAATCTAATATGTAATCTAATATTAAAAAACTTTCGAGATGATCCAATCGCACTAATCGCCTCGTATTTATTAAAGTTTGAAATAAATGACTCAATTAATCGATAAGTATACTTCATAATAAGTAATCATTTAATTCATGAGTAAATTATAATTGTAGTTTTAGTAATAATAAATAGAAAAGAAAAAATTCTTTTTGTATCTTAATTTAATCATCATTGCAAATCTTTTTCTTCCGTTTTTCAACTATTAATTGCCTTGTTTACAGAAATTGAGACAGGATTGAGTTTTTAGTTATAAATAAAAAGTATATGCTAAAAATAGCATCACAGCTGGCTAAATCTACGTTCACACAACAAATTTCTAGCAACTTCAAACTCTTCTTGTTGAAAGCTTTTTTATATCTAAACTTTTTAGCTTTGATATAATATATCCCAATAAAAAAGGAATAAAATTAATTTAATTAAATTGTTGAAATATTGATTTCATAAACAAGCTGACGATTCTACTTCATCGATCCAAAAAACGAGTGCATTGCTTTACTTTGTATGAAGATACAACTGTCCAAAATAGAAAAATGCCTCATTTTTGCCACACACAGCAACTGCGTGAATCGTGATTTTTTTCGAGATACATATCTTGTCACACTTGCATCGAATACTCATCAGATCGCTGAAAACGTAGGTCAAATATCGACTCTTATCCGACGTTATGTAAAATCGTGTAGAATTGCAACGATTAATTTCCGCTTATTAGAATATTTCATTACGTTTCCTAATATTGTTCGCACGATTGTTATCTCGCAATGCCGTGAAGCAAAAGAATAATGAAAGTACTCTCAAAAAGTTTGATTCGAGCAATCCTCATACGATGCATAAGTGAAAAGTCCGCGATTACAGATGAAACGATTTGCTCGATTGAGTGGTGTGACAATTGATATCTGTGAATGTAAAACACAAATAAATTAGTGATTGTATTTTTTAAAAGTCTTTAGGATCAACAAAAGATCTTAAAACTGTGAATATTCTTTTCTGCGTTTTCTCTCTACATACGTTTTATTTCCCCTAATAATAAACTTTATTTCCCCTAATAAAATAACTTTAGTTCTAGTTTAATTTTTTCCCGAACATAATTTCTTCAATCATTCGTGTGATTCGTAGATTTTCAAATCTATTTGCGGATAAATCCACAAATTTTGCCAATTTTATAGATTGATCCGTTTGTTAGAGAATCTTATATTTATGTATTTGATTTAATTCCTAGTAAGCAATCTGTTAAAAGTCTATCGACAAATTAGCGAGATTCAATCTGTCAACAAATCCGTAAATATCCATGTCCGCATTCGGCTCGATAGGGTTTACTGACAGAATTTGGCAACAAATTAATCGGAGAAAGCGAGCAGGATCTGTAATATGTTCTATTTAAATACATCGGGACGACAAATCTTGCCGTCATTATACTCTCTCATCAAATTCTATTGCATTTCTGCTAGCAAACCTTTGACAAAGTCTGCAGCAAGCAGCATTATGGAAAACCTGCTTTTGCAGATTTTGTTATTTGAATTTCAAATAATCCCAACAATCTGTACCTTCCTGCACTTCGAATAACAAAAATCCGCTTGCCTTTATAAAGTGATAAACAAACATTCAGTTCTAAAATATGTATTTCATCAGAATGACTTGATGTTTAGACTATAATCAAAATAATCGTTGTGTATTAATCGTCATGGTGCCTTACTTTAATACACTACGATATTAAAATATCAGAAAGTCTACAGACGTTGTTCATACAGGATAAAGACTTTTGCCAGGTGCTGTAGATACCTAAGCTCGCTGTCCGTATTCTAAAACCCGGTTCAGAATAGGTTGCAAACACCCAGTTGCGAGTTGCGAAGGATGGCAACTACTACCCAGATAGCCAAACCTGCGCGAGCAGATTTCGAACAAAGCCTGCTATCATAGTTTGATGGCAAATAGGCAACAAATTTAACGCAGAATCTGTTATATCAAATTATGCCGCCAATCTGCGGTCAAATATGCGCCAGATCCTGTTGTCAGATATTTGACGGCAGATTTGTAGCAAAAACCGCGCAAGACTTGCAGTAATTTGGCGGCAGATTGGCGGCAGAAATTGAGCAAACTCTGCGCGCAGACTCTACGTGTGGTTTGGCAGCAGGACCTGCGCGGTTTCTGCCAGCAATCTGCTCGCACGGTCTGTCATACAGAACCTGTATGACAGACCGTGCGAGCAAAACCTGTCGACAAAACACGAGCCTAATGAGGACACAGATGGCTATGGTTTTGATCTGGAGATCTGATCGAAATTGGCGTCAATCTGCGCGCCTTCTGTTAGCATTTTGCTTACTGGGTAGTTACAAAGTGCTATTTTTAGTTGTAAGAGACAGTTGCGATTACGGTTGCCGTCGCCAAGAAGTTAAAAGTGGGCAACTCTCTTTTAGCAACTGCAACTGTCTCTTACAACCAGAAATAGCATTTTGTAACAAGTTGTTGCCATCCTTCGCAACTCGCAACTGAGTGTTTGCAACCTATTCTGGATCGGCCTTTAAAGTTGACACTAACATAATAACGCATACCAATAAAAGACGTAAGAGAAAAAGAGAACATTGAAAACAATTATATGTAATGGAGAAATTAAATAAAGAAATTGATATAGCATGTATGTTGCTATTATAGCTATTATAACAACCTCTTAGTTTCTGTGAATGTTGTGTGCGGGAAATATGTAAAAATCTCAGAAGACTAATAATTTGATCATGAATCAAATACTACTTAAATTCTACTCATGTAATTTAGTTAATATTTTTGTTTTAATTACTTTCCGGATAATATTATCTTGTCTTCCATATAATTTTCTAAAAAGCTATATGCTATCTGGCAGCATGCTACTAGAAATAATAGTTATCATTGATATCTAATCTTGACTCGAACAAGCCGGATATATTCATGGCAATACTATCTAATCAGAATTCTAACTCTAATTGCAATATGCTGATAAACAGCAATTATCGTAGATACACAAATTTGACTTAAACAAGATGAGTCCGTGATATATTTATAATCTAATCATAATCATAATTCCTGACAAAAAAATTGAGATATCATGAACGATAATAAATAAGATATATTCTCTCTCTTCTCCTTTATATACATATATTTATTTAATATTTGGAATGCAAACTATAATGCATCTATATGCACCTGACGAAAGTCTCTACCGTGTGTAAACAATGTTTAAAAGCTTCCTAAAATAATTTTAAGATATAAATCACTTTATTAATAACAAAGTAAAGAAAAGCGAACGTTGAGCAGCTATAGACTATGATCGACACTTCTAAAAGTTACTAAAAGTACTGAAAATGTTAACAAATGAAGACGTCTAAAGATGTTGCTTACACATAATGAAAACTTTAGTTCAACACTCGTAGCTATTTTTCACGTAATTTTTTCGGACAGATTCATGAAAAATAAGGAGATGGAACTTGTATTTGAACAGAAAAATGAAACGGAAATGGACAAATCGAGGACTTGGAAAGCTTACAGTATTCTACACTCAAAGAGAATATTATGGTCTATCGATTCGATGTGACCTGACGTGACCTTTCATCCGTCGAATGCGTCCCGTAACAGCGTGGAGTCATGGTTGAACATACAATATGCGTGCACTTGATGCGACCAATCGTACTGCTTGCATATGCTGAAATGTTCTCAATCATATATAGTAGCGGTCGTGTTAAGAAAAAAATTGTTAATTTTATATTCAATTCCAAATTATAAGCTTGGCGTCAATTTCTTTTATTTTAATAGAAAACTAGTGACATGCATACAATTACAGTGTACAGTTATTACGCATGACTACATATTGTATTATATCCCAGATAGAATAGAAAATCGCAGTTACGTCAAAATGATAAAAAATGATGGAATCGTGATCGCAAAAAGTGTTTTTATAATTGTTTCCCCGTCATTTTGATATCATTGTGGTTTTCTGTTTGTTCCGAGTTGGAAAAGCATATCTGCGGTTTCATGTGCTTGTTAAAATCGTCCAGAGGATTCTCGCAGATAGTATTCTGGAAGCCGGTAACATCGAGTCACCGCTCGGGCAAATCGCCCATGTTTACAAGCGAATTATTTGCTCGATCTTTGTTTTGCCGTTTGGTATTGTCTCGGCGCGTTACAATGTATCATTGTCTCCGTGACAATAACATTCTTGCCACTAGACGGAAAGTGTGAGAATCTAATATCTCGTGACTAACGGCAAAACAATGTTTATCGCCTAGATCTACGTGTCAGCTAAACAACGATTTGTTCGAATCTGCCAATCGGCTCAAACCGCATCACATATATGAGATTATAAATATCACGGTCGATTTCGTAGCGACAGATTTTGGATCTCAGATCTCAGATTCAACTCTCGAGGATCCGTTCTGCTACTGCAATGTAACGAAAACGCGTCGCTCGGGAGCCTGATCTCATTTCTCAGGTTTCTTTGATTATTTTCTCGCTGGGAAACGTCTATTGCACTTATCAAAGTTTCGTGACACGTGGAAAATTATAATCGGTGTCCGCACTCAGCCAACGGTGCTTTCCGAGACGATTTGTATTCGATACCATTCGACTTGCGAATCGCTGTAACTGGTCATCAACAAAATAAACCGCATCTGAAACCCGGAATCAAGCAATTCATTAATAAGAGAAACGATCGGTCCTCTCCTTTGGCTGACTACATTCGGCTCGATCTGCAATCACTCTCGCGCCCAAGTTCTGGGTGATCCCGGCGTTCACGGGTGAACCGATTCTCGGTCAACTCACAACACTGTTCTACCTCGAGTATTATGGAATTTAGAACTTTCCTCTCCTCTCCGCCTTTCTAGATTTTATGTTTGACTTCTTCGCTTTGGCGTTACAAAGATACTCTCGATATCTTTACGATTAAAGATTCCACAAGGTAACGACAGTGATATTCATGTACAGGCACGCCAAGGATGAATAAGTCTCACGGAAACATCACAGACAATATCACCAAGAACTTAATAAAGTCGGTGCTATTGGCTCTCTATGGTGGAGCTGTTTAATGTCCCGAGTTCTACACCAATTCACCAGCGCAATATCGATGGGTACATATTCAAGATAATATGACGCGTAACAAAATGAAAAACTTGAGCGAACGTTTTCGACTAGAGATCACTTAGTCAGACGAAGGCATATATAGGTGCGATGCGTTCAATACAACCAACAGTTTGAAGAATAAGATTTATGGCGGAAACTACGTACTAAACACTGCCAGAAATTCAGCCGTTGCCTCATAACATGTCGATCGGTTGGACCGGCGAGCACATGCACAGACTGGGAATGGTATGGTAATCACATTCTAACTGGTACGGCTGATCAATTTCAAAGACACGTTGACTGTCATCTTATCTTATCCGGATAATGAAGCAGTAATCAAAGAACATTACATCAACACCCTGAAATATTGATTTCATGTGTCTTTTGAATGTTCTCACTTAATATTTTTAAAATATTTCAAAGATGTTACAGGATGATGATCTTTTCATCGTAATTGTAAGAAACTTTATCGAGATATTCATGATAAAAATGGTTATCGTCAATCTGCTGTTAGTGTTGACGCTGATTTCTATCGGTATATGATTGCAAAAGCGACATCGATGAAGATAGTCCGAGGAATATGGAGAGCGTTTGCCTTATATTGACGAATCAGCTCAGTTTGGAAAATGTTGACGCATCGATCAAGTGGCACAAGTCCATCAACGACATATAAAACCTTTTTACGAGGAAGCCCAGCCTGCAATGAGCTGAGCGTGTACGACTACACTCATGTAGTGAAGCAGACACGTAACATGAACCTGAAAGTGCAGGTTTGAGAAGCATCAGGAATACTACAATTGTCCACCATTATTTGAGAGACGAAGTCCGTCGCCTTGCTGCTAATAGAACGAGAACGATTCTCGTCATCAAATTTCAAGTCTCTCGTCGATGAAATCCTCATTCTCAATGTATCCGTGCCATTTTTCACATTGTCCAATGTCCATTTCTTAGCAGAATGTAAAACAAGTTCTACGATTTGACATATTGAAATTATTAGAATAAAGATGACAGATAGAATTAAGATATCCGGAATATGTCGTTATTGTTAGTATTCTTATTAACGGTTTATTAATGATATTGGGTTGGCAAATAAGTTCGTGCGGTTTTTCAGAGTAGAATAAAACACAATTTTTTGATACACAAGATAAACTTTAATCAATTATATATTAGCCATCTTTATCGATGACCTCTAGCCATCTTTCCACCAACTTCATTATGCCGCGTTCGTAAAACGTCTGGGGCTTATCGGCGAAAAACCAATGCAAATGGTTTTTAACGGCCTCTTCATTCTTAAAGATTTTCCCGTTCATAGAGTTCTGCAGCGACCGGAATAAATGATAATAGGAAGGGGCAAGATCCAGTGAATACGGAGGATGAGGCAAAACATCCAACTTCAGTCAAGCTGAAGCAATTTGTTCCGAGTGGTTAATGACGTGTGAAGTCTGGCGTTGTCGTGGTGGAAGACGACACCCTTGCGATTTGCCAATTCTGGACGTTTTGTGCGGATTGCTTGGTTCAATTTCGTCAATTGCGAACAATATACAGTTGAATCTATCGTTTTGCCTGACGGTAACAGTTTGTAATAGATGACACCCTTGAAATCCCACCATACGGAGAGCATTATTTTCTTCGGATGCAATCCCGCCTTCGAGATTGTTTGCGGTGGCTCGCTGTTGTACCCCCATGATCTTTTACGCATTACATTATCGTAGACGATCCATTTTTCATAACCCGTCACCATTCGTTTCAAAAATGAGTCGTTTTCTTGGCGTTTCCGTAGCGAATCGCAGATGGGTATGCGTGTGGTCAAGTTAGCCTCGGTTAATTGACGCGGCACCCAAACATTAAACCGAGAAACGTATCCCGGCTGGCGCAAATACTTTTCTACGCTTGTGTGGGATATATTCAATGCCGTAGCAATCTCTCGTACCGATTAGGATGGATTTGCTTCGATTATAGCTTTAATGTCACTTGAATTAATCTCGGTCGGACGACCGGAGCGGGGCGCATCATTAACGTCGAAATCTCCAGAACGGAAATTGGCATACCACTTTTAGCATACGCGTTCTGTTAAGGCATCATCTCCATACACACGGCATATCTTTTTATGAGCATCCGCAGCTCGTTTACCTTTTTTAAAATAATAGAGCAAAATGTGACGATAATGCACGTTATTTATTTCCATGTTCACAGCTACGCAGCACACACAATACCGATGTTAGCCAAACCAAACACAGCACAACATAAACAGTGAAACACAACCTTTCAAATGTGTATTCGATTTGCATGCTAGCGCTGAGAAAAGAAAACCGAATCCGCACAAAACTTACACTGAAACAAAAACCGAACGAACTTATTTGCCAACCCAATATAATGCAGGATGAATTCTCCCGTCAAATTTCGCATCAAGATTGCTTCCTGATGCAAACTGTGTAAAATATTCTCAAAAGACTGTTGTTATAATATTGTTGTATCATTTTTAGAATATTACTTCAAGATCATATAATCATATAAGGTCATATAATAATTATTTTCATAAATGTATCTTACTTTCTTCTTTTCTAGTCTAATTGTACCAATCATCTTATGTAACTTTACTGTATTATTGTATTATTGTTTGAAATAAATTAATGAATATAAGTCATTTAGCGTACCTTACGAGCATTATCATTCAATAATTTACAACAATCGTACGTTATTAATAAAATAAATAAGGAATGACTTTTCTTTATTTCCGTGTATGATTTATTGCAAATGTTCTTCTTTCCGTTTTTCAATCACTAATTGCATCGCTTTCATGAATTGGGACAACGAAATAGAATCTCCGGTCAAATAAAAAGCATGTGCTAGAAATGGCATCTTTCTTAATGTTCGACCAGTTAGACCTATGCTCGCACGACAAATCTCTAGCAGTTTCAAACTATTCTTGGTATTTGAAGTTTCTTCATATTTAAGCATTTTTAACTTGGATATATCACATATCTCTTTATGAAGCAATACACCAGTCTGCAATATATTCAAAGAATAATATTAACTTTAATATTACAGAATAGGTTTTATCATTAAAAACAGACATATTTTAATAAAAAAATATATAGAGAATTTCCAAATAGGATGTTACATAGAAATCCAATCCAAATAGGAACATAGAACTATTATTTTGTCATTAATAAACATATACATTATCATATCTAACAGAACTGAAAAGAATATAAGTACATACCCTCATTAATTCCCGTAGACATGAACGATAAATGTGATAAATAGCTACTTCAGACGGAAATCCGAGATATTGTTTTATGTCCGCTCGATCGATAAATGCAAGATCTATGGCTTCCGTCATATTGCTCGTCGTCAAAATTAAAACGTTCGGATATCGTTTAATTTGATCCAATTGTGTAAGTAGAGCATTTACAACACGTATAGAATCAGACGGCTCAGTACCATTGCTGCATGATTTACGTGTATGTGCTAATGATTCTACTTCATCAATCAGAATACATACCAATGCTTTTTCATTTTCAACCAAACTTCTTATCTCCTCGAATAGCTTCATAACAAGCTTCCCACTCTACAGAAAAATAGATTTACCCAATATTAGACAATATGGTAATTCTCTGCTCGGTTTAACAATTTATTTTAAGGAAGAGGACAAAAGAGAAATGAAATTTAAAAATTCTCATAAAATGAAAACGACAAATAAATTGGATAAAAAATAAAATCTTACCTCAGAAAACCACTTAGAAAATAGACTATGACTGTTAATCTCGATGAATTCTCCGTGAGTGAAATGATCTTTCATACGAATAACAGCTTTTTGAGCCAAAGCTTTACATAAGCTGGTCTTCCCTGTACCTGGAGGACCATGCAGCAATATCACCTTATTCCAGCTTATAATATTAGAATTAACACCACAACCCGAAAATAACATTGTTGTCTCCACATAATGCAATAACTACAAAACAGATAAAAAAAAAAAAGGCAAATTCAAGGAAATTTGAAATTATTGTGCAGAGTATGAGAAAGATCAGATTGTTCAAAAAGACTAGTTCTTGAGAATATGTATAAATAAACTACATTATATATATAAATTTACTAACATCATTTTTTATATTATTATCGTAAAACAAATTTTGCCATATATGATGAAATTCTTGCGAAGGTAACACCCAGTGAGATGCAACTGATAATTCTTCAGAATCATTCCACAATGTTTCTGTTGAAGCAGACTCTTGTGTCAGGCTATAAATATGAAACTCAAATGCAACCTCTTGAATACTGATTTTTTCTCTCTAGAAAAATTGAATATATATGTACAATAAGATATATCAACATATATTGTACAAGTACAAAATATGGCTTTGCTAATATAAAAAACTGCGAATATAACTGACAATACCTCCAGGTTGCTATAATCCGAGCATACCATAGATTCGACATGTTCTTTCAATAAAGAATTTGTACAATTTTTACCATATATAATAATATCAAGATAAATTTCTTCCCATGTCAAAAGCTCTGTGTTTACAGCTTCTAAAATATCTTCTCTTGACAAAGTACTGAAATAAATGACATTACAAATAAATCGCATAAACAATCATATAATTTTATGTTGCAACAAAAGTATAAATCTTTAGAAACCTTATTTCTTAAGCAGACTTTAAGATGAATATATTAAATACAAAGTTATAAATTATTATATTAAAACTGGCAATGTATATTTAAATATATAATTTTATTTATTCCAATGAACATATCACTTTAATCAAAGAATGCATAATCACAAATTTCATTTAAAATAAATTTATTAAAATAGAACTATACAATGTAAAATAAATAATACCTGTTAGCATATTGACATATCTCCAAATGTAATTTATGCGCCATACTTTCGTTCGTGTTAATTTTATAAATTGATAAAGTATAACAATATATTAAACACAAGAAAAGAGTCACTTCTGTTGAAGTAGACTCTCGTGTCAGGCTATAAATTTATTATCTAGTCAATATTATTGACTATATTATATAAAATAATATATCAACAATCTATTATTCTTGTATTTCTTTTACAGATTTGTTTCCTTTGAAATAATAGAACTTTGAAATAACTTTGAAATCTTTTTTACACCTGATGTAATTCACACGGAATGTACGTACTTGCGAGTACAGAATTTAAAATTTAAAATCGTTAGAGCCACATATACGCAAATAAAGTAAACATAACCGTCGACGAAGTAAGAATAAAGATTATCAGCCTTATGGTGAATTTTAAGTACAAGAAAAATTACACTGATTATTTTCCATCAAGAGACATAAAATTGTTTCATTGGCTAGATATCATCTTGGTATCATTTTTAAATAATATTTAGCCAGTTAAACGATTTTGTGTCTCTTGCTGATAAGTAACCACTGTTTATTAAGCCAGCGGCACACGGTGCTTGTTTTTGTGCTGGATTGCTTGATGGATGAAAATACTGCGTTCTGATTGGTGCATTTCTATCCATCTTCGAAAATGTACCAATCAGAACGCAATATTTTCATCCAGCAAGCAATCCAGCATGAAAATAAGTACCGTGTGCCGCTGGCTTTACTATAAAAATTCATTCTTAATAAATATAAGAGACAATTATTCCAACTTCGTGGTAAGTTAACTGATAGTTAAATCATATCTCTATTTTTGTCTAAGTTAAAGGAAAAACGAAGACAAACACATGATTTAACTATCAGTTAAGCCAGCGGCACACGGTGCTTGTTTTCGTGCTGGATTGCTTGCTGAATGAAAATACTGCGTTCTGATTGATGCATTTCCATCCATCTTCGGAAACGCACCAATCAGAACGCAGTATTTTAATCCAGCAAGCAATCCAGCACGAAAACAAGCACCGTGTGCCGCTGGCTTTAATTTATCAAGGCTGCGTTCCGAATTCACTGCCGGTACTGAAAATACATAGTTTGTGTCACGTATACTATAGAATTTCAGTGCTAGCAGTGAATATCGGAACGCAGTCCAAGAAGTTGGAACAACCGGCCCTAAATCAAAGAGAAACCTCAATTCAATTCAATTCAATAGATGGCTCTGGGTGTATAAGCTACTGCTCCGACGCCACTCTCTATTCTCTAAAGAGAAACCTAAAGGCTCGTCTACATTAGCTGTAAGAATAAGGCTGTAAGGTTGCAAGACACGAAATGAAATATTTTCATTCGCTGACAGTTTACGTTACAGCCTTACAGCCTTACTCTTACAGCTATTGTAGATGAGCCTTAAGAGCGACCACCCCGGGCCGATTACGCTGGGACATTTTTTTCGCCGAATTCTGTTGCGCCCCCTGAGAAAATGTGTGCATACTACATCCGTTCTGATGGTAACAGCAAAGCGTGCACGGTTCTTACTCACTCTACTTCCTTAAGGAAGATAGTAAAGTTCATTCTACAATCGTGTCGTAAGTCGTAAGCCGTAAAACTGACCAATTATAGCCGATTATTTTTGTAATAATCGACTGTGATTCGCCAATTGTTACGGCTTACAACTTACGACACGTATTGTAGACCAGGCCTTAGGTAGAAAAGTACAGCTTTGACCATCTCTATTGTGGTCGGTGTTAAAACTCTGGGGGTAATTTCGATGGGCTTTCGTTTGCCTTCGCGGCGGTTGGATGTGGTCTTGTAACTACGAATAATATTTTTGATCTTGGGGACTGCATACACGTCCCTGTTTCTCTTTTATTTCCAAAATCGTTGTGATTGGCGTAAGAGAAGGAGTGTAATAACTCTGCTCAGAGCCATATATTGATTGAATGAATGAACGCCGAGAGGTCGTTTTCAGACTTCTTTCTGGTAATATATACTTTTAGGGGTTCATTTTTTGATGCAGCATGTAAGTTAGAAGTTTTGTTTATAATATAAATGTCTTTGGATTAAACTTCCAAGCCAAAATCATGCAAACTCAAGGAGCCATGGAATCTTTTCTTAATACATCGAAAGTTGCTTTGGTAAATTGTCACTTATAAATGTTACATTTTCATAATATTTCAATCTTGTATTATTCAGTTGTATTGTTCAATTAAGTGTATCTAAATTGAATAAAATGTATCTTAATTAATTTTGTCTCTTATATTTTAGTCCAACTTGTCATTATATCAAACGATTCGTGTTGTCCTGGGAAATCAGTCTTGTGACTTAGATTCTGCTGTATGTGCTCTGGTGCAAGGATTATCAGAATATGTCAACATTAAGACATGTGGACAGAGCAACATTGCTGTAATACCAGTTCTGAATATTCCAGAAAAGGATTATCGTATCAAGACTGAAGTAGTTTATTGGTTGAGATTTCACGATATACCACAGAACTTATTGACATTCAGGTAAGCTTTTCAATATTAGGAAGCAATCATGGTTTAACGCTACCTAAGTACGTTTTCAATAGAGATCAGATCAATTTGCAAAATCTGCAGAGTAACACTGACAAAAAGCTGGAGCTGATTCTAGTTGATCATCATACTTTGTCAAATGAAGATATAGCACTGAAACCTTTGGTAATAAAAATTATCGATCACCGACCATTAAATCCGGATTGGTCATGGCCTGACACATTATTAAATATAAAACTTGCTGGAAGCTGTGTAAGTCTTGTCGGACACGACATACTCAAAGAAAATTCCAAAATGTTGGATTCTCAACTTGCAAGCCTCTTAAGAGGTAAATATTGTCATTTAAGAATTACCATTAATTCCATTGTAATATCATTGTAATAACTTGTTTAATAGTAATATTCAATATGGTTTTCAGGTCCAATTTTGGTTGATACTTACAATATGTCAACTAAGGGTGGCCGAGTAACTACCACTGATGTTGATGTAATAAATAAACTTGAACAACTTGGTAAACTCACAACTGATAGAACTGAAGTATTTAACAAGCTTATGAAAGCTAAAACAGATATCAGTGAGTTGACCATCGAAGAACTCATGATTAAAGATCTGAAAATAACAAATGGTGTGCCTGTTGCAGTTTTTCCCCTCTTAGTAGAGGTATATTGTTTAGGATTTTCTTTGATAGCTTAACTGATCAGTATCTTATCAACCTCAAAGTTCATATATTAAGTGTGTGTATGTGTGTATATATATATATATATATTTCATAACATTTTCCAGAATCTTCTCATGAAAGAAAATGCAAAAGAAATTATTGAAAAATTTAGCATTGATAAAAATTGGACTGTTATTGTTCTTATTGGTCTTAATGTGAGTGATGGACATATATCTAGAGATATTGCGATCTTTTCAACATTATGTAATCAATTAGGACATGATGTGAGTATTACTTAATAGATTATTGTTTTGTTTAAATATATTGATATATATTTCTTATTTTTACTTACAGATTATTCAAGCGTTAATTTCTTCTACACAACCACATTTGAATACAGAACTAATCAAAGAGATTCGAGAAAAACGATACAGTATATGCTTATATAAATTAGGAAACGTGGAGGTGACACGCAAACAGATACTGCCGATTGTACATAAAACCACGTTATTACATAAAAGCGACCAGATATAAATAAAAAGAAAAAATGGGAAATCTTACAAAGGAAAAAAAGTTGTACTAATTTGAACAAACATTCGAAAGGTGCTTTTTAAAGACTTTTCAAAGAATTAATCCTTTTAATCCTTTCACTCATAATTTCTTCCATTCCTCTTCAGTCATACTATCGGAAATAATAAAGTTATATTTGAATTATGCACACACAGAGTTATAGGAATTATGTATTTTGTTATAAATTTCATGGAAAATTTAGAATCTATTTTTTAATAACTTGTCATGTGTCTTGAAATGATATATTCTAAAATATTTCATGAAAATTCATATCCTGAAGGAATCAGTGTACTCTTTCTCTTTTTTGTGTAAATATTTTCAAAAAATATACTGTACGTTATTGCGCAAGCGTCCATATTTATGCATATACGTATATTCTATTAATAATAAATCGCGCGCGCGTGTGTGTGTAATCCATTTAATGATTTATACGCAATCTCTTTTATCACCGAATGAATGTGATATTAATAATATCTTGCTTCGAGACACATTCGAGGTCTGCACGAAAAATCTCTTCCTATCATTCGCATCGGCGAAAGTATCTCGGCTATCAAAGCGCTGGGAATTTTGTGATTTTGCGCAGTGAAACGCCACCGCTATCGCCATTGGTTGTCGAAACGTCACACCCCTCGGTTATCACATATCATCCCCATATAAGGACCTTCCTTCCCGCGGAATGTCCTAGTGGCTATGGCGATATAATCCCGCGAATGCCGTTCGTCCTTTCGTTCGCGCGAAAGAACATAACGGAAGTGTGCGCTGGAGGCAGCGAGAAATACGTCGCGAGGATTCCCGTGCGCACCATCCAGCAAACGGGATCAAAACGCGACGAGAATCGAGCGGGCCTGTCCAAGCGGCGAACTCGACAAGCGAGAGGTGCTTATTATCAAGGCGACGCACGTGTTTCGTTTAAAATTATGAGACGAGTTGCCGCTCGCGGCTACTGGCGACCACCCTCGAACAACAACAGTGAGAATGCCGGGGGTGTGCAGCTGCTATCACTACCTATCCTGCCCGGACGCAAATCGACGAGCGTGAGTCTCGGCCTGATTGCGAGCGGACTCCTCGGAGAGCGAGTAACGCGTACGGAAAAAGGACTCGACGAGATACACGCGATTTCGCCCACCCGCGAAATAACGCATATTGATCGTTCCATACTTGTTGCGCAGAGACAACAGCCGGGCCAAGCTACGCCGAGTATCAACATCCCCACCCTGTGCCAGCGAAAAGCTGCATTACACTCATGAACGCTGTCCTTCTGTAAATTACACCCGCGATCTCTTTTCTTCTTACTCCCCCTTTTTTTTCACTTTCGCGACGTGCGTATCCCGCGCGGCGTTCCGCGGGGAGAAGGCGCGATGAGAGAGTACCGCGGCCAGTATTATGACTCGTAAATGCGCTCGGAGGAGAACTTTACGCTGCGCTATCATAACATATCATGGAGCCAGTACGCCTTTTGATAAAACTACTAATGCTATCCAGCTGGTGCACCGGGGAATCCATCGGGAAAGCTCTCGGTGAGTACCGCTGTTTGCTAACCCAGGTAGAACAGAAAATCATGATAACATCAAAATGACATCAAAATGACGAGAAAGTGACCGAGTCACGATGAAAAGATGAGTTTTCCTCATCATTTTGATGTCGTCATGATTTCTTGTTCTGCCCGGGGAAACCTCATCTCGCGCGAGTCCTGTCGCATCATTATCAACCCCTGCGTACATGACCTATTTCTATTTTTCACGTATCCTCTGACGGACCGAATCTATCGACGTGTGGCCTACGCGACGAGATAATCTATATTCTCCTAGATGAATATTTTTAGAACCCTTTGAAGAGTGAAAATAGTCTCCTCGTTGTTTACTCGTTTTCCCCGAGGTTTTTGCGAAAAGAAGAGAAATAGTAGGAAACCGAACGAATGGCATCTAATTTCCCGTTGAATATTCGGAAATTGTGAATATATCACGTCATATGTACTGAGTATATGTACTCAGATTGTACGGGATTAACATCGAATTCGAAAAATTCGGAACGTGATGATAACGATAAGAGGCTATATGCTTTTTAGAAAAATGCATACTTCCACTCGGCATGGAAGAAGGAAAGATCCCGGACGAGGCGATTACGGCGTCGTCCAGTTACGAGATGAAATCCGTGGGTCCTCAGAACGCAAGGTACACGAGGATAATGGGATAATATGTGCGAATTTTAATCACAAGTGCGATAATTTCGCGAATTCTCGTAGAATACGACAAGAGAAGAACGGCGGCGCCTGGTGTCCGAAAGCTCAAATCAGTAGCGCGATACGTGAATACTTAGAGATTGATCTGACGAGAGACCATCTTATCACGTGGACCGAAACCCAAGGTCGATTCGGTAACGGTCAGGGTCAGGAATATGCCGAGGCGTTCTTTCTGGAATACTGGCGGCACGAAAAGTGGCATCAGTATAAAGATTTAAAAGGGAGCAAGGTACGCTCGTTTTGCCGAGAGAAAAATTATTAACTCAACTAGTAGCTACCAATTCAAAACTGTTTGACCGAGGTTAATTTCACATAGAAATATATTACGAAACAATTTAGGACTGAAGGATCTCATTGGCCTAAATTTAAATTAATTTTTCCTTTTCATACGTCAGAATTAATTCTCCCACGTTCTAAAAATAAGCCTTTCTTAATTTTTCTAGATGAATTTTTCTAGAATTTTTGCTATATATTGCAATGTCGAAGATTATGATGTTTCATAGGTTCTACGTGGCAACAGCAATACATATCTGGTCGAGAAGCAGAAGTTGGATCTGCCGTTTGTTGCGAGTCGAGTGAGATTCGTCCCTTACAGTCAACACCCGCGCACTGTGTGCATGCGAGTTGAGATTTACGGCTGCATTTGGAATCGTGAGTATTCTCCCGATGATTCGATCCCGCCAGCCGATATGTTATCCACGCGCGCGATGTGTTATGCACCCGCGGACTCTTACACGTCACGATGTAACTTCACGATCGAGTGTACCGCGTTTCGAGTACAAAGACGACTCGTGAAGCGGTCACGAGCGAAACAGCAGATCTAAATGCCGAGATACACGGAAAAAAACGACCCTCTCGCTGTTTGCGTAGAATACATGGTCAGTTACACCGCGCCCAAGGCTGATAAAACCGGACCCAACGGCTGCAACGTCGAAGACATGTCGTATGACGGCACGGAGATTGAGAATCTGATGTTGAACGGGTTGGGACAATTGACTGACGGCATCGTCGGAAGCGCACTTGAGATCCTGGACTCCGATAGGATGACCAACTGGGTCGGATGGCGCGATCGAGGCCAAATCGAGTTGCTCTTCGAGTTCCAAACTGTGAGGAAATTCGCGAACTGCACAATTTACATGGCCGACCTGCCCGATTTGCGTGTCCAGGTTTGCGACTATTCGAAATAGGCTCTCTCTTTCTCGTAATGGCAAATACTTCTTCTAACTTCGGCAATTTTTAGATGTTCTCGACAGTGAACTTCTGGTTTTCCTCGGACGGCAAGGAATATCCGGGAATGCCGGAAACGTTCAATGACCTTAAAACCAATATCATCATTGATGGCAGCAGCGAGAAAGATGGTAGCGTCTCGGTAACTATCCCGCTGCAGCCGAGAATCGGCAAGTTTGTCAAGATGGAATTGAAGCCTAAAGCGGGGTGGTTGTTGCTAAGCGAGGTCACGTTTATAATAGGTATATAATCTAAACACCTCATTAATATATTCAATCGAAGAAACCGCGTGAATACTATTCGAATGTAAACCGTTTGAACAATTCCTTCATTTCTCGCACAAACTGAAGTTCCAGATGTGAAGAACAACACTGACGGAGCTTTGGAGCGATTATCGTGGATATACTCGAACAACAACGATAACATATCCCAAATGATTAATCAGGATCAGCTGGCGAAGGTAAAACGCATTGAAGACAAAGAGGATAAGGATGAGGTCGATCAAATGGACGTAGTTCAGGACGTAAACAAAATAAAAAATGAAGCTGACGACGAGGCAAAGACTAACATTCAACATGGTCGTGCAACATCGGGAAAGCCGAGGGCTGATTTCAACGATACGATACCTTTGTTGAACGACTCGAATCTGACGCCGGACGCCTTTCCCGTGAACAATTCGCAGACTTACATCGGGCTGATCAGCGCGGCCTTAACCGTGATCGCCTTCTTCTCAAGCTGCACGATCTTCTTGATGAAGCAAAGGGGACGCAATAAAGTGGCATTACTGCAGAAACACACCGCGCTGCTGTGCGGCTCGCCGGCACCAGGCATCACGATCAATACCAAGGACATGAAACTACCCACACCGATCGTCGTGAACAGTCTGTCGCAGTCCAGATTGTCCCTGAAGAGCAAGATCACCTCGAATTGCGATTACAAATTCGACGTCGACGCGACTGAGCAGCACAGCACCTGTGAGAAGATCAATAAAATGCCGTCGGAACAATACGTCAAGTGCGAAGCCAGGTCGAGTTACAAAACGGAGCATTTCGGTATGTAGATGATCATGTTGCTAATTGCAGTTTTGATGTTATTGATATAATTAACACTACCTAACACTACCTATTGATACATCTATCGTATCCCAGTACGCGCGAGAAATACTTAGCGAGAAGCAGTGTCCCTCGGAAAGTTTTACTTTATTTTTATAATATAGTATGATATGAAGAATCACATGTATATACGGCATGTATATTAATTGCAATGTAGCGGTCGTTTTGCAATTGTTGTTTACATGACAATTCACTCGACTCGCGTTTTTAATGTTGTATCAACGCCCGCTGACATTGTTACACTCATCTTGATTTTCCTCTACGCACTCTTCATTCTAAAATTTAATTCGTAGATGATATTAAATTCGATAGTGCAAATTAATGAATGAAATTAAAGAATCATTCATAGAATGTGTGTAGCACGAGTGTGTATTTATTAAATAATAGACAGGAGAGAGAGCGAAAAGGGGGTAGAGATGTACGAATTATTCGAATTCGAATCCCTATGATTCGAATCCGAATAATTCGAAAATTTCGAATCGCGAAGATTCGAATACGACAAATCAAATATACTAGCGTTTGCGTGCATCAGCTACAAAATGGGACATCTGGGCCTGTATGTTTGAACCCTTAACTTGTAATTAACTTAACTTATAATTAATAACTTAATTATAAATTACTTTAAATATTTAAATATATATTTTACTTTAAGATGATATTACAATATCAATATTCCCTTTCATATTAAAATCTTCCATTGTTATTTGCATGTTTAATAGTCATGTTAAATTTTTCAATGATTCGATTCGATTTGATTCGAATTCGAATGAAATTTCATAGATTCGATTCGATTCGAATTCGAATTTAAAAAAAAATGAGATTCGATTCGATTCGATTCGACATAAAAATTCTTGATTCGCACATCTCTAAAAAGGGGATGATGTATATATGCGTCCACTCTATCACTATCCCATTTTTATGCCACGCGAACCCCGTCATGTTCTATTTAACATTGCCCTCGATTCGCATGTGTTTTAGATATCAAAAACAGCGAGAACTTCGCCGACGAGACGCGAGCGGAATGTGGAATAATTCCGACGACGGCGAAAAAACTGAACCACTCGCAGGCGGGGAAGATTAATCAGAGAGTGTACGAGAGTTACTACGCGGCTACGGACATCCTGACGGTAAGAAAATTCGCAGCACGTCCGAGGATGGCGATGGTCTATATGACTCAGTGCGATCGTTAATGCAATACTCGGTACAGTATTACGATATGTTGTAGATTAAGAGACGCGAACAGCATTCCGCTGCAAGCCTCTTCACCCCTCTGCTCATTCGGGACTCGGTGTTATCGTACAAATGTGGGACCCACGACGTTCAGCGTGTCTCTCGGCATAGATTAAGAATCCTCGATAAGCTCGGCGAGGGAAATTTTGGCCTGGTAAATGTCGTCCGTCTCCATTCATTTTCCCGGATCACAAGGATGTATAAGATTCGTTTTCTCTGTGAGAAACGAGCTCATTTCCCAAAATTTTAAAGAATCTTTGAATTCCTCAAACGTTGGAAGAAATGTTTTGATATTTGCAAGATATAAGAAAATATTCTACTTTCTCAAATATTCACATATTCTGACTTTTCCACACGTCGTTTTTATATTTCTGCATTGTATTTTTTGTTTGTATTTGGAAAAATTTAATGTGGAAAAATTGGTCGTATTTTCAGGTCCACCTGTGCGAAGCGAAAGGCATACAAAATCCAGATCTAGGCATTCTGCAAAACCGTCAGATAGTGATAGTGCGGTCCTTGTGGCGCGGTGTCGTCGATGCTCTAAGGTAAAACAAGATGAAAGGATACAATAAGGATACAATATATATCTTGTCTGATGCATATCTGTCTGCGAAAGTTTTGATTTGTATGGAAATAAATCGATTTAGAGAGGACTTTATGAGCGACATGCACATTTTGGCTGAGATTCGTGACATCAATATCGCCAGAATAATCGCGATCGTCGAAGAAGAACCCTTTAGTGCCATCTTTGAATACGGAGAGCTCGGGGATTTGTCAAGCTTCCTGAAGAGCCGCGACTGCGACACGCCTATAAGGTACGCTAGCGTAACGATTCGTTCGGTTTTTATCTATTTTTCTGTTTTTTGTAATAAATAATGGCTTTTTCAGTTACGAGTGTTCGTTAAATCTAGTCGCGCAAATCGCTTCGGGCATGAAGTACCTCGAGAGCTTGAACGTACCGCATTGCGATCTGGCAGCCAGGTAACAACGCGTTCCTCATTTTATTTTATTTCGCGATAGTTTGTACACTTTTAACATGACGTACTCCTTGTCACAGGAATTGCATCGTCTGCAAAGACCTACTGATCAAAGTGTCCGACCAAGCCATGTACTGCAGCAAATACGATGGCGAATACTACGTTGATGACTGTTACGCCAAAATACCGTTACGTTGGATGGCTTGGGAAGCAGTCATATCGGTAATTTCGTTTTATAATCAACCGGACATGATCAGATCAAGAAGAAAACATACTATGTACTGATGTCTTTAATTAACAAGAATGGGATGTCTAGGCAAAACAGAAAATTACAATGACGTTAGAATGACGAGAGGACGATTATGTAAATTCACTTTTCGGCTAAAGATTATATATAATTATATAAACCCTCATATATAATTATATATAAATTATATATTATTATATTTAATGTCATTTTTATGGTCACAAAGAGTGTTAAATTAGGAGAAGAAGAAATTGTTTCTTTCAATTATTTGTCTACGTCACACCATAAACATGAATAGTTATTTTAATTATATTTAATTATATTTAATTATGTTTGTACATTTTTTCAGTATATATATAATTACGTATATTTATATATGGTCATATGGAGATAAAATTCATGCACAAGCATATACTATATAATTATTTCTTATCGGGGTTTTAATTATGGTTCGATCATTTTGTCGTTATTTTAATATCATTTTGATTATAATTTTCTGTTGTACCTCTCACAGATAATCTCAAATGCTTCTGTTATAAAAAGAAATAATACTAGCTATTATAACTAATAAATTAGTCAGTGATAAATTATTGTTGCATAATAATTTTAGTACTCATATGAATAATAACATTACTGAACAACAATAATTTATCACTGATCAATTTATTACAGCTAGTGATACTTTTCTGTAAGGGTTGTTCTTGGCACGAATGGATCATTTTGTTTTAAAATCAAGTTTTTCCTAGCCAGTCTATTAGTAACTTTTGCGAGAGATATAAATCAAGAAGATAATATCTTACGATATATATATCATCAGGATTAATATCTTCTTATACTTGTGTCTGCTTTCACACAGGGAAAACGAAGCTGCCAGTCCGACGTTTGGTCATATGGCGTAACAGTTTGGGAGGTGTTGACGCGCTGCGAGGACGTGCCGTACGCTGACTTGACCTCAGAACAAGTGCTGGAGAACTGCGGTCTGTGGTATCATTCGTCGGACGGCAGCAAGAGCAAGCACCCACGACTTCTCGAGCAGCCGATGTTCTGCACAGACGATCTGTACCGGCTGATGCTGAGGTGTTGGTGCAAACGCGCGGATGATCGACCCAATTTCCAGGAGATTCACTGCTACCTCAAGAAGCTGACTTTGGACTAAGAACGCGGACTCGCCGCTTCCGAGCGCAATCCGGCGGCGGGCCGACAGAGGGGACGACACCATGCATGCTCCAGCAGCGGCGCGGACCAAATCGATTACAATCAGCTAAGAAGCATCCTGAGATTGCTTTCTTATCGCTTTTGCGCACGAACGGCCACGAATTCGAATATCGCAAATCGTCGCAGTCGTTAATGATGCCTAAAATACATCAACGTGGGATGCTCTCTGGCCACTAATCTTACTGCTCAACTAGATTTATCTAATTTGATTATACGAATAAGCGTAAGTTAATGACTTAATGATAAAAAAGAAAGAAAAAAAAAAGAAAAAAAGAAGAAGAAAAGGAGTTTCAAACGCGACGGATAATCGCATACAGATTTCTCGTAATTACTCTATACGCGTACGCCCAGGAATAACCCGAGGATGATCTCTCGACGATTATTTCCGCACTCGAAACACGCGTGTGATTTCGAGCGAAGAAATGATTCATCTAGATTTATTGATTTACATATCCTTCCTACGCTTATATATATATGTGATACTTATTTATCAGTTATCGTTAAGAAGATCGTTCTCTCTATTCGTTCCAACGCCCATTACCCGGGCCGATCCCACTTAATGCGGATCTTGTGCTGAGTTTAGCCACTTTGCCGAGGCTGGATACTTTGTATCATCGTGAGAATTCGTTGCATGTAGCTGAAGCGAAGTATTATACATAAAATCGGCATAGAGCGAGCGTCAAAAACTCGATTACGTCGATATGTGTAACTTGAAGACGCATCGCGATTAATGAAGGATGACAATCAGTTTTGCTCACTTACTCGTATGTACTTATTTTACGAAATAATATCATGATATATACTCGTATTGAATCCGTTCGTTGCGACGGATTCAGCTTATCTATCTTAGGGGAAAGCGGATCGTTTGATCTTCAATCAAATTTCGCAATGACGCAAGATTCAAATAGAAATACTCTTCCATATATCCTTTCTTATATATATATATCTCTTAAACTAAGTCATCCATTTTTATTCAAAGATATATATATATATATATATATAGTAATTCTCGCGGGATGTATTTTAAAACGTGGGCGTTCTTTGCGGATCGTGTTATTACTCGTCGTAAATTTTTCCAATTTAAGAGGGGGAATTTGTGCCAATTGAAGCGACCTGTGCCAAAGGAATAACCAAAACTCGAAAGAACGCATTTCAAGATGATTACGAGGTCTCTGAGGCCTCCGTTTTAAGATGCATTCTGTACCGATAACGATACTAACACTAAGAGAACAATGAAAGGAGCAAGAGAGCAAAATACGAGGATCACAATTACGATAATTGGAGTATAAACAACGACGATAATAACGATTATGGTAAACGCGTACAATTTTAGATTATATATGTTTATAACATATTTGACAGATGTAACGTTTAATTAAATCAAATTTGTAATATCAATAACGTATGTTGCTTTGAAGACTGTGCAGAGCGTTGCGCACACTTCTCTCTGGACTTATTTAGATTCCCCTTAAAATTTAGGGAAGACGTTACGCAGATACACACGACGCAAACTTATTTATGCAAACTTAATCGATACAAATTGAAAAGCTTCAACGAACAAAGCTTTAGACGGACAAGTAGCTTTATCTTTCAGTGACAGAAACTAACACGTGTTATCCTCAACAATAATCATCATTATTTTACTTGACTATGTATAACAACAATTATTAATATTCAAAATTAAGTGCCATTTTTATCATACTAGACGCGCAATGTTCATTTCTTTGTGAAAATCTTCGAGCGACTGTTCCCAGCGTTCTTCGTAATAGACTCCCAATAGAAACTTTGCATTTTTACCCGTGTTTACAGACCATGGCAGGTAATGTTTCACGTACAATTGCCTCTGCCTGAAATGCATCATATGACGATATAGAAGAAGTGTACACGAGATAGTGGACAACAGCGGACAGTGTGTCGTGAAGCGATTCAAGCACAGAATTACCTAGAACGTAGTCGAATGGCACCGAATATCGCGCCGGTCACGCACATCGGCAAGCGCGTCTGCAAGGCCTCCACCCACTTAACCGACACCTCTCCCAGCATCGTCGTCGGCATTAAGAGGACAGCGTGAAAGATATCGTGTACCTCACGATACCGTTGCATCACGTACGCCAGCTCGACATCGTCGACGTATTGCACCGCTATTCGATCGTCGGGTGATACATTCTGCAAGGGTGCATTGTCCACTCAGAAAAAGACTCGCGCTTCAATCATATCTACAGAGAATCGAAGGGCTTACGCAGTAAAGCACATCCTTACATTGTTATCCAAGAAATCGCGATACGTTCTGCCGACGGTTCCTGGCGGCAAGTCTTTGAGGTAAGACAGATTGACAGTGGACGTGTTTACGCGTGGCTTTTGCTCGAGTATACGCTGACCCTCGGCCGTGCTCTTGAGCATTCGATGACAATGTACAAGGGCGTTCGTGCCGGTCACTTCCCCGAGACACGCTATCATGTCTCCTCGATACGGGTTCGCCAACGAAACCGCCGCCGAGCCCACCGTGAGCAGCACACGCTGCAGAGGGGATAGGGATACATGATGTTTGGCATAATCTTCCAGGAATGCCTTGCTAGTCGAGGTTGTCGCGAAACGGCCTGAAAAACCGAGCGAGATGAACACGTTTGATCGTACACACACGCGTGATGTTTATTAATAAATAAAATTTATTTCCATCTTGAAGTGTGTTCGCAGTATATATATATATATATGTACACGTATTAAACAAATTACAACTAATTTTTTATGGCGATGCTATTCCTTAATTGACCCGCGTCTCACGTTTTACTTCTAACGTGTAATACTTATCTGGTAACGATAATTTTATACTTTGGTACATTTGACAGTCAATTTGCCGGCGACATCACGACACTCTACAACTTGATTGAGAAGTTAGAGAGCATATTGCTAAAGCAGGAACAGAAATGCTTGCGAAAGAAGACGCTACGACTAAGAGACAACAGAGAGAGAGACAACACGATGTCGCTCGACAGTGCCGCCGAGGCGAAAAGAAACGCGCAACGTGCAACGACGAGTATCCGACTTACGGCTAAAGACTTCTTACTGACCGCCACATGTCTCTCGCAAGTATACAAACGAATCCTTCGCACAAGTGCGTCATAGTATCATGAACACACTACGCTCTCGCAACCGGCGTCTATGATGCGAGAGTTACAATCGGTGGCCTTCCTGATTACAATCATACGGCTTGTATCTTGCCGGCCTGAGACTCCGTCAGCAGAGTGAACTTTGGTGACAGAGTGTCTCTCTTACGGAATGTCACCCAGGTGTACACTAAGCTACCAACCACGCTCAAGTTTAAACCTACAAAGTTCAACCACGAGAATATGTAATCGCCGCCGATCACCATGCCGAGATATGTCACGCATATGTTCTTCAGGCAGCCGATTATAGTGGTGGTCAGCGCAGAATTGTACAAAGTACAGAGGATCATACTATACGACAGTATGAAGCCCATCACACACGACAAAATGAACTGCAGGACGAACATTAGATTCGTCCAGTCGGGAAAGTCTAGAGCTTGAGCAAGGTCACCCATCCACCAGGCCAACAGGAGCGTCGGCCCGAGCATGAAGAGAGAATTGTAGTACATTAATCCGTACTTCCCTAACTCCTTGGAATCTAGTTTCTTCTTCATGAACACGCCATTAGCGGCGGTGAAGAAGTCATTCAACAAGATGAATATGTAACCCTCCAGGTTGAAGGCCAGATCGTTGAGCGCAGCCACTACTGCACCCAGAATCATTGTGTAGACGCTCAACTGTATGGACAGTCGCGCCTTGATGCCCAGAATATAGTACTCGGCGATCATCGTCATGAGTATACTAAACCGTCTGAGCGCAGTGAACATAGGCAGGCTCAGTTGCTTCGTGCCACCCAGTCCGAATATCATATTGCCGATGTAGATGAACGGCAACGGCCATATCTTCGTGAACGTTGTCGTTTCCAGATTCGGGTACTCCACGTAATGTAGTCTCTTGGCCACGAACAGCACCAGTATCGTCGCCAACATCTGGCCGATGCCCAACACTTGGAAGGATGGGAAGCCAAACGACGTGAGCACAGTTTTGTTGACGACGGTTATCATGAATGACGACAGCCCATAAAAGAACGCCGATGCCACGCGCACAAACATCGCATTCTGCTCGTGTTCCGTCATCGTGTGTCGAAGCCTTGCCGATCTCTGTCCTTCTCTCTTTTTCTCTCTCGCTCAAATCCGTCGCTCACAGACCGGCTTACAGGAATACGACGCGTTACGACAAACGGTAACACACGTAAAGGAACCTACACTTTGATAATCTTATCATGCTTCTCCCGTCTGCGTCACGCTGCTCCGACAATTTTACAATAGCTAATCAGTCTTGAAGCGATAAAGGTGTCTTGCGATAGCTCGTAAGGTCACGTAAATTATCAAGCATCAGGCATAGTGTAGTTACTAGTGCGGCTATTTGCTCTGGCCTTGTACGTATTTCCGCTAGTTCGCTTCGTAGTCGACACAGTATCCGTGCGTAACCTATCACACAGCGGACATGTCAAACAAACAAATAAAACAGCAACGTATTACGCTCGCGACGATAAGTCTTACTGGAACGTACCTCCTCGAATATTTTTCCCACAGAAATGTGTGAAGCGAGATAATGTCAATGGCCTGATTTTGCTTCTTTTCTTTTTCCTACGAATCTCTCTGCGCAACGTTAAATTAACCTTATTCGACTGAGAGATGAAACTATCTTCTGGAACTCACGTTAAATTGCACCTTTAACATAAGTGTATATACGCTTGATTGATATGTTATATATATATATATATATATATATATATACATTATAACAGACTTACTAGAGCAAAAGTTTCAATGGCGCACAAAAATGATAACAACGGAGTAAGTAGTGTTTTAAATCTAACCTAATCTTAAATCCCACCAACCTAACCTACTCTTTCATTACAAATTTACCGGTTCAAATTTGCAACAATCGTCATCGCCATCTTTTTCGTGAGTCATGCTTACAGCATAGAAAAACGTGAGAGTGGCCATGCCATAAAGATTCTTAAGAGCTTTTTATTGACGCGCCCTTTAAAAAAAAAGTAAATCATTAAAAAATGGATGAGGAAGAATTCAAGGGAGATTCACACCAGGGTACCTATTATGGAACTCGTCGGAATCGATTCCGATCGAATTTATTCCGTTATTTCCTAGATTTCTATTTTCTTTTCTAGGGGAAACGGAATTATTCCGATCGGAATCGATTCCGACGAGTTCCATAATAGGTACCCTGGAAAGAAGCAGAAAGCAGAATGTCATAAACCAATCAGAAGTCGCGCTGATAGTCCGTCTTTCTCTTCTATCTCTCTCTTGAGAGGGAGACAGAGTATCAACGCGAGTTCTGATTGGATGCTGCTTTTTTGCGTGTGAATTCTCCCTGAATCCTTCCTAAAATTTTCTTCATCTGAAAAATCACTAATGGCTGCAATAACTAGTCTGTTCTTTTTAGCTGCACTGCTGAACTGGTGTAATAAGTTAGAATGAGAAAAAATATAGTTATCTCATTCTAACTTATGCACCAGTCACCAGTGCTGCTTAAAAGAATAGATCCCTAGTTTTGGACCGGTGCAGTTCTAGAGCAGCACTAGGACACAGTTCCACAACTTGCTTTAAACGGAGTTTAAAGCTAAACCGATGGTTAAAAGCAATAGTATATGCGCATATACTATTGCTTTTAACCATCGGTTTAGCTTTAAACTCAGTTTAAAGCAAGTTGTGGAACTGGACCTAGTTCAGCTGAAAAGAACAGACCCAACATATGCAGATAAGCATCGCGATACCACTCAATTTAAAACAGAAAGTTTTTGCAATACCGTCTCTCAGATACGGTAAATGTAAATCGTGAATGTTATTCGCTCAGAAATAACGTCGTAATCTATACGACTAAGACCCAGTTCCACAAGTTGCTTTAAACGGAGTTTAAAGTTAAATCAATGGTTAAAAGCAATAGTATATGCACATATACTATTGCTTTTAACCATTGGATTAGCTTCGAACCCCGTTTAAAGCAAGTTGTGGAACTAGGCCTAATAATATTCACGACTTACGTTTATCGTATCTGAGAGACGGTGTTGCAAAAATTCCCCATTACGACTTTAAACTGCAATTCAAAGAAACGATTCTTTAAATCTTTTTGAATTCTTTATTCATAGAGCACGTAAAAAGGAGTATTTTTCAAACAACTAAAAAAGTTTATATCAAACTAAAGGCAACATTCACATTTTGATCTTATTGTAATAAAAGGGTGGTATCCCTTACGGATATGGATTTTAGGGTTCGGGAATTTCGATATCACTCCGCCTCGTTGCTATGGAAACGGTTTATCGGGAACTACTTTACGGAAACCCTCCTGTTACAATTCGACCCGTCCGTCTGTTAACAGAAATAGTTTTTTCTCGTTATTCCGATTTATAACATATTTCCACAATAAATTATTTTAAATCGTTTCTTCGACGCGAGTTTGTCAAGGTCTCTGTTCGAGAATTTTTTTTCTTTGGAAGTTTAACTATATCTATCAAAGAGTATCGATTAGCTATTCAGCCTCGCCGAAACTATTCGCAACGTCGAAAATCATTCGTGGACTTCCACACCGTCAGTACATATTCGTATTTCTAAATGTAAGTACGCAATGATTATATCGTAGCAGGCGCAAAATCTCTCTTTTCGGAGACAAGTTTCTTCCTGAAATATGTGTGATATCTGAAAAATTTTTCGTATAGAAATATACATGGAAAATAGACTCGTTATGTATGCACAGACATCAATCGATAATGGAAAAGTATCCAGCCGGCAATTGATATTTTTTTTCTTTTGTTTGACCACGATATTATGTAAAGCTTGTCTAATGCTAACTTCCTTGCAAAAACATCCTTATTATTTAACTTTCTTCATAAAAAGTAGTATGAGATGTACTGTTACTCCTATATATAGAAAAAAGAAACCACCTGCTTTGTAGAAATAGATATATTTAATCCAAAAAATAAAAATTAGCAAACAATAATAAAAATTAGTGGAAAAATTGATATCATACAATGATTGCCAAAATGTTCAGTCTTATAAAAATATATCAATGAGGGTCTAAAATAAAGATAAAAATATATAAAATAATTAATTGAAAATGATGCATATAAATGAAGATTCAAAACCAGATATGTTAATTTTAGCTCAGGTCTTTATTGTAGATATTAGAAATTTGCAAAAGTTCATCAGATTTTAGTCATATTTTCTTTATCAATAGTAACAAATCATATGTTGTGTTTAAAATTGTATAATCTTTATTAAGATTGAGTTATATTAAATTAAGATAAATTTTCATACTATAGGTTTAACCGTGACCGAGATCAGGGTAGAAGCCGTCGTGGTAGTGCTGTTAGAGGCGGCATTAGCAGAGGTGGCAGTGATAATGGACGTGGACACATTGTCAGCAGATTTAGCACACGTGGTAGGGGAAGTGTCAGTAATGTAAGAGGTAGCTTAAAAGGGAAACAACCTGGTGGTGGCTTAAGAAGAGTAAATTGGGATCTACGTAGCTTAGAACCACTGCGCAAGGACTTTTATGTTGAGCATCCTGCAGTTAGAAATAGGTATCTGAAAATTTAATTTAAAAGCCAATAAAATTTCTTTTACAGTTAGCCTCTCTACTCAGCACGAACCCATTATCTCTTGCCTAGTCCCAAGCATTAAACTTATAGGCTAGATTTTTAGTGTTTAACTTGTCAGTAATTGCTAACTCGTGTTTAAGTAGGGAGGTTGGCTATAAAAAACCATAATGAGCTGGTAGCTTCAAATTTTAAATATCAAGTTTGACCCTTTGCGATCGTAATTTAAATTGATTTCTGTTGAGAAATCCATAATTGTTGAGCTTTGGTAGACTGGCGAAACTTACAGATCCTTTCTCAGAGTATTGCTTTTAATTCCTTGTGTTGATAACTAACAGCATTTAATTAAATAGTTATACAGAATAGTTATACAGAATATGAATTGTAGTTAATATTCCGTAAAATTGAAAGTATATGATAATTATTTTTCAAAAAGAAACATTGTATTTTCATCTATATTAAGTTTAATTAGTACAAGATAATAAAGGTAAGTTGTATGATCGACAACATGCTTGAAATATGCTCAATGCAAGGGGTTAAATGAATAAAATAAAATAAAAGTGATAAAATAAAAAAAATGAATAAAAGCTTGTAGACAGCTTATGGTTAAAAAAATATCTGTTTTATACAATATCCTCGGTATATTCACACTTTGTGATGATTGACCACAAAGGGTTAAAAAGCGCATATGATGAACAATAAGGAATGTGTTTAATATGAATTTCATTTGGAATTAGATCTAAAGAAGAAGTAAGCCAATTCCGGGAGAATACAGAGATAACTGTGAAGGGTGAAAATGTTCCTAACCCTATACAATATTTCGAGGAGGGAAATTTTCCTCCTTATGTAATGGAAGGCATTCGTAGACAAGGATATTCACAACCTACTCCAATTCAAGCTCAAGGATGGCCTATTGCCCTCAGTGGCAGAGATCTTGTCGCGATTGCTCAGACTGGCTCCGGGAAGACTCTTGGAGTGAGCAAATTAGAAACATATCACTTTAAAATATGGAAACAATTAATATTTTTATGTTCGTTCCCTTATAGAAAAAACACTCAAATATTGAGTATCTACACTCAATTATTTGAATGTTTTTTTCCGTAAAGATTTTATTTCCACCTGCCTGATTATTTGTGATTAATAGCATCATGCGCTTTCTATCATTTAAATGGGATAATGAAAACATACAACGGACATTACAAGATATTTAATGTGTACGCGTGTGTATATCAAGATATTTTACATTTTCTTTTCAGTATATTTTGCCTGCGATCGTGCATATCATACATCAACCGCGCCTAAGCAATGGAGACGGTCCGATCGCTTTAATCTTAGCTCCTACCAGAGAGTTGGCTCAACAAATTCAAGAAGTAGCCAATTGCTTTGGCGAATCAGCGGCTGTGAGAAACACATGTATTTTCGGCGGCGCTCCGAAAGGACCACAAGCGCACGACTTGGATAGAGGTGTTGAGATATGCATCGCTACTCCGGGTAGACTTATAGATTTCTTAGAAAAAGGCACTACAAATTTACGTAGGTATGTTTGTGGTAACTATAAATTTCCAAGATAAACACATTAGTTACACATATATTCGAGGATACCGAATAAATGCACAATATGAGTAATATGAGTAATGTTTAAAATGTATTATACTAGGTGTACATATCTAGTACTTGACGAAGCTGACCGAATGCTGGACATGGGCTTCGAACCTCAGATACGAAAGATAATCGAGCAGATACGTCCGGACAGACAAGTGTTAATGTGGTCGGCGACATGGCCTAAGGAAGTCCGCGCGCTCGCGGAGGATTTCTTGACGGACTACACTCATTTAAATATCGGCTCACTCACTCTGTCGGCCAATCACAATATCACACAGATTATCGACGTCTGTCAAGAATTTGAGAAAGACTCGAAGCTATTCAGGTTGCTACAGGAGATCGGCAATGAAAAAGAGAACAAGACTATCATATTCGTGGAAACTAAGCGCAAAGTGGATGATATCACGAGAAACATTAGACGCGATGGCTGGCAAGCACTAAGTATACACGGCGACAAGAATCAGCAGGAGAGGGATCACGTGTTACAGGAGTTTCGTAGCGGAAGAGCGCCAATTTTAGTCGCAACCGATGTGGCTGCTAGGGGTTTAGGTAAGTGGTAACGACTGTTCGTTTCTTTTTTTTTCGGCCGTGCTTCGTAGGCACTAGAACAATTTCACGGTTAAACTGGGTATTGGCAACACTTATTGGATTAGCCGGTGATGCGTTGTTAGAGCAAGGCCAGCCGACAGCTGTGTACGTAGCAGTGTGTGATGCATTGGAACTATTATCATTCTCGTTCTTGATCGTATCGTAGAGCCATGCAAACTCGACTACGTTTTTGTATGTTTGTGGCCTCTTTCTTTTTTTTATATAAATGGAGCTTTCATTTCGCAATTGCGTTATCATTCGATGATTTTTATGTTTCTGATTTTTCGTTCTTTATCCTCATTGTTTACATTCCAATCATATTTATTTGAAACTTATGTATTTCTTAAGCTTTTATGAAACTAAAAGAGAAAACAAACAGCAACGTTTCGCTCCATTTTCATATTTAATTTATAACTGTACATTGTATCTTTTTTATTCACATATGTCAGCTTGAATGTTAAGACAAAGAGTTTTATTAATTATGGTAATGATATGTATAATAACAGGGTTCTGAAAATGCACACAAGCTACCACTAAGTCTGTCTGCTTTTCTTTTTCAGAGGCACAGAGTACCCTAACTCAACGCGGTGTACTGCCAGTATTGGGCAGACACAGTGACTATTTTATTTTCCTTTGCTTATATCTTATAATATACTGTTTTTTTAGACGGACAGATCGATTCGTAAGCGGTTTAACTTGCGTTTTAAATTTCTCAGTATTACAGAATAGCAAAATAGATTTTAAAACGACTGGATGCATTTAATGACACAGTTATATCTCGTCGTGATATACAAATAATCAACAAATGGTTCTCCTAGTCAAGACTTGCATTTGCATAGTGACTATAGATATCTGAACGTGATTTACAAACGTGATTTACGAACGACTTACGAAAAGCACATTAAGTACAGCTGTTGAATTTTCTCTATCCAGTGCCTCTAACTTTAAGAATTAGTATCGTACGGTGCCTATTAAAACTAATGCACTCAGGCTTAAACCCTAAAATGCTGCCTCTATCCCAAACCAGACACAACCGCTGTGTCTGTCTAATCTCTAGGCCGCTGGTATATTTCCATAAGAAAGCAACCGAAATTGCCCCACTTTAAAAGCAAATGGGGTCGTTCTCGCTGATTTCACGTCGGAATTTCCAAGCGAAAGGTGGGTGTTGCAATTTGTTTTATTGATTGAACTTATTTGGAAATATTAGGGTGAATTCAAATCTGAGTGAGACAAGTTTTATATAAGTAACGATTATAGATGACTTAGTATGGATATGAAAATGTGTTCGATCACATCAGGATAATACTAATTGATTTTATTATTTAGAAAGGATACTATAATCTTTTGAAATAATACTTGACGTACATGTACAGGCTAAGGAACACGATAATCAATCTTTTGACATCTGCCATGACTGCTATTTTGCAGATGTGGATGATGTGAAATATGTGATAAATTTCGATTATCCATCCTCATCGGAAGACTACATACATAGAATCGGTCGAACTGGACGCAGACGACAAACCGGCACGGCATACGCGTTTTTCACGAGCCACAATATGAAGCACGCCGGAGATCTTATAGAAGTATTGCGGGAAGCGGGTCAAAATGTGAATCCGCGCCTCAGCGAAATGGCAGAGATGGCGAAAGCAGGGAATTTTGGCGGCAGAAGTGAGTCTAGCAGTGAGTGTATACTCACCACCGTGAAAATTTTGCAGTGCTCACAGTAATGAGCATATGTTAATATTATTTCATCTCTACAAGACGGGAAACGTTTTGGCGCTTCTTCCGGCATTGGTGGAGAGAGAGGTAATATTCGGAGAGGCAGTAGTGACGGTAGAGGAAGAGGAAGTATTCTGGGAAGAGGAAGAGGTGCATCTCGCGCTGGGAATTCTTACCAATCTTCTTCGAGTATTTATTCGGGACCAGATTACAGTAGTTATACTAGCATGAAATCAAGTGGGTCCGCTATAGGTCAAAACGCGGCGTACGGATACAGTACACAGAGAAACTACGGACAAGGCAGTATGCCACAGAATTATGGAGGTGGCGATAATTATGGAAGCAGTTATCCATACAGGGGTGCAACTTATTAATCGCGTTTTTAATGTTTCCAATTGATAACACGTAATCACTCGATGGTGTGTAATGTGTCCATATTTAGTTAGTCCGACTCTGTGGTAATATTTATAATAGATTAAAAGGGGAAGAGGTGGATATGAAGGAAGGTATCGACGCGTTCGACGGGCGATAGTATACCATATTGTATTACCCAATGAGTATTATCAATTTTAAATCGACAGTTACACATACAATTAACATTTGTTAAATATAATGTCAAGTGATTTGCGTGTATCGAATTTGACGCATCAAACAAAGCTGAAGGAGCTTTGATGCAGTTTTAATACGTTCGTAACTAACCTTGCAGAGATAATATATAAGTTCCTATGGTGCGACATCAGGTTTGTACTAGTAATCGTTAATTGAAACAATATCTTCCTGGAGATATTTTGATCTGAATATAGAGTTAGATGGATTTTTCAGTCGAATTATGCGATACATGTGACATTGCATTTGTAATCGCGATTCATCTGAAGGATTCTTATCTAATTCTAAACTTAAATATGGATATCATACATGAAATGAATTTCTCAAGTATCTCGACTATTAATACAAGCCTCAAAGTGCAATCACTAGAAGCCAAAGTATTTATTTATAGTTTGTTTCTAAATAATTTAAAATTTTATATTTTATATGTAGCGTTTGACAAATGTTTTACATGCATGTATGTTCGTGATCAGTATTACAATATTAGTTTTATGAAAAAGACATGACATGACATATGCTGTTCAAATTACATGCTCGAAACCAAAAATATTTTTTTGCAGTGGCCTGCAAAATTTGCAAAGAATTTTTGTTTTTAAAGGGAAGACTGACGATTATTACATGTTATTTAATTTTTATGTATTAGCAATGTTATTAAAAGAGCTGTGTTCATATTTTTATAATTTATATGGACTCTAAGATTTTACTTGTTCAAATATTTTCACGTCAATGTATGTAGCTATTTCAGAGTTAAACATTCTGTTAAATTGCGACGGGTTCGCGAAGTTTGTCAATGAAATTATGGATAGAAAATGCGATTATATGTGGTGTGATGACCTATACATAAATGTATTAATATTAGTTATTAGTATCACAATTAATGTTAATTGTAATATATATATATAACGAATTATATTTTAATATTATTTCTATAAATTTTTATGTTATATTTATAAGACTGGCGCAAATTATACTTTTCACAACTATGTGATTTTAGACAATCGACTAAATAATTCGTTAACTGTTTTCGTTAATTGTGATACTATCAAATAAGTTGATAATTTAGGTCAATTGTTGTTTCTTTTTGTAATAGCTGTGATATGTCAAGCTTGTAGCCCAACGTTAAGATATAATAGAAACTTGGACCTTCATATGTGGGAGAAAGGACGGAGTGTTATAATCGTAAAAATGGTCTCTTAATTTTTTGTAACTACAAGTCTTTGTACATTCTTTGGCTACATTATGTTTTGACTACATTAAATTTTGTCTATGTTGTTTCGTTGTTATATAGTTTTATGCCATAGAATTAATAAAATTAACTTTTACGCTTCTTCTGCTCGGAATTGGTTTCCCAAACTTTCCTGAAGTATTATCAGTATAAATTTATATAAAATGCATATAAATGTATATGTATAAGTTATAAATGTTCAAAATACAAAATAATGTTATTATATTAATTTAAAACGAACCATTTGAGATCGTATCGAATTGTTTAAAATTCAAGATAAATTATAAGTTGAATCAATGAAAACTATTATATTTTTAATTAATATTACGTGCGTCGTACAAAAGTTTATTAAATGTTTCGATTGGCTGTCAGATAAAGAATTTTTAGGATATCTAGAGAAAAAGTTAGGTGCCCTAGAAATTCAGCTAATCGGAACGTCCGATAAGTTTGTACAACATATATACAATGTAATATTAATTAAAGTAAATTTAATAGAGGATTCACTCAGGGTCCAACATATGATATACAACATGCGATATCTAGAAGGTTAATTAAAAAGTGGTGCGGTATAAGCTAGGTTTATTATCTTTTATTAAAGAATCTTTATGCATCCCTTGGAATTCGGCCCAATAATTGATCTCAAGCTTCTTTCTGCTTTATTTTCTGCTTTATAACAGTAATGTCCATTTTTACCAACTGATTTACCAACGTGATTAATTTAACTAGAGCCTTCATAGGAAGGAAGAGAAGGCAAATTTATCGCGTGATCAGGTCTCTGCTGATTCGATGGAGGCACAAAAGTCTTCTTGACCAGTTAGAATATCGATATAGCAAGACGACAGGTTGGTTTTACAGTGAGTTTTAAAGTAGTCTAGGCATTTTATATTATGCACAAGACACAAAATTATGTAAATAACATATTACTATTCTAATTCTATGTAAATCGAAGCGACAAATATCCTTTCACAATTGAATACTTATTACTTACGGATATTTGACTCTTATTGCTGTTATTAATTCGTAGGCGAATATCTTGTGTGACTCGTCATAACCTCCTCTAATGATTGACAGATGTACGTCAGACTGCTTTAAAAACTTATTGTAAAACCAACCTGTCGTCTTGCTATATCGATATTCTGATTGGTCAAGAAGGCTTTGTGCTTCCATCGAATCAGCAGAGACCTGGTCACGTGATCAGTTTACCCCTTTCTTCTTATGAGGCTCTCTACCAGAGACTTTTATATTATGGACAAGAGCACAGATTTCTGCATAACACATAATACATAACGCATAAGAGAATAAACCAATTAGTTTTCTTCATTTCCCTCCTCAAGATAGAAATGAAGAACTCTGATTGGTTGATTCTCTTCTATAACTAGACTGCTAATTTGGGTAAAGTAAATGGTTCCGAAAGTTATGTACTAAACTTATGCGCATGCGTCACGCATGTGGAAAGATAGTGACGTCTGATTGGTTACAGTAAAAGTAATATATATTGGGTGCATTCAGTACTATAACGCTCACTGAGCGCTAAGTGAGCTCTTGCATCTGATTGGTATATATCTTTAGATTTAAAAATATACACCAATCAGATGCAAGAGCTCATTTAGTGCTCAGTGAGCGGTGTAGTACTGAATGCACCCATTGTATACACACATGCAAGTATTATTGTATGCATAATCATAAATTCTAACAAGAAATGTTAGTAACACATATAGCGTTTGTATCTATTGATTATAAGAAATATTATAGTTGTGACAAAGAAAATATTACATTACTGTTGGAAATACTGAATACAAATATATAATAAATCATGTTTATTATAAATTATTTTAAATAAATGCATATATTGTATTTAAAGAAAAAGATAACAGCAGAAAGAAAGCAAATAAAGTATATAAAATTATATATTTAGCAATTTCATTATGTCATTAGTGCATGTCATTATAAATTAAAGATGCAATTTTTAATAAATTTTTAGATTAGGATACTGCAATTTATATATTTTAATTTTATATATACATGATGTGACATGATAGGAATGGGATTTGATAATAAAACAAGTACTTTAATGGAAAATAACCTTTTTATTAAAATAATGCGATATATATTATACTCTATCTTTAATATTAATTATACAGAGTGTACACTTTTTTATTTTGGATTGGAAATCCAAATACCAGTAAATACAATTTAAACCAGTTTAAAAGATATAATATGTACATATAATGTCGAGATATCTCACAAGTATATAATTCAAATTAACATGAAAATCTTATTATGGATGAAAATCTTATTATGGATAAGATATGAGTAAATTTTATATTAATTTTTGAGGTTATTTTCATCTGATATATACATCTGTGATAGATTACTTACTCTAAGGCACACACAATAAACTTATTTTACAGTAATTCATATAAATTATTCTAAGCATTTTAAACTGTATGATCGCGGACATAATAGTATGTGCCCGTTTTTTTGCAACTTTCGGAACGCATCCCGATTCGAGGAGAATGAGAGTCACTGCTCCACCTGCGGAGCACGCCTGCGCAGTGACTCATAACGAAAGGCGAGAAATGAAATATACGCGGTGAGACATTTTATAATAATACAGATTCAGATGAAATGAATACTCCAGCATTAAATGAAAATGAGGGAACACAGAACAGACAAGAATCATCCGATGTAAGTCTTATACTCCGGGGGATATCCGAAAAAGGTAGAGATAAATAAACATGTTTATGTTTTTAAAACAATACGAACTTAATTAAGAGAATTAAGCTGCATTACGATAATTACGATTCTGTTATACATTTATATGTGATTTATACGTGTAATCGACTGTGGTTGGTTCGTTTCTTACCGCTTACGTTTTCAACCTTATTCTTCCAGCCACTGTAGATGGGCCTTTAGACTAAACGCACTAGACAGCTAAAGGCCATTTTCAGCAAGAAACGCTATATTACATAAAAACATTTTATTGGCTATGAATTATCTAAAAAGATGTTGTAGATAATATGTAGCCAATAAAACACTGATGTGGAACACAGTGTTCCTCAGTTGGAAAACGCCCAAAAAGAACAGACCTCGCGCAAATCGACAACGATGCGACATATCTTTCGTTACACTTCCGCCGTTGCGCTCAACATTGTCACTTCGGGCGAGAGACACGAATATTTTTAAGAATTTTATAGACGAATATACCATATTTTGACGTTCTATAAATCAACTTCAAAAGGTAATCGCTCATATGAGGTTTTTCATAGCCGTACAAATAGTTAATCGATTTTATAATCTCGATTCTCTTCAGGACTATTTGGCGCCAGCGTATGACGCCGGCCACGCCGTTCCATTCACATTCATTACGAACATCCTGTACGTCTGATCGCGAGAAATAGTAATCGAGGTGATCGGCATCCTGTGGAAGAAACTCCAGCGTACCAGTGATCAGTAGATTCTTGTAATTCGTCAACACTACAATCTTCAATGTAAGTACAGTTTCTATCGAAGAAATCGTTACGAGAATTCTACGCAATTATCCTCGCGATCATTCCACACGTTTTAATGTCGTTGCTGATGCATGCGATTTCGATGTTGCCCTCCATGTTGCTTGCTAAAAGCGAATTTCGGTTTTCGCAACTATCGAACGCGAGTGTAGAAATAGAGATCACAAGCTTCACGGAGATTGATTTTCGGAAAAAAGAAGCCAGTCGGCTCAGATAAAGCGGGATTTCCCATGACGACATTCTTCAGAGTACACGTAATCCTTTTACACACGCTTATGACATACTATGCTACATGTATACATCACACATACATTCAACATTTAGTTGCCCTGTTTGTGACCTCCTTTTATATAAATGCACTTTGATATATCACTTATATCTGTGTTTCATTTATTTAGCATCAAAGTACCAAGGAAATAAAACATCTTATAGACTTTGTAGATAGATCTTGGCATATATACATCATCCTGTGTCATGGCAAAAAACAGGAAAGAAGGTTGTAACTTATTTCTTTATTATCCAACAAAAAAGAGTTATGAGGACTGTGTTTTTTATTTGTTCTAGAATATGCCAAATTAAAAAGTTTAGGGATCAAAATGTTTAAAAAATATACTTAAAACTGAAAAATATTTAATTTTTGTTCTCTATTGAATATATATATATATATATATATATATATCTGTATTCTGTATATATACATGTATTCTGTATATACACATGTATCTGTATATACACATATATTTATATATACATATATACATGTATATACCCTACAAATGTCAGAGGACGTTCAGAGTACATCTTAAGGACATCCTAGGGACATTTCTTCATCCTCAGGATGTCCATAGGATGTCTCCAGGAGTCATGTGCAGTCTGGATATATATGTGTGTATTGTTCATATATACATATATATAACCAATATTAGATTATATATACATGTATAAAATTATAAATGAAATGAAATATATATATGATTATCATATATGAAAATATACATAAATGATTAATAAATAGTGGAGAAGATTAAATATTTTTCAGTTTTAAATAGAACTTTAGAATATTTTTGGATGCCTACAACTACGAGGGCAATCTGAAAAGTTCTCGGCCTAACAATAAAAGAAAAATTTTTTTGCCATGAAATATGTTTTATTTTTCAATATAATCTCTCCTGAAACTTCAATACATTTATTCCAAAGTCTTTCCAATAATCCAATACCATCATTAAAGTGTGATTCCGGAAGGTTCTTTTTGCTCTGGTGTATAGTGGTGGATTCAAGTTTCATCAACAGTTATGAAATGACACTTGAAATTCATTTTATTTTGCTTAAAATGATAAAAATGTGCCAAACACGCTTGAGAAATACGTATTCGAATACGTTTTTGGTCAATTGTTAGCAAATGCGGCATTTATCTTGCATAAAGCTTTTTCAACTGGTGCTACTACTCGAATGACTTTGACAGATCAAATAAAATTTTACATGGGTTTATATCAGGGATGTCACTTTCCAATACAATTATAGTTTGACAGTTTCTAATGTCATGTATATGTCAGGTTGAAAACTTTTCAGACTGCCTATGTACCTACAAGATCTATGAAATGTTTTATTTCTTTTGGTACTTTAATGCTCTGTTTTGTTTTATAGAACAAATTAAAATCTTATATTGTGATACTATTTTTATATAAAAAATCTTCAGGTTTTTATATTCTACCAAATGTGAAGATCTTTATGTTTGGTAAAACATAAAAGAGGAACAAGCTACAACACATACATATATTTATCTAGTTTTAAAGATAGAAAACAGAATTTAGTTTAGCTGAAAAGTATAAGCTTTTAACTGTTTTATATCTATATGTTATGGATGCTTTAACCTTTATTATCCAAAATTTCTTATGAATTTTATGGTCTTATACATATGTATGGAAGGTTTAAAAAATTAAAGAATATGTGTGTGTGTGTGTGTGTGTGTGTGTGTGTGTGTGTGTGTGCATATATTAATATCAATGTTATAGCTGAAGTTATTTTCATGATTTTTAATCTTGCACACATAAAATTGATTGTTGTATAATAATGTATAATATATAAAATTAATTAAAAAATTAATTCGTAGGAAATTTTAATAAATAAGTATTAAGACATGCATGACATATGGATCTAGAACTGACTAAGAACCTATTTCTTTTAGTTAGTAAAGTTGTGCTTTATGTCTTTAGAGTAAAAGAAATACTAAACATTGAAAAAAAAAAGAAACAAACTCAACTAATTGAATTACAAAAGAAAAGCTTTCAAAAAAATTTTATCTTACATAAGTATACAACACACACACACACACACACAACACACATGTTTTTATTTGAGAGTTGTAAAGTATTTTTAGCATTTCATGTATTTCTTAGCGTAATATCTACATATGTTTCACATGATTAAAATAAAGTGTTTTCTTTGTTTGCTTTGTTTCTCTGTACTTTTCCTTCATTTATTTTCACGCAAATATTAATTATAATTATTAATTATATTAAATAATTATATTGATATTCATATAGATATTAATTACATTAATATGAAGATTTGTATCAAGTTATATTCCATTTATAAGTTCTATTTATAATTTAAACTATATTCTTGAAACATGACATCCAATACACTGTGGTCGGCTTTCTCGCCAGGTAGTTACTCGACCGCAATGGCAAGAGCTGTCGAATCAATAGAACGCATTGATTTGTATAGAGATATATATGTACAAGCGATTTAAAAAGTCTTGGGATAAAAGAACTGCGCATATACGTAAGCGTCAATACGTCTGCCGATTCACAGACTTTCTAACTTTCTACTTTGTTTCATTCGTGGAGCGAAATTACACGGAATTACAATGATTCGTTGGAAATCATTTAGATTGCGAATTTTATTGTAGTATAAATAAGAAAATCTCGATGTTTACCATTCATTATTGTATCCTTGTAGTGCATAATATTATAGTCAAATCTCTGACCTAATGATATATTATTTTTTAACTATATTTACGAGATATACACAGTTTTCACCGAGAGAGAAACATTAGACAGTAAGACAGTTTTACGTACCTATAGATATAATAGATGTTTCATTGTTTCGCTTTTTGAAAAGGGCATATCGCGATCGCGAACGCAATGACAGACGAGGTGGTGGTGCACGTGGAGGTGGTCGATTTGGCGGACGAGATAGCGGCGGAGGAGGCGGAGGTGGCGGCAGTAGATTCGGCAGCAGCGGTGGAAGCAGAGACAACGGTTTCGGCAACAGTAGCTTCAAGAACCGTCAGCCTGGCGAACGTCTTCGTAAACCGCGATGGGATATGAGCACGTTGCAACCATTCAGAAAAGACTTCTACCAACCACATCCAAATGTAATGACAAGGAGTCTTCACGCAGTGGAGGCATACCGTGTGAATAAGGAGATTACGGTGAAGGGAACTAACGTCCCAGGTCCCAATATTTATTTCGAAGAAGGTGGTTTCCCGGATTATGTTCTCAATGAGATCCGCAGGCAAGGTTTCGGTGAACCAACCGCGATTCAAGCGCAAGGTTGGCCCATTGCCTTGTCCGGTCGCGACATGGTCGGTATAGCGCAAACTGGCTCGGGAAAGACATTGGCGTATATTCTACCTGCGATCGTACACATCAATCATCAGCCCCGATTGAGCAGAAACGACGGTCCGATCGCGTTGATTCTTGCGCCGACTCGGGAATTGGCGCAGCAAATTCAGCAAGTGGCATCAGACTTCGGTATGTCCTCGCAAGTGCGAAACACGTGTATCTTTGGCGGTGCTCCAAAAGGACCACAAGCACGTGATCTCGAGCGTGGAGTAGAGATTTGCATCGCTACTCCTGGACGTTTGATAGATTTTTTGGAACGTGGCACTACAAATTTACGTAGGTGTACGTATCTAGTGCTGGACGAAGCTGATAGGATGCTTGATATGGGCTTTGAGCCGCAAATTAGGAAAATTGTAGAACAAATTCGACCCGACCGTCAGACACTCATGTGGTCCGCTACATGGCCGAAGGAAGTGCGTAATCTCGCGGAGGAATTTTTAACGGACTACATACAGATCAATATTGGTTCGCTGCAACTGGCTGCCAATCACAATATCCTCCAGATCGTGGATGTGTGCGAAGAATATGAGAAGGAGGGTAAACTCATGAAACTATTGGAGGAGATCTCCAATGAACCGGAAAATAAGACTATAATATTTGTGGAGACTAAGAGGAAAGTGGATGATATAACAAGAGCTATTAATAGATACGGATGGCAGGCAATTGGCATCCATGGAGACAAAAGCCAACAAGAGAGAGACTATGTACTAAACCGTAAGTACCATTACTCAATATACAATATACAAAAAGCAAAATTGTTTAATATCGGTATTAAATTTTGCTATTAAGTTATCAAATTTATAACAACGTCCAGAATAACATTTGTAACATCTTGAATTATACGCTATTTATATTTAAACAATTTCGTTTATTTCGTGGAACTTCAAGGGACCTAAAATTTACGATACAAAAAGAACTACAAGAAGGAATTACATCGTATTGAAAGTCCTTTTTACTATCTTGCGTCATAGAATATGCCTCAATATTTCTCGGAAAAAAGATCTTCGCGAAACTTCTGACGTGTTCTTTTTCCTCAAAGCTCTGTAATGTTGTTTCCAGAGTTCCGGAATAGCAGATCAGCGATCCTAGTGGCTACTGACGTGGCGGCGAGAGGTCTAGGTAAGAATTTGCAGATAATTGCAGATGGGTGTGATGTAAGGGTCAGGCTGCGATGGTTATCTCACATTTGTGAGAGTCGTGGTATTATGATGTGGCAACGGATAACGGCATGTGCCAGACTGATTGACGTTACTCCTTTACCAGTGTGGCTGGAGATAATTCCATGAACTCTTAGGAATACCAGGAGCGTACAAACAATAATTTTTTCCGTTTTAATTTCGCCGTTGGCACTCTTTAGTTTTGTTGTTCTTTTCATGCTGATTTCTTTTCGCCGGCTGATTATTAATGCGGGAAACGCGGTAGCGCACGCTCGCGCTTCTTATCAGAACGCTTAACATCGCCATTATACCTTTAGCGATATACGATTAACGCAGGGATAAGTTTTAACTTCTTCTGTTTTATTATAAGCTAACATAGGCAGATTTTGACGTTCTTTTGATTTTGTCGCGCATACAAACGCGATTATGCATCTCGCGTTGAATTCGAAACATTGCGCGCTAATATAGTAATGACACAGAAAGAACGTCGAAATATTTCAGCTTTGAAGGTGAGGGAGTCAGGTAAGCAAAGGTTTTAGCCAGGCTTATCTCTTTCAATTTTGATCTCAGATCTCGAGACAAGTCCTGTCAGTCTGGTATTAACGTGCTGTTCTATGTGTTTTCAGAGGCACATGCGACGGAGTTTTATCAATGATAAGAACTCTGGAGAGCTTGCTTGGAAAATATATTTGAATGGGGCGTGACTGCTGGTCTCCGCCCCCTCGCAACAAGCTATTGTAACGCTGTGCCTCGGCCCACCGTGCCACTCGAAAAACCCTCTCACTCTGTACCTGCGACGGTCCAAAGTATGGAGATATCGTAATGTTAGGGCGTCTAGCATGCCAGGACAACCAAAACAAAACAAAAAAAATGATATGCGAAGGGATAGAGATTATTGCCGGTTCCATTCGTTGCAATAGTAGATCGTAACAAATTACATCAAGTTGCATTGCAATAATCGTGATGCCCTGGACCCGGGCGATTATCGACCATCGTTTCTTTTTTTCTTTTTTTTTTCTTTTTTTTATGCTGAAATTACCAACAGTACACTGATGAGCGTGAACTTCGCGCCGCACATTTTATAACTTCGGCCGGACAATTGGACGAGGAATAACCACACAGTGATTGTCGACAATAATTTCAGCATCAAAGTGTATGAAGGGAGTTGTTCACAATATTGCAGTGCGTAATTCTTGATGCTAATTGTTCAATGGAGTACGCGCGTGGGGTTGAGTGGAGAACACACGCAAGACGCACGCTTGGTGTTCCAACCATTCCAACCGGAGCAGTGTACAAGGACCAAATTTTGAAATACCAGCCGAGATCCATACTTTGGTGCGGTAGAGAAGGGTGTAACGTTTGCATAAGAATAATACTATAGAGCTCGCTAAATACGTGAAGCGAGAATTCCATGAGAACCATCTGAGCTCTGATTCCTCTACATTTCCAAAACAAATGTATTTACATTTCCAGCTCTAGTCGCAAACAGGTAATTAATATGCAAGACTTGCTCTTTGTGGTCAACATACCTTGAGTGTTAATGTGCGAATTGCAAATGGAACTAAAGTTGTTTGGTTAATCCTCAAATTAAAATCATTGATTACGTTAAAGGTAGGTAGGTAATCTTTAACGTTTGTCTCTCCCGACTGAAGAAGATCTCTCTTTCCTCTCGAAGCATCGGACACGGTAGAGACGATGTGGAGAGCGGCAAGGGTAGAAAGACCAATGACGAACATCAATGTCGTCGATGTAAAATGACAAAATCTCCAAGCGAATTCTCTTTTTCTCTCTTTCTCTCTCGTTCTTTAATTCCATTAGCAAGGAGACAGCGTCTTTGGTAAATGCTTCGATCGATTCGCTTTATAAGTTAATTGAACCACAAAAGAACAAGTATTCTTCCCGTGCCGCGATTGTGACTCCGTGCATTACGCAGATGTCGAGGATGTCAAATTTGTGATTAACTTGGACTATCCGTCCAACTCTGAGGACTATGTGCACCGTATCGGACGTACGGGCCGCTCGCAGCGTACGGGAACAGCGTACGCCTTTTTCACTCCTGGCAATGCGCACAAGGCTAGTGACTTAATTCAAGTTCTCGAAGAGGCTAAGCAAGTTGTCAATCCGAAACTGTACGAGCTGTCGAGGAATCCCGGCATTTACAAGAGTAAGTTTCGCTCATTTTTTACTTGTATATATATATATATATATATATATTTATTTATATACATATATTTATACATTTTACACACACACACACACGCGCGCGCGCGCGCGTCTACATTCACTCACATTCTTTTCAACGGATCATAAAATTTACTTTCCCGTTTTATTCCAGTACGGAAGTAATGATAAGAGATTCCCGTCACACTTTCTATTTGTGACATTTCGTTATCTCGCACAAATTGTTTTATTACATTTTTTCTGTACATGTGATGATTAGGAGGTCGATATGGAGGTCGCAGTGGAGGTGGCGGCGGACGAGGATCCGGCGGCCGTGGTGGTTCGCGTGGATCTCGTGGTGGCCGGGATGCATCAGATAGAAGCAGATTCGACCGTTCTGGTGGTGGAGGTGGAGCCAGTGACCGGAACAAGTGGGGCGGAAGTAGCAGCGGTTAGTTTTTTTCAATTAAATATACCTCCTTGGCATCTTGCAACATTTTTTACTGAAGTTAATTTCATTACTAATTGGACAGCGATTAGTGACGTTATCGGGTCTATCTAATCCATTGAAAAAGATGGAAACGATAGAATGTGAATGTTATTTCATCTTTAATCTATATTTAAATGTAAAGACGCGTCTACGCGTATGTTTGCGCTCATGTGTTCACATATAAAAGAGAGAAGAGACTATTGAAAGCAAATTAAATAATTTATAGTGATAGAATATTATCAGCCAAGGTGAAAATTTGGGATTCGTTTAAAATAAGTAGTGACGATTTAAGGAGATATGCCACAAACGACATTGACGTAAACGTAAATAAGTAGAAAATATTTTTATTCATGCAGGTGGGATAACCGGTGGAGGATACGGCGCCAAATCCTTCCCCCAAAATAGTTTTGGTGGTGGCGGCTCCGGTGGTGGTTCGAGTAGCTACAATCAGAACAGCGGTGGATACGGGAGTAGCGGTGGCAGTTACAGACAACAAAATGGCTATTGACTTCGTGATCTCAAATATGGACATTAGACCTGTTTATTTTAGCACCATCTTCTGCACCGAACTCCTTTGTTTTCTTTTTTCTCTTAATTTAATGAATATTTTACATTTTTTACTCGAAGTGCGAAAGAGAGTGAAAAATGTTAGAAGGTACGGCTGATAGTACCACGGAGGAACGAAGACAGGAGAAAGAAGATATTCACGATGTCTATGATAGCTGTTCATTGTTTCCTGTCTCTTAGCGTGATCGTGTTCAAGTGTTTAGGAGCGCAGTTCCTATTGATTGCACGTCCGATCGCGTTGTGTCATTTACATTCTCAAAAGCATTAGCTTTTTCTCATCTTTTTTTTCCAATAAGCATAAGGACTGTGTATTAGCTAGAATAATTGCAAATTATTGCACGGTATTAAATTTAGACGAGCTTTTAACGATGTAATAGTATTACAGTGGAATAAAAAGCGTAAGAAGCAGGAAAAGACCGAAACTGCGTGTTTTTCCCTGCGTTTCTTCCCTGCTTCGATCTTCCTTCGGCGTCAAATAATACGTGTGTATTTCTCGTTTCCGCTTTAAATCTTAAGAGTAAATTGTAATTTGTAACATTTTAATTCTTTCAGTTCGAACGAATCGAATGAAACAAAATAATCAATGAAGAGTCGATGTATTTCTGAGATGAGTGTTGATATTCCAACAATGTTTTTGCAGATCTCTAGATTGTGTTAAATTTGTATTTAATAGTTTGAACACAGAAATCTCTCGCTACAGACATCACCTGGGAAACGATTTGCATATGCAATGTCCATAGACATCATTCGGGATGTTGAAGACTTATCCTGTGAACAAAAGCGAAATAAATATATCACAAACATTGCGTATTAATATATGAAGTCTTTCGCATTATTCACCGTTATTAATGGTCATCAGTATATATAATATTTTAGTCACATACAAATATAGATTCTTCTCTAGAAAGTGCATGGATTTTTATAGACGTCTAAATCCACAATTGGCATCTCGACGTTATGCATACGTGATTACCACGTATCCGGAGAACACATTATACGTTGTGTGTATAATGTGAGCGAGTAATGTTACAAATTGTGGCAACACATTGTTATGACTTACTACAACGAGAAATGTTCGTTATCGGAGAAAGTCAGATATTGAGAGAATCCCACTATGCCACGCTACTGATAACAGTTATCGCAATTCAAGCCGAGGAGAGGCTCGGCTTTATTCATTGGCTGTTTCATTTATCACGAATCGTACGATCCGGTCAGAGTTTGCCTTCCGATCTGGATAAAAACAGTTGCCCTTGTGTATGTTTCACTGCGACATCCGCTGTATTCGAGACATCAACGTAATGTCTGCTGATAACATTCCCTACTTTTTTTAGATAAGTGGGTTTTTAGTTGAATCATCAATATTATCTCATGAATATATACATTGTGGCGCTATTACGAGATATTAAAATGTGCAAAATGTTAACCGGTGTTCCTTTTTCGTGTACAGTAACATTTAATGGATATAATAAAATAATCAGTCGAGGAGAAATGATTATCTTATTATATTTAGAAAATTATTATATATAATATATATATATATATATATACACACACACACACATACATATATATATACATGTATTTAGTAGTATGATATTTAATATTCGATATAAGTTTGTAGAGATTTTGACGAAAAACTTAAAACTGATATCCCCATAATTTGATATAGCTTAATTTTTTCCGTATTTCTTTTTTAACTTGCCATCGAAAATACAGTCGGAATATATTATTGAATGATGTTCCGATATAAAAGTATAGGCCTTTTGTACTCTACGAAAATCCCTACACTCTTCGAATATTGAGCCAAACATTGAGCTTTGTAATTGTAACTTTATTAGCTTTAGTAGCTTTATTTATTGTAACTTTATAAATTGATTAGTGTATTTTTTTATTTTTCTCCCAATCATTTTTCTCTATGGAACAAGTGTGACATTGCTTAATGTGCAATGTATTATATCATATTATATCATGTATTTGTCTGAACCGTTTAAAAGAAAATAGTCCCGAAAACTTTTGTTTCTTTTTCACGTTACACACTGAGAATATTCGGTGAGTTAATATCGAATGCTAATGTGGCGTGTTACTTTATCATTTCTATACGAACGGCTGGGTTTAAAGTCTGCTTTTCACGCATAAATATGTTTCTCTTTTTTAAATGAGCAACTCGATAAATTCTGTATGCTTGAAACGTATTGGACGTACATAATTGATCCCCTTCGTATCGCGCCCCATGTAATTTGCGTACATTAGAATTTCAGATAGATTCGCAAAATAATTTAATATATCGGGTGTTCAGAGAAGCAGATTTGAGATCTCTACGGATAAATCGATACGTAGAAATGTCAGGCACACGTCACACATATATGCCAATGCGGTAGAACTCGTCACGGAAATGCGGCATCTTCGCCTTTCTCGAACACGCTGCAATCACAAGGTCGCGATTGATTCAGCACTTTGTAAACCAAATCTCAGAGTCATCTCGCCGATATTCGCCTTTCGCTTCCCTTTTTCGACAAAAAAGAAAACTACGATGAGAGAAGACGTCGGCACCTGGACGACGTAAAGTGCTGAAAGGAATGTCGACTCCACGCCGCACCGTCGCGCTTTGAGCACAATAGAAATGGAATTTTTTTCCAACGACATTCGCGAAGCAATCGGGAGCAGATTCGAACGACGTCGCTCTCAGTCCCAGCTCGTCTAATGACGACATTAGTCAGCACGTGGGTGGGGCGCGCTATGCGGCGGATTTTAAAGGCGACGCGCCGACACGTCGACGCGCGCAGTAGCTCCGAGGAAGCGGACGGTGGTGGTCGTTGTGTCTCTCTCTCTCCCTTCTCTTCCTCGTTCCCTCTCTTGGAGGTTAACCGCCCGACAGCCGGACGCCACTTGGAGAAACGCGTCAGTCCGTTCATCGAGAGGCGCGCGCGCGAAGGTCACGATGACAGAAGGGACTCGCAAGGAGGTTCGCGTTTGGTGCGACGGCTGGTGAGTATCGTGTGCGAGCGAGCGCAACGCAGCGCGCGACGTTTCCTGAGAAACGTCGAGGAGACGCCAGTAATGTCAGATGCAATATATTGCGATGCTACAGCGCATGCGTGAGAGACGTAGGAGCTCACTGCTTGAGTAAAAGCCCCAATATCGTATCTTTTTTAAGGTATTATAGCGCCCGTATTATATTATGTATTGAGAATTGCAATTGCGAGCAAATTAGATAATCTAAATCGTGGTTATTTTAATTGGTCCGATAGTAATTCTCAATCTATAGTCTAATATGAGTCTAATACAAATATTATGTAACAGTTACATAGTTGAGTGAAAAATTATAATGTTAATGTAACGTAACTGTTACTTAGCATCCACTGGAATTATAATGTTAATGTAACTGAACAATATAACCTAAGATATAACCTAAGGCACTCGCGCAAGAAATGCAGGAAAACTACGCTGGAGCCTGGAAGACAGCTGATCGAATAGCGCGGGCCCCTTCATGGACCCTGCGATGCGCTTTATTGCCGTCATTGGCATAGAGCACATCATCTCACGCATGCGCTGTAGCGTCGCAATATGTTGTATCTGACATCTGACACTGGGAGACGCGTCGACGAGCGCGGCGGCCGGCTGTGCGAGACACGTGTAACACGTGTGTCGTTCGCAACGGTGGAGTCCGTCGCCGTTTGGCGCGTGGATTTCCGTCGTGCGAGAACGCGAGTAATCGATAAGATCGCGCCACGGACACGTCCGAAGCTGACGCAAGCGCGCGCGCGCCTGACGAGCGAAATCGCGGCGGTCCTGGTAGATCTCAGCCGACCGCGAGCCCCCAGCTTCGTCCCGGCGAGTTTCGTTGCGAACGTGGGCTGAGTGAATTTAAACGAAATCGCTCGTGGAATGAGCGTGACACGTTCGTATGACGCGACCGTTATGAGAAAGAAGCCCGAACGGGGAAGGAGACGCGGAGGTGTCGTTATGGTGAGGTGAAAAATACTCGGACGACCGACTCCCCTGCGCGATTGGCCTCAAAGGGTTAATCGGCGAGGCACGATTGAAGCCGCTGGCTCGCCGTGACACAATTCGAGGAGGTCCTCGGCTCTCCGTGTGTCCTCGCCGTCGTCAGCGTCGGCGTCGGCGTGAGACGGCACATCGTCCGGGTCGGCCACGCGCAACGGACGTCCTTCCCCCCGATAGCGCCGAATTTAAACTCGCGTTTTAGCCCACTCGAGCTTCAGCCGCAACAAAGAGCAACGATTCTCTCGGCCGCCTATCGCCGCGGGGAATATAGCGCGCTAAAAATATACAGAATGAAAATAAATCGTCCGATTAGCGTCGTGCGTCGGTAGGCGGGAATCGTTCATTTATGATCGATCGATGGTCGAAAATACACGAGTCGATTTCGCACGGTGTCGACCCGGCGTATAGCGTGTTCCCCATATCTTTACGAAGAAAAACTTACTTATCACTCACCAAGTATAGGTTGCAGAAAATCACGAGTTGCGGTTTCAGCAAATCGAACCGGAGATATCGGCCTCGCGCGCAACCTATTATTTATTTAGTATTTTCCTAGTAGTAGTAGTTTTCCTAGCAGTAAAGTTTCCGCCGATCAGTTTGGCGCAATATCGTATGATTCTTCATAGAGTCAAGACAGAAAGTTGACTCGCACGGATAATACGGTACGTTATCAGTTTCGCGCCGTAGCAATTCCATGTGTTATCTCGAAACTCTTGAGCGATACAATAGGATGGTATTGATAATAAAGCAATTACGTTCAAGGTTCATTGCGAAGGCCTATTTCGAGTCACGATTATCTCAAAGCGCATATGGGGTGGATTTCAATTGGTATTTACCGCGACGAAATTGAGCTTGATCTTAATTACAGATCGCGATCGCGATCGCGCCGCTGTTGTTTCTGCGGTGTGCTGCATTTATAAATATCCATTTTACGCCAATTAAACATTGACCCAGCAGATAAACGATCTGCGGAGCGTGTGTTTGTATTCATAAATTCACGTATGGGGGATATTGTACGTGTACAATTCAATGCAATTCCGACAATGTTTATCGCTATTTATCAGTTTCGGGGTGTTTGTTTATTAATTATATCGTCAGCTCTAGATTCTAATTTATGTTTCTAATTCTAACTTATAACGCGTACATGTGTTGCGTAAGTGTTAAGCGGAAGCTGTAAATTATACTCCGTAATTTAATCGCATGATCAGCGCATGATAAAACGCGTTTTCCTCATTTTCCAACTTAGATAACGTTACGTGCAGCTCTTGCACAAGACGAATATAATCTAGAATCTGACGGCCGTATTTATTTAGCGTCAAATTTGCAATCAGAATATAGACTAAATATAGATAGAATATAGATAAATGTATGAATTTAACGATTTTAAAATTCATTATATGCGGATCGATATATGGGAGGTGCAATAATATCAATAATTGCAGCTACGATATGGTGCACTTCGGACACGCCAATTCCCTGAGACAAGCCAAGGCCCTGGGGGATTATTTGGTGGTGGGTGTCCACAAGGATGAAGAAATCGCGAAGCACAAAGGACCTCCGGTCTTCACCGAGCAAGAAAGGTACGTCATTCTGTTGTTTCATGGAAGGAAATTATGCAAGACGACATAATGGCGACTCACGCTTGATTACTTATTCTGAACTCGGTTATTGTGTGTTAATCGGCCTCTCGAATTTCATACACTTATATTTCCGAAACACGCGATGCCCAGCGTGATGGATCGACGAAGGATCCTCCTGCAATCTCCTGTTCTTGCATTTTCCCGTGAAAAACAGTTCAACATGTTTCAAATGTGGCATCATATATTCGTCCTTTATATCAAGTTAAACTCAAATAAAAACCAAATTAAGTGTTAATTAAAATCTTACTTGTACCTTCAAATGTAAAATCAAATTTAGACTTAATTTAATGGTCAGACGCATATTAAATATTAATGACAAAGTTAATCTAATAACAGGACCATATTTAAATTTAATTTGGATGCGTATTGAGAACATATTTGAATTAAAACTACCTTTTAATTTAATATTTGCTTCTTATTTGGGTTCAACTTGGCCCACATAAAGGACAAACATGAACCATATTTAAAACATATTTAACTCTTTTTTCATGGGTTATCTTGCAGCAAAAAGGTATCTTTGATCTATCGACGTGCTAATTCATTAAATTATGACCAATCATTCGCGCACTATAAATAGCTACATAGCTTCGCGCCGTATCGACATATGGCAGGATTTGTGGAATATCGTGATATTGAGTCCTAACGTAATATTTCATGTTAATCGTGATATTTGGATAAATATCGGCAAGAAAGGAAAATTGAGGAAGGAACCACCGCCATATTCGAGCAACATTAACGTTTAATGCCATTAAAAATTCATGATTTATAAAATTTATTAAAATTTGATTAAAATTAATTATTATTTCCAGACGAAATATTAATTACGTGCTAATTAATTATTATTTATTAATTCTGTATTATAAATTAATTATTAATTATAATAATTTGACACATTGATTGTCTTCATCGATCAAAAATGCGCATCTAATTATTAATTCATTATGCGCTGGACTCGTAAATGATTAATACTTATGAATAATTGACACTGCGCGCTGACATATCGGTGAATGTCTTACTCAAGGTGAGAAATGCTTATCCGACTTCTGTATTCATTATTGCTTGGAAATAATAAAAAATGAATATACTCGAGGCTATATAATCTCATCAAAGCTGACAGGTTGTTGGATTGCAACCTTGACATTTTAGGTCAATATCTTTATACACGTAAGAAAAACAAAACATAACTACATACAATGAACGCAACGATATGTAATGTTGCATAAACGCAAGAGTTTTGCCTTGTTAGCTTTAGTTCCTACATCATACGATACACTGTTTCCTGACTCAATTAAAGATTACGCGATAATGCAAAATCGTGACGAACATGTCGATGTCGCGCGAAATTCTAAACGAAATATACAATGTCGTTATGACTGTGTGCATTAATGGAAATGTGCGGAATCTCTGTTTCACTCAGGTATAAAATGGTCCGCGGCATCAAGTGGGTGGATGAAGTGGTCGAAGCTGCTCCTTACGTGACCACATTGGAGACACTAGACAAGTACAACTGTGATTTCTGTGTTCACGGCGACGATATCACTACCACAGCGGACGGTGTGGACACGTATCACTTAGTCAAGGCAGCCGGTCGTTACAGGTACGTTACAGGTTTCGCGGCAAATGTTAAGAGTCACGCGGCACGCATATCTGAAGGACGTCTTAAAGATATCTCTTGAGCGTCTTTAAGACGCCTTTGAGACTTGCGTGTTGCGTGGGTGAGTCGCACGACACACTGACTCGATTATTTGTGTTTCATTGAAGACTTTCATTGAAATTACGCAACTATTCGCTGAGAGAGAGAGAGAGAGTCGTCTCCTTTCGTGTTTCCAGAGAAGTTCAACGCACAGCCGGCGTCTCAACGACCGATCTCGTAGGTCGCATGCTTCTAATGACGCGGCAGCACTTCCGACAAGGTGACAGTGAATACAGCGTCGATAGAGAGCCGAGCAAGCGCATGGGTCAGGACCGAACCGCGCGAAACCCTTGGACCGGCTGCTCACAATTCTTGCCGACCACGCAGAAAATTATACAGTTCAGCGACGGTAAGGCGCCGCAGCCCGGTGACAAGATCGTGTACGTGGCGGGGGCGTTCGACCTTTTCCACGTGGGGCACTTGGACTTCCTGGAAGTCGCTAAGAAGGAGGGCGACTACCTTATAGTTGGCCTGCACACGGATCCCGCCGTTAACCGATACAAGTGCGGCAATCATCCCATTATGAACCTGCACGAACGGGTTCTCAGTGTGTTGGCGTGTAAGGTGAGCCTTACATTCGGCGTCTGATATTGTCTGGTATCTATAAAGTGCGAGGACGAAAACTAGCGCAATGCAGACTATTTCTTCTCGCACACGCATTTTGCGTTCGGACGTACAAGTAGAGTCGTTTCCGTATTCGAATGCAGATGGACTCGCACCGACGGCTACGAGATAGAAATTTTTACGCTATTGTTGCCGGCAGATAATATGGAAACGAGCTACATTGTTACCTGTGAACGTGCGCTCTTTTTTACACCGCGTTTGTTTCTTTCTATTTGCAGTACGTAAATGAAGTTGTAATCGGCGCACCGTACGAAGTGACAAGAAATCTGATGGAACATTTTAATGTCTCCGTTGTGTGTCACGGACAAACGCCTATAATGCCCTGCGAGGATGGCTCGGATCCATACGCAGAGCCTAAGCGTCAAAATAAGTTTAAGTTGTTAGATAGTGGTAACGACATGACGACCGAAAAAATTGTCGAAAGGATCATTCTGCACAGGTATGTTCCGTTGTTATTACTTTACGGTTTCTTTCTTTCCAAATACTTTCCAATCAGACGGAACACAGCAGTGTGTGTACATGCGCAATTCTATAAATCTCCCTAATGTCACAGTATATATTTATATGGTATATTTTTTAATCACTTACAAAGTCCGTGATTTCAAGGTACTTGCATCAAATTTACGCACCTTATTTTACGATCTTATTTTACGAATGTCTTTAATTTTGCTAGATAGAGGATAAAACACGTTCGTAAAAATTATGTAAGGTTCTTCATTATACTTCTCGCACACTACGATTTATTATAATTATCTGAAATCATGTTATAATAGCATATCGCGTTTCATGACTGCTGAGACATTATCGCGATTTGATGATATTTTGCACGATTAGTTATTCACGGAAATATTATATATTTGCATTGATATGTGTGCATTTGCATTTGGCAATGAATTAAGTTAACTACATCTAGATATGTTTCTTCCTATCCAGCATCCCAACTATACTATACATAAATTTAACGTTGCACACACGAAGATCGGAATTACATTCTTCTTGTTTTATCCCCCCAGGCCGAACGAGCTTCGTACGATTATTATGAATTTCAACAATCGTTGACGGGACAATCTGGCTATTTTGTACTTCTCATTCAGTCTGCAATAAACTCATGTGTTTCCTACTTCGTATTATAATTTGTTGTCATTCATTCATCTGCCGTTTTTAGCGAAATACACAGTTTCATCCACCCAAGATACATTTTTTTTTCGAGTTTCACACGTTGCTCCTGTAGTGTTACACTTCGAAAGAAACATTTTTTGTGTTATTCCTTCATTCGTCGTGATAAATTTATTTTAGTGTTATTTAGATGGTGTTATCTTAAAACATATATATCTTCAAGAAATGTGAACATACCTATGAAGTGTTGATCTAGCGTCTAATTGCAGGTTGGAATACGAGAATAGAAATATAAGGAAGGAGAAAAAAGAGCTTGCCGCTTACGAAGCCCTCATGAAGTCTAAGAAAAATAACAGGACTGAATAATTATTCGTTTCGCTTCTTCTCGTGACTGTTACAGCGTGTGCGCGTGCGTGTGTGTGTGTGTGTGTGTGTGTGTGTGTGTGTGTGTGTGTGTGTGTGTGTGTGTACATGTGTACGCATGTACACAAGTGTAGGTGTTACGTGTATGACATGATTAAATTTTATAGTCAATATATGTAAATATGATATCATATACTGATACTTAATTTATTGTTTCGAAATGCCTTACGTAGTTGAAATCGGATATTACGCCGAGATTAGCGGCGTGATTATCATTATTGAGTTCAATTCGTTGCAACGCGTTGCAACGAGAAAAAAGGTGCACAACGACGACGACGACGACAACTGTACAGTCGGACGACATTCTGTATGCAAAGTGTCTCAGAACTAACGTCATTCCTCCTATCCACGGACTTGTACTGATTTCCAAGTCGATTTTTCCTCAATAAACAGATACATCTTTATTTAGGAAGTCGCAATTGGAGAACAATATACGCCGCCTAGCTATTTATTTGTAACAAATTTCAACTAGAGACCGTGGCCAGGTGTTCAATGTTGAAAATTCCATTTCTCCGATCGAGTCCTCAGACGATAGTCCTAGGACATTCTACATCGCATTTCTCGATATATCTCTTAAGGATAACATCAAGATGAAAGATACATCGCAATATTTCGCAAAGTTTTTGGATGTAGATACGCTTAGTAATTATCGTACTGTCACACGATGTGAACATTGTGATGCCGTTGCTTAATGCAAGTTATACTGAGATTAACCGTAAGTGATCATAAGTGATCACACAAGATGCGCCGTAGGAGACGAAATATCAAATATCCCTAAACTCGAATTGCTGAATTTCGGCCATCCTCACGCTTGCACGTTATTCTCATTTAGAATTCGCTTTAATATTCTTATCACTTCGCTCCGTCGTTGTATTCTTTCTTACGCTTTCGACTACACGTGTGTGCGCAAGTTGTTCATTATCTAACTCGATCAGTGATAGAAACGAATGTGAGTATAGCTTGAGTTGTATTGACGTTAGGTCTTCAGGGATTAACGCTGTCATGCAATACGAAATGTAGGCTTTTCCACAATTAACGGACACTTTGTATCCTGATATTAGTTAAAAGTATATCTAAACGGAATTGTATTTGAATATTCTCCACGTGATTCTCCGTTGAATAATTCGGAGATTTATTGGGAGTTAATTTATTCGGAGATATCGTTGAGGGATACACTCGACTCGGTCTAACTAATCGGAAGTTCCTGAGCATTTACGTACGCTCATCGCGTGTCTTTCAGTGATGCATTTTGATCGTCACTGATGCCTGCAGTGTTTATGGCCAAATTCTGCGAGTTCGCAAGAAGTCTTAGACCGGTTAGATTAGACGATTAACGTTACGACAAGCACGCTTGTCGAAAGAGTTACAACGTGTAACTTAGATATTAGGTTTTTTAATGCAGGATTAAATGCAGGATATTGTACAACCGCCGTATTAAAATATTATAAGAAAATGTCAACGGAGCCAAAGATTCGCTAGATTTAAGGAGCCCATCATAGATTGAATGAGCTCAAGTTATCGCCTGTCTTCAAATTTTAGCTGTCTGTATCCGGAGGACGAGGAAATTGTGCAATCTTTTACTTTATTCGCAAACTTCGTTGTACAATGCAGACAAGACGAGAAAACATCCGAGGTAATTCTCGAATCGTTCGCCTCGATTAAAATTTGACGTCATTAATTGTCATGAGTTTTCTATCTGTATCTTGTTAAATAGTAAAAAAATCGCCACATCGTCCGTTGATTTTCCGTCACGAGGAAATCTTACGACGTAACTCGACGAGTAATTGTAGCCGACCATTCGTTGAGCTTGATAGACATCACACAACAACAAGTTCCTCCGTGCATGACACAACGACAAATGAAGTATATGACGCAGGAAGAAAATTGTACAGTTTGTGATTTTCTACAAGAGAGAAAGAGAGAGAGAGAGAGAGAGAGAGAGAGAGAGAGAGAGAGAGAGAGAGAGAGAGAGAGAGAGAGAGAGAGAGAGAGAGAGTTGACTCTGAAACGAATTGTAACGCGCAGAGAGAAAATTCTGTTTTGTCTTTTATTTTATAATAAATAATCATTGTACACGTTCGTTCTACAGTAATCGTTTAATGTAATTACGCCTTCTAATTACCTTTACGCATCGATCAGGATCGGTATGTCCTTAGAATCGAATTGCGCCATCTCGCGCAACTGCTTGTGTTTCGTCTCGCACGATTATTATTATCATTATTAATATTATTATTAAATACATAATACTTTGGCCCTTTCACAGCGGATCTTGTTCTCTTTCTTCTTTTTCTAGAAAGGATTTTGGTTCAAAACTCTTGCGTAGGAATTAATTAGCTGCATTCCGTTTCCAGGAATGTAAAATTTAAACACCGTAAACAACGCAGACGAATACATTCTAAGATCAGTCGTGAATTTTCAATAATTTCCATAATTAAATTATTATATTATGCATTAGAATTTATCGTATGTGCGATCTAAATTTAGAGATCTTATGAATTTGCGCCGGGCTTTATGTGAGTTATCACGGTGAAAAATAATATCACTAAAAATAAATTAATTCATAATTTATCAAAGACTCTCTACGATATCTTTTGATACAATCGGGACACACGTACAGCGCTCTGTACGTGCATAATGTACGTAATCGTTCGTAAACCGTTCGCTGTTAAGGGGTACGCCATAAATTGCGAGCGCTTTGCTGCGCGTGTTTATTTACAAGGTGACATAAATTGGTGCAACCACCCAGAATATAAATCCGTCGCGAGTTCCTTCGCGTTTTCGGCGAGGTACTTATCCTACGATTACGCGAACGATCGATGGATCAGCTCGCTTGATATCAGGTCACGTGATAGCATTGCACGCTTGAGAGACTACTCATCGTATGGTGAGACTGTTCTCTTCGTTTGAGCAATATCGATAGATCGTGAGGCGATTTTTCCAGAAACATTGCATCATGTGTGCGACGTTCGAGAGACCATGTGTGTAAATATTATTTAATATTAAGTCTAATATTTTCCCTGATCCAGAGGAGCAAAAGCACTCGAGTTGAAAAACTCGTTAATTTTTCTGAAAAAACACCTTTCCCACTTGTGGATTCGGCTGTTTGGTGGTAAAAAATGGAGAAAATGGACCAAACAGCTGAGCAACAATTGAGTCAATTGGCAGTGTGATATATAATCGATCTAAAATTATTTTTATATCTATGTATTTGTCCACTGGTATCAAAGAGTTAAAAATGAGGAATTGGGTATGAGAGAAGAGGGAAGAGATGGAGAGAGAGAGAGAGAGAGAGAGAGAGAGAGAGAGAGAGAGAGAGAGAGAGAGAGAGAGAGAGAGAGAGAGAGAGAGAGAGAGAGAGAAACGTACAAGATTTTTCATGTCGCGCCTACGTTTTTGTTGAGAGAATGTGCGTTAAGCGGTGCAGCCTCGTAAATGCGTGTATGTCATAACTGTGAATTATCGTATCTACATTGCAAAATAGCGAACGTCATTTTATCGGCGTATCTCTGATCGCGCAAGATTCTCTTTTTTCCTTCATGAGTAATCAACCAATCTTCGCTTCGTCACACGCGTTTGATCGTTCGGCTCGATCGATTATTATTTCGCGGAAAAGCGGTTATTATTTCTCTCTTTCGCCGTCGCCGGCGGCGTAACTTACGTCAACGAGAATTCCATTTTCGATTCGACACAGTGGGCATTCCTCGTTCGCACTCCTCGTCCGAGCGCTTATTCGGAGAATTTCCCGGAGAATCACTTGGCGATAAATTAGTAACGGTGATGCGCGTGTAACGTGTCGGACGGACGATACTGCAGCGGAAAATCATATACGTCTCGTTATCCTTGTCCTCTTTCCTTGTTTTCAGTTAACGTGTTCCGCGTTTTGCAAATGGAGAATCAAGCGGCTGCTCGATCAAGCGGTAAACTGCGATATCGCCTCCCTTCGAGGCGATCTCCCCGATTCTCAAGCCGAACCAGTCGTCCCAGTTCCGATGGAGGAAAAGTGTGTCCATGCAAGCGATGTGTAACGTCAACTGATACAATACGTTACGCATCGCGCCGCGATGTAATCGCGAAAGGGTACTCCCGCGCCGTCCGCGAGTGTCCTTTCGCGCCTCTCAAAAGTGCACTTCCCTTTATTGCACGGTCGAACGGCCGGTATAACCGGGCGTGGTGTCGCAGTACTTTCTACTGCGATCTCTGACCAGCTCGTCGATGGACTTGTTCTGCTGCATCGACGACGACAGGCCGTGGAGACGCGACGCCAAGTAGCACATGATGAAGGCCGATAACACGAGGAGAACGCCCAATCCTGTCGCCACGTAGAGGAAATTGCCGCAGCTGCCTTCAAGGCCGGCCGCCACCTTGTCGTACAGGTCTATGATAATGAGAGAATATTAATCAGAATTACAACGATCGCGTAACGTTCCGTTATCTCGGCCGCGGGCCCGGAGAGCCGCTCCGGTCCGGCCGCTTAATCTTGATACACTCGCCCGAATGTGAGAGTTACAAATTAATCTGTCTGTCGTGAATCTTATCGTCCGGCGACCCCCGCCGAGGATCGATGCTAGGGAGATTAATCTCAGTTATGTGAGATTACAGTCGTAATGTGAATTGAATTCCTCGGCAGCAAGAAGACATTGTTTCAGCAATAACTGGGCGTTACGAAAATTCTTTCAGGGACAGATCGCCGACGAAGAAAGAGATTTCTGCTCAACGCGCGCATGACGCGTCGCTTGAATTTTGACAGTCGCGCGTAACGAGCGACTTGGAGCAATCGAGTCGATAAGAGCGTATTGAGCACAATATTGAAATGAGGCGACCAGTAGAAACGTAAAGAGGTATACGTGATACTTCGATATCTCCACTTCAGCGCTGGAGCGCTGAACTACCGTTTCCCCGCGCCAACGTGAAGGTGCTCAAGTGTCAACCGCGAGGAGGGTTCAGCTTCAGCTTCGGCTCTCCTCGCGCCAGTGCAACTCACCATCTGGCATCATCACCGTGTACTCGATGTTCTCCTTGAACTTCGTGTATGGCGTGGAATCGTTGTACCTCTTGATCAAGCGCTCGACTTTCGGGAGGAACTCGCCCGACGCTTCCATCTCGACCGCTCTTTTCCTCTTCTTCCCGTGACCCGACGGCTCGAACAGATCGAGACAGAAATCCTGTGGAGAAAGATAAGAGAGCTGAAGCGCTAAGTACAAGTACAAGACGGACTGCAGTGGAGCTCCGCTTGCTTGCTCTCTCTCTCTCTCTCTCTCTCTCTCTCTCTCTCTCTCTCTCTCTCTCTCTCTCTCTCTCTCTAGAGAGATTTGATTTTAGATTACTTATTTTAGATTCTTCCAGTTTTCTAGACTGGATAATTATGCAGGGGGTTGCACCTTCAATGACTTTGACCTTGATATATGTTGTCAAGGCCATCACCCTGAATAATGTGCAAAAAATTTTAGGCGACGCTCGTCCCTTAGGAAAAATTACTTTAAATTTTCAAATTAACTTAAAATTACCTATAGTTAACTGTAAGTAATTTATAGTTAACTGTAAGTAACTTTAGGTAACTATAAGTAACTTTAAGTTAATTTGAACATCTTAAAGTAATTTTTCCTAAGGGGTTGTTTGTTAAAAAGTTCATCAACAAAAAAGAAGTTCAGCAAAATGAACGTAATTTGTATTCACCGTTGTTTGTAATAAACAATGATCGCTAATTTAAACTTTTTGAATAGTACTCGGAACCATCAAAACGAATTATCAATACGTTTGTTTTTATATACATAAATTTTGGCACTTAAATCTTTCGCCTTTCTAAATTGATAAGTCTATCTTATCGTATACTAAAATTGTAGATTCCGAAATGATTAGCAAGGTTTGCATTTAAGTAATTTATTTGTGCCAAACCTTGCGTAGGAGTTTTTGCTAATCTTCTCAGAGTCTGTTATTTTAATATATCGTAGACTTGTTAATTTAGGCGAAAGATCATATTCATGAAAGTTGTTTTGTATTTTCAATAATTATAATCATACAATAAATTTATACGACAAAATATATGGAAAATATGTATATTTCCTTATAACTCTTGTCAACATGATCGTATGCTATGCTGCTTAAATGAAAAATTTTAGAATATATGAAAGGAATTTTTGGATATGGTAATAACTTTTGGTAATTATGCAATTAAGCCTCTTCTCCGCTCACATATGTGTAAAGTTTACCTTACCTAAATACATAGTATCGAAGAATTACGCTCGATTAATGAAACTTCTTTTGATAATAACTTTTTAACAAACAACGAGCGCCACCTGAAACCTTTTGCATATTGCTCAGAGTGATAACCTTGACAACATATGTCAAGGTCAAAGTCATTGAAGGTGCATCCCCTATACTGCATAATTACCCTAGATTTCTTTCGGTTTCTTTTACTTATTTTAGGTTTTAAAAATATTCGAAATCCCAGGTGAATCCAGATAGAGACGGGGACCTCTTTCCTTTCTCTCTCTCTCTCTCTCTCTCTCTCTCTCTCTCTCTCTCTCTCTCTCTCTCTCCCTCCCTGTCTTTATGTGTGAGGCCAAACACCGGTAGATCCGCGTGCACAGATATCTCGATTATATATTATCTTTGACGTTGAGTGCCCATGGTATGTCCGCTACTGATAATGGATTTTGCATGCTCCGTGGGTCGCGCGCGCCATATCCCGAAACTATCGCGTTTTCTTTCCAGCGTGAATTCCAGCGACTCGCTAGTTGCAACTGACGCCATATAGTGTGTCTGTGATGTCATCGAATGTTCATGCACGAATGTACGAATCCGCCGGAATGACTTTCGACCGCATGACACGCGCTGAACACAGAAGCGTGTACCGCGAGATGCGAGAGAGAAAGAGAGAGAGAGAGAGAGGGGGGGAGACAGCGTTTGGAAATGTAGCACACAGTAAAATTCTCCGACGAATGGCGCTTAAAAGCGTGCTACACCGCGCGATAACAGTTTGAAACTTCACTCCGCGCGGCGAGTAGCTCATTCGTCACGACTAATAAACGAAAGAACGCTCGGCGCTTCAAAAGTTCGTGCTGTCGCGAGGATGAACTCTCCGGAATCGACGGCGTGGAGGTGCACGAGGTATGACTGCGATTGTGGTGCGCGAGCAGAGCGACCTAAAATTGACGGAAAAAGCGGCCACGAGTGGCGTCGAGTACCGGATTGAAACCTGTTGCCGGCCTAAGCGCGACACAAGCCGAGAGAGGCGAGAGAGAGAGAGAGAGAGAGAGAGAGAGAGAGAGAGAGAGAGAGAAAGGGGGGGTCTCGTAATGGTAAATTTACAGTGTTAAAGACGAGAATAAATAATTCCGCCATCTATCTCGCGCGACGAGTCAGTTTTTCTAAGACACAGAAGAACGAACTGGGATATCCTGTCTTGACCGCCGGCGCTCGTCGTACGCCGCACTACCTTGGATGATCTTCGTCGCCTTACCGGTTGACAGTCCTGCGGCTCCATGCAAGCCTTAATCTGCGAGTGGATCCAGAGGGTGGAGCGCTCCCTCATCGAGCTGAGCAGGAAGGCCTCGAAGTCGAGGAAGACTTCGTTCTTGCGCTCGCGGTACCTCGCCGGCTGATGCGGGATGATGGACGCAAAGTCGCGGTTCCTGCAGCCGTCCTTTACGAGTACGACGCTGCCGGAAGCATGGGGCTGGTCCGGGTCAGGGCTGACCGTCACCTCCAGCAGCTTGATGTAGCCCCAAGCGCTGTCCGGGCTGATGCGGGCGCGCAGCTGCAGCTTCGTGCCGATTGGTACCGCCTGATCGACCGTCTGCGAGCTATCAGACACGTTGCCGGTGGCCTCGCGATAAAGAGCCACCTCGTACTCGAGCCGGCCCGGCGTCTCCTCCACCACGCCGGACACCCGGGCGCCGTGCGGACTGAAACGATTAACCCTTTAAGCAGACGGCGCGTCATCGCTTCAGCGCCTGGCACTTGTCTCCGGAGTTAGCTGCTTGCAGAAGAGCGAGAGAGTGAGTTTACGGGGGCTCGCGCTTACGTCTCCCCTCCCCCCCCCGCCCGAGAGGCAAAAATTCTTAAACTAGCGCCCGCACGGGCTTCCGAAGAATCTGCGAGGCCAGCGGGTCCGGCTAGGGAGCAGATTGAGTGTTCATTTTTGTATTAAAAAGCCTTCAGCCAACATTTCCAGAACTTTACTTGAATAATCTCCCCAATATCTCGATAACTACGTCTGGAGTTCATGAACTTCAGGAGGTTGCGGGTAACTCCCCGAGGATCCCCTCGACTCGGACGAGAGGAAATTTGCGTCTTGATTTCCTCGCCGAAACTTTTCATCGAGATTTCACCCTACCCTACCCGGTAGATTTAATAAAAAAACTCTTTATCCTTCCTCCGATATTCTGATAACTGCATGTCTACATACAATCAATGTCCTTCCACGTAATTCCACGAATTTTATTTCACAAGTATCTCGATTTAGCAATTTTTGCAGGTACTCCCTCGAGGACGAGGACGCAAAGCGAGTGAAAAATCCCTCAGCCGTCAGCAAACGCGAGAAAGCACATCGCCAGAGTCAGAGGAGCGTCCGTTACAGCGACGAGGCTCTCAGCTTCGCCAAACTCGGCGGGTCCGAGACAGCAAAGAGCCAAGAGAAGTTATCGTTTTACGTACCAGGACCCTCCAACTTCGGGGCCGCGGCGCGCGCCGTGTTTTACTGTCGCTGTTACGAGGTAGAACATAAGCGCGTATGTGGTGCGGATAACCGTTCGCTCGGCGCGGCTCGCGCAGGAGCGCGCTCCGGCGAACGCGTACGCGGCATGACGGAAATAATGCTCGTTTATTACTCGAGATTCGCCGAGATATCGTGCACGGAATGGGCGTGATGACTTACAAAGTGCCGGCGAAGCCGGCAGCCTTGTGCCTCAGCAGCGTCGGCTCGGGCGGCCGGCACATCAGGATCAGCTCCTGGTCGGCCAGCATCACCACGCCGGGGAAGGCCGGGAACCACACCCGCAGGTGGATGAATCCCTGGTGGCACGATTAATCGTGATTTATCGCTATTGCGCGCCCGCGCGAGCCGTGCGTCGTCGTTGCACACGCCCGCCGTCGAACGCGCAATTTCGGCATTTTCGGCGCGGGAAATGCCCCCCCCCCCCCTCCTCACCACTTTCTTCCTTCTTTCTCCTTTCTTCTTCTCTCCCGGGGACGGGGACGCCCGATGATGCGTGATGCTCGCGAGGACGGCCGCTGCTTCTTTCCTCGCGGCGCAGAAACGGGATTCGAGAGGTACGATGCGATTAAGCAGATACGACTTATCGCGTAGCTCATAGCAACGAACGTCCGGCGAACGTTGGCGATTAATATTTCTTTTTGTCGAAATATCGTGGCGCTGCGCGGTATCGGACGATATACTATTGCGCGCGCGGAAGCGTTTTATCGCCGCCTGGCCTCCTCGGAGAGGGATTGAATCGCGAATTAATAGTCGCTTATCGACGAGCGATCGACCGCGAGCGATCTGATAGCGAACCAAGTTGGCTGCCGCTCTACCGCGGTTGATGGTCCCGTCAGGGTCTGTTTGTGCAGCGTCACAGACCCGCGGGAGAGTAGTCCCACTCCCGGCGACCCGAGCGAATGCATCATCGGCATCGGGGGGTCCCCCCTTCCCCCTTCGTCGTGGAAGGAAAAGAAAAAAGAGAGAAAGAGGAAAAGAGGGAAAAATCGGTTCCGCGTAACTCGCGGGACTCGCGAGAGCGGTGACTCACATTTCTCTTGAGGATGCCGCATCGGGAGAAGTCAGTCACCTTCAGGAAGTAGTTATCCTCCTGCGGATCGCTCGGGTCCGGCCTGATCTGGCAGTGAATGTCGGCGAGCGGATTCGCCGATCTGTCGTCGGCGAAGAGCGGCGCGCCTCTGAAGCCGACCGGCCTTTTGATCTTCGCTGTCAGCAGATCGGCCGCCGATCCTGCGCCGCTGCACTGAATGTCCGAGACCTCGTAATCCTGGGCAACGGCGGCGGCAACCTGAAACGACGGCCGATGTTAATGTCGAGCCCGGCGAGCTGATGCGAAAGGCCGGTGGCGGCGAGGAAAGATTTCAGGGTGCGCACAGCGCCGAGCGATTAACGCCTCTCTGCCACCCACCTTTCGCGTCGAGCGTTTCTGTCCCTTCGGTTTATCGATTACGATCGTAATACGATCGTCCTGCACGGATCGTCTTCTGAGCAACACCGAGGCGCACATCGCGTCCTCGGTCTTCGATCGCCGTTCTATACACGCAGAGAAATGTTTAGTTGGACAAACCGATTTTCTGTGTGTGTATGTGTGTGAGTATGAACGATTCAGAAATTTCAGATTCAAAGTATCAGAATTCTGCTTAAGTTAAGTCAGGAATTTTAACGATCTAAACTGAATTCTGATAACTTTAACCGGAATTTCTGTATCGTTTATATTTCGCTAGAAAATTGGTTTACTTAACTAAATATTTTTCTCCGTGTAGAAATTTCGATCGAAAGTACCAGAATTCAGCTTAAGTCAATTAGGAATTTTGATGATCTTGGACTCTGGATAACTTCAACCGAAATCCCTAAATTGTTCGTACTTCATGAAAAAAATTGGTTTATTCAACTAAACATTTTTCTTCATGTAAAAATTTCGATTGAAAATATCAGAATTCTGCTTGAGTTAACCAGGAATCTTGATGATCTGAATTCTGATAACTTCAACTGGAATTTTTGTATTGTTCATATTTCACTAGAAAATTGGTTTGTTCAATCAAACATTTTTTTTCATGTAGAAATCTCGATTGAAAGTATCAGAATTCTGCTTAAGTTATCAGGAATTTTGACGATCTAGACTGAATTCTGATAACTTCAACTGACATTTATGAATCGTTCATATTTCACCAGAAAATTGTTTTTTTGAATTTATTCCATAACCAAATTATTTTCTTCATATATGACTCTATTTTGAGTTTTATTAATAGCTTTGCAGCCCTCGTGTAGTAATTTGGAGCAGCAATTTATTTTCTATTTATTTGATCTCTGTGACATTTTATATGCTGTGATTATGACCGTTTGACTATCCGACCAGAACGGTGTTTATGGGTTAATTAATTAAACGTTACATCGTGTAGGGACGATCGGTAAAGAGAAGAACGAGCAATATTTCCTTTCATCTTCTTTGTATCCCGGCAACTTACATGCGATAGTAACTTACCGTGTTTACTTTTTAGTCTCTACGATTATTTACGTAACTGTGACTATTTAGCTATCCGACCAGGACGTTGTACACGAGTTTACCGATCTATGCTGCCTCGTATAGAGGACGAGAAATAATCGATAAACAGAAAGAGAGAAAGAAAGAGAGGCACGAAGAGCGCTTCCCTCCTATAATCCCCTCAGACCGTTCGTGTGTTTCCTGTAGAGGCAAAAAATCTGTGCTTCAAAGAACCAAAAAATGATACCCATTAGTCCACGCATTTCCTGGCCGTTTAATTTCGCGTTTCTAAACGAAAATATTTCATCCGATTAAAGCGCAGCATGTGCGCATTACGTGCTTTGCCGTTTCATGGAACAACATGCATGCCTACGAGCGAAGGCTTTTGCGATTTTCGCGATACATGTCTCCTCTTTTTCTCCCTTCATCCGAACGCAATATTGAAGCACGCACCGCGGTGCGCTCCGAAGAACGTCAATACCTATCGCTCCCGCGATGTGCTTCTTTACGTGTCGCCGCTGCTAAAACAATGTTACTCTACATGCCACAGCACCGAGCGACACGCACGAACATACCGCGGGACTCTCGCGCGACTCGATTCGACTTGCGCGCATCGCCGTGAACTCGCGTAAATAGTGACTAAAACCTAACAACCGTATTGTTCCGTAACTGTTATGCAGCCAGAGTCTTTTTTTTTCTTTCACGGTAATTTGCCACCGTTCAGTCGCGCTCTCGCGGCGCGCCATAGCGGATCGCGCATTATTTCCAATCTCCTCCTCTTCCTCCCCCCGCACCTACCCGATCAGATTTACTTTCTACGTTTCTTCCGAAATGACAAACGCGCCCGTTTGCCCTGCTTCCCCGGAAATTGCGTAAATTGCTCGGAACGATTTCGATCTCCTCGGACGCGTCTCCTCGACGACGAATCGAGGTCGACGCGAGCGTTGCGAGAGTCGCGGATCGAGATTAGCGTGCAAGACGTGAATAAGCAGCCGGCCTTAGCGTTTACCCTATAAGTTTAGTCGCAGGGCGACTATCGCTTTAGGCTCGATCTACACTATCGGTTCGTTCACGGTCCGATCGTATGCCTAAAATGTTCACACTATTGAATCACTCATTGATCCGCTCCTCTCGGTTCTATCCCAGACGATCAGTGTAGTTTCTGCCTAAAAATCTACAATTCTATTATTGGATTCTTTCCTAATTTTCATTTAATTTGATTTTAATTTTATTTAAATGCTTGAAAGCAACATAAGGAACGGAGTTTAAGGTTTTATTTGCACAATTATAACATATTGTTAATTAAAGAAAATTTTGTATGAAGCGAATTCACCGAAGAAAATTCAAATAATAGGATTGAAACATCTGAGAAAAAATTGTGTTTATTAGGTTAAACATTAATTTCCCTTGAACATCGGCGTCAGCTCTTGTTGGTTTATCTTTTGTAAGAAACTTTAATAATATTAATATTTTATCATATTTTTCTATACATGTTCATAATTAATTTTTAATTATAACACGATATACATATATACGTACATTTTTCAAATGACCACAGTTTTTCTTTATTCATATTTTCTTATTCTTATTATTATTATTTGATACTGCTTGAGAGTCACGAGACTGCGAGTCTGCGAGTCTGCGAAAACTGACGGTGGATTGATCGAAAGTCTGTTTACATTATCGGTATGACTCCGGTATGACAACTTCGATCACGCTCCGGCAAAATATTCTTTCGAAGGATCGTTATTGGAGCGAGATTTGGCCGAAACTCGAGCGTTACCGATAATATGATTACGTACGTTATAAACAGTGGAAAAATATTTGATCGCAGCGTGACCGGAGCGCGATCTGAGCGTGAGCGGATCGATAGTGTGGATCGAGCCTTAAGCCCCTTGCACAATGCCAGGCAACAGGCAATAAGAATAAAAATAGACCGATCGCAATAAATTATTCTTGTAAAAGTCGATTGTGATTGGTCTATTTGTATTCTTATCGCTTGTTGCCTGGCATTGTGCAAGGGGCCTTAGTCCTTTCAAAACTTGGAGGACGTCTCGGCACGTAATCGCGTCGCGTTCGGTCTCTCGTTCTGCCCAACACGCGCACGATCGGGCAGCGAGCCCGCTCACGCAAAACAGAGCCGATTATTGATTTCATCGTCGCGGGTCATATTTATTTACGCGCGCGATGCAGAGAGAGAGAGAGAGAGAGAGAGAGAGAGAGAGAGAGAGAAGGGGGAAGGGGGAGCGCCACGAAATGATTTCGTAGCGACTTTGGCGCGTCCGCACGTGCGGCGCACCGTGAGCACGCGAATACGATCGTTTTCCCTTTAATCGTCCCTTAATTAGTACTTTGTGCGCCGTGTCACGCGAGCTTCCCTCTCGCGCGGTCATTTGCTTTACATGGGCGCGCGCGCGGAATGGAATGGAATGGAATATATTGTACGCTTTATTGTACCTTATACGGCCGCGGGCCCTCGAGGTAGGCGCGTTCGCCCGCTCGCGCGCTACAATAAAAGCGATTAAGATTGCAATTAATTTACGTTATGATTCGCGAGGCGCCCGCTTTTCATCGGCGATACTCGCATTAATTATCGGCTTGAAAGAACCGTCATACGCGCGCACGCGCGTGTTGGTGCTCCTGCGAGTTACTCGCTGTGACTCGCGGACGACCTCGGCGCTGGCGTTTACAATGCCATTATGTTGCCATTGGTAAAGAACAGGGTGACCAACATGCGACCAGAACGAGAACCCACTTCGATACGGATAACGGTGTAAGGAAACGCTCTGCTGGCCGCGTAAGATATTCCTTATGTGTACCATACACGTTATATATCGCGCGAGCGAGCGTACGCTTGCAGCGAGCGCGTGTTCGCGCTCGTGCTCACCGCCGTGGGTCACGCCGGGTAGGCCGTGTGTTTCTTCCTTTTTCTCGCTTTTCGAGATAGCTGCGCTCCCGATCGCGCGGTATCGCGGCTATCAGGCCCGATCGCGCGAGTGGATGCGTATATGTAACTGCCGCGGCAGGTGTGTTGCCTTCACGCCGCGATCGCTTGCCGACGCAGCCCGAGTAAAAAGATCGCCGGGCGAGATGGCAACGAGAGCCCACCACGTCGACGCGAGCGAGCGAGCGAGCGAGCGAGCGAGCGCGTGCGCGTTGTTGATTAAAAAATATGAGAAGAAAATTAGCGAGTCGTGGTCTCTTTATCTCGCGACGCTAGCGCTCCCTGGGGGAGCTTCTTCTCTGCGAGTCTTCTCCAAGTCTCGCGTGAAGATTGAAACTCGTGGATTATTCTCGAGTTGTTTTTAGAATATATTCTCGGATATAAAATTATTCCAAGGAAATTGTCTTTGAATATGTTCTCAGAGAGAGAGAGAGAGAGAGAGAGAGAGAGAGAGAGAGAGAGAGAGAGAGAGAGAATTATTATCAAGTATGAGTAGTACAAGCGAAGGCTTGCTAATTGAGATCGTGTAAAAATTTCCCTTCGGTAGATTTTTCATCTCGCCCGAGCGATCGCTAGGTTTCCACCGGCACCGCGAGACGAGTTTTGTAGCTTGAAAAGCGTCGTATACACTTAGAAGACGGAAATTCGAAATAATGCGACGTGAAGTGTCACGTCGGGACCGAAAAACATCTCCGGTTCGAGCGGCGCTACCGCCGCATCTCATTAACGTGGAGAACAGGTTTCGGGCTCGACGATAGAGCCAGGTCGCGAGGTTCATAGAGCGACCGGTTCGTAAATTCATGGTCCCGTAGGCAGGTAGGGCAGATCGTTAAATTCGTAGACGCGTAGACGGCTCGAGCCG